GAAAACAGTATTTAATGAAATATTATCTTTAAAAGATATTGTTATTGAATGAACTAAAGTTTGAAATTCATTATGAAATTTGGCGTTTGGACCAGATAAAACATCAGGTGTGCTAAATTTCTCATCAAATGAAGCCAATGCTGTGATTTGGTTTGTTAAATTGATCAACTTATTTAACCAACGCTCAATACCAACAATTTTTTGGGAATCCCAATTTAAGATATTCTCAATAGGAGCTTGGAATAAAATATGAGCCCTAGTAGCGTCTGGACCATGCTTTGCAATAAATTTAGTAGGATCAATACCATTATACTTTGATTTTGACATCTTTTCAAAGGAAACATCAGGTTCTTCTCCAGTGCTTTTGATTATTACAGAGTTCTTAGAATTTTCTACAATTTCAATTTCGTCTGGTTTCAAAAATCTACCATTATTAGGGTCCTTATACGTTTTCCCATGTACCATACCTTGGGTAATCAACTTTTTGAAAGGCTCATAGTTAACACTGGCTCCATCCCAAAAACCAGCTGTACCTAAAGCCTTCGCTATGAAACGCGAATATAGCAGATGTAAAATTGCATGTTCGACACCACCAATATACAAATCCACTGGCATGTATCTATTTACATTTTCTTTAGAAAAAGGTAATTTTGCATTTGTTGGATCAGTAAATCTAAAGTAATACCATGAACTATCAATAAAAGTATCCATTGTATCTGTTTCTCTTTTAGCTGCATTTCCACAACTTGGGCATTTAGTATTAACGAATTCTGGCACATCTGCTAGTGGATTACCTTTCTTTGTTAAAGTTGGTACCTTTGGTAACAAAATAGGTAATTGGTCTTCTGGAACAGGCACAGGTCCACAATCAGAACAGTGCACGATAGGGATAGGCGTTCCCCAATACCTCTGTCTACTTATCAACCAATCCCTTAGCTTATATTTAACAGCAGTTTTGCCCAAACCCAATGTACTTAGTTTGGAGGTAATCTCTTGTCTACATGACTTGAAAGACATTCCTTGGAATTCAGAAGTGGTAGCGTTCATTTCACCGCTTTTTGAATTCCCGTTTGACTTAAGATCAGCATTATCTAAAGGCATACCATAACAAGGTTCTTTAATATGCTTATTACCTAATGTTAACCAAAATTCGCGGTCACGTTCGTCATGGGCAGGACAGCCCATTACAGCTCCATGTCCATAAGTGTCCAGCACATAAGGAGCAACAAATACAGGTATTTTTTCTTTTGTAATTGGGTTAATTGCATATAATTCATTTATTCGATAACCTTCCTTTGAGTCCTCAAGAAACGTTTTCCCCAGAAATTGCTTTAGATTTGAATCTTTTTCTGAGAAATATTTGGTTATCTCATGGTTCAAAGATAATGCCAAAAATTGCACTGTAAAAATTGTTTCTGCTCTGGTGGTAAAAATCTCAACAGAATTTAGATGTTCACCATTCAATTTGAAGATGATATCAGTACCATGTGATTCCCCAAGCCAATGTTTCTGCATTGCCTTGACTTTTGTTGGCCAATTTGTCAAAGAATTTAAATCATGGTTTAGCTGTTTCTCAAATTTCGTAATTCCCAAGAACCATTGTTTTAATAACTTTTTTTCAACGATAGCACCAGATCTCCAAGAGCGTCCCTCTGCATCAACTTGTTCATTAGCTAGAACAGTTTGATCTATAGGATCCCAATTGATTTCGGCCTCTTTTCTGTAAGCTAAACCTTGTTTAAATAATTGCAAAAAGATCCATTGAGTAAACTTGTAATATTCTGGACTACTAGTACTCAATTCTCTATCCCAATCAAAATTAGCCAACATACATTTCATTTGATCCTTCATTTTAGAGATATTTTGAATAGTCCAATCCGCAGGGTTAATTCTTCTTTCGATAGCAGCATTTTCTGCAGGCAGACCAAATGAATCCCAACCCATTGGATGAAGTACATTGTAACCATTAAGTTTATAAAACCTGTTTAGTACATCACTAATAACATACACACGTAAATGTCCTAAATGTAAAGTACCTGAAGGATACGGAAACATTGATAGAACATATATATCCTTAGAACTACTATCATTTTTCAATTCAACACAATCTCTAACCTTATTTTCCCATTTCTTACCAACATTGACCAAATTTGAATCACTAACTATATTATCACCCTTGACATTTTGCAGAATCGAGCTTACTCGATAAAACCTCCTTAACAAAGGGCCTTTACCAATGCTCAAACCCCGTATCAACATCAACAGTATTATAGTAAAAATAAATACTCCTAGAACAAGTAAGTAATCACTTCAATTCGTATATATCAATCCAATTACTTGAACAAAAGATCTATATATATACATATACCCTGTTAACAAACTATCGCTACTTATACATGAAATTTTTCAAATCTTTTAAATTATTCTTAGCGATGAGCTTGATATTTTCCTGTTTTCCTTCTAGTGTGTATCCAAGCATAAAAAAAAATGAATCAAATATGTCAATACAGGGAAGCTTGTAAAAATCCAAAAATATGACTATTGAAAACAAGGGCTTGAGAGTTGGATGTATATCATTTAATTCCCAGTTTATATCATCAATGGATGTATTTTTTTTTTACTTTAAAATCAATTAAGAGGGAGAAGTGCGCAATTTTCATTTTAAACCAACTGATTCGATAAACAGTTGATCTAAGTTCATAACAAAAAAGTTCCTGCCATTTATAAAGACATTGTTATTACCTGTATATTTAAATCAATTCATTGGTTTACTATCGGAAATGGTTATCCTCATTAATTTCAGGTTTCTTTATGACTTTGTTAATTGGTATAGGTGACTGAGGTTTTAAGTCGCTTGATAGTCGTGATATTATTATCTTAATTTACAAATTATCACGTGCGATTTTTAATATGATGTCATATTATCCAATTAAAGCCACAGACAATATTCATTCATTTGTCAGATATTTGGTTTATTAATGAGCTGAATAATGATTAATCATAATGAACAGTACATCAATCAGGATGCTGATAATTTATAATAACGTGGTTTCAAATTAATCTAGCTCCTTGCTCTTATTTTTTAAATTTTGCCAATATTAAGATATCTGAAATTCTTGATTTCTACCATTGTAAATCGAATCTTGATCCTGGGATATATTCCACATCCCATCGATTAGATAGTTAATCAAGTTAAAACTGTGAGGATACGATCACTTGGTTGAAGCGGAACGATATTGAATGCCAATAGTAATACCTATTCAAATAATGTATCAGTCAATATTGGATAACAAAAATATTTTCAATGATGTAGGGAGAAGAAGCTTTAGTGATGGGAAATTATTTGAAAGGGGATTAAAGAGTAATGACGGTTTTCTATATGAAAAACCACTAGTTATACGTTCAGATTGGGCAGCTTCTTCAATTGCCAAATTTAAAGAATTAATAGAAAATAGTACTTGTGATATTCACCATAGCGGTAGGTATGGGAAACATAATTTGTATAAATTAATATCTTTGACTGAATTATTATTTTATGCCAATGATGCATTTGGTGATAGCAAATGGACTATTGATGTAATCGATAGCAATTCTATTAAAAATGAAGTTTTTGATAAATCAAATATATTTGTTGAATCACAAGTTCGAATAACATTAAAAGACGGCACTAGTTCTCAAGCAATTGGTATTGCATTTTTAACATCAAAAAATGAAAAATCTTTAGATGATGCCAAAAAAATAGCTTATAATGATGCATTAAAACAAGTATTATTAAGCTTTATCAAATAATAATAATAATGATCACCTCCCCCATTTATGACAACTGTTTATATGTGATAAGGTACATCCCCTAAATATATCAATAGTATAATTCCTTAATTAACACTAATAGGAAAATATTTCACTCCAGCCACCGATAGGCAATCCATATACAATATATAAATCTGAATGTAAGATAAAACAATATAATTAATCATCCCAAATTACTTTTCATTTCATTTCTTAATCTTGGCAATTCAACGTCTTCAATTTGTTTAATTCTTTTGGCATAATAATAATTAGCTAAGGACACGATATTGACAGGTATATTTCCTTCAACCTCTGGAATACCCTTTTCAAATATTTCATTAACTAGTAACCTCAAGCTTCTTAATTGAATATTACACATATCTGGGGCATGCAATTTCACTAATTTATGGTTTTGAAATTCTTTTAGGACCTCAGTATCTATCACTGGCTCAACTAACAACAAATTATAATCCTTCTTCTTATCCTTGTGTGATATAGATTGTTGCCTATGCAAAATAATCTGCAATAATAGCAATATAACATTTGAGGGATAGCTGTCCATCCTTTACTATTCCAGTTGTTATTCTTCTTGCTTTAGTTTGTTAATAACTTGGCTATTAACTGGAAGTCAATTGATAGTTTTTTAAAACCTTATAACTAATTCAACTATTTGGAATACTAATGTGACAATCTGAAGCAACCTATAGATCGTTCTGAATCGGCATAGAACAATTTAATCCAACATTAAAATATCAATTAAGCTCATCACCTTCTTCCGTTTAATAATCTTTTTTCATCAATGTGGTACACGTAAAATTTAAATATTCGATCAATTTACGCGACTCTATTTTACATAAACTTGAAAGGAACCTTTAACCTTCCTGATGGGAAAGTTAATTAATAAAAACTAATATAAGAGAAATCAACTAGGAGAACAGTTAAGTTTACATGGTCTGATCAACTGAGAGTGTCGTTTCATTGTAAAATTGCAGATTAGGAGAACTTAAAGAATATGGATAAGTCTATTGCTAAAGGTCTCGGTGATAAATTATACGAAAAGAGGAAAGCAACTGCTCTAGAGTTACAAAAGTTAGTTACTCAATGTGTGATCGATGGAGATTATGCTCGTGTAGACAAAATAATCGATGAGCTTTGTAGAGATTATGCTTATGCTTTACATCAACCAACTGCTAGAAATGCTGGGCTGATGGGGCTAGCTGCAGCTGCAATTGCATTAGGTACAAATAACGTTGGAAGATATTTACATCATATATTACCTCCTGTGCTTGCATGTTTTGGTGATCAGAATGATCAAGTTAGATTCTATGCCTGTGAAAGTTTATACAATATTGCTAAGATAGCCAAGGGTGAAATTTTGGTCTATTTCAATGAAGTATTCGATGTCTTATGTAAAATAAGTGCTGACACGGAAACATCAGTCAGAGGTGCCGCTGAATTATTAGATAGATTAATTAAGGATATAGTAGCAGAGCGAGCTTCAAATTATATCAGCGTGGTTAATAATGACCCTAAAGATATGCCTCCTGCTACAAAAGTCGATGTCGTATCAGGCAATGTTTACAGAGAGGAGCATGGCCAAGATGATGAACAGGCCTTCTCTTTACCAAAGTTTATACCATTGCTATCAGAAAGGATATATGCTATAAATCCAGACACTCGTGTATTTTTAGTAGATTGGTTAAAAGTTCTATTAAATACCCCAGAGTTAGAATTGATTTCTTATTTGCCATCATTTTTAGGGGGTTTATTCACATTTTTAGGAGACTCTCATAAGGACGTGAGAACTGTTACACATGAATTAATGGATCTTTTATTACAAGAAGTAGAGAGAATATCAAAATTACAGGATGATTTGGCAAGAAAAAGCATTTCCAGTGAACCAAAGAGCGATGAGGATACACCGGTTAAAAAAAATGAAGGAACTTTGATAGCTCAAAAGAAAAAACATTTACTAGATGCACTAGGGAAACTATCAACAGATTCAAATGAAGTGGCTTCACCTTCAACAATTCAAACAAACAACACAATACCTGTAACCGGTTCCATACCAACAACGCCAACAGAAGAAGAAGGTGCTGTGACAGAGTCTACATCAATTCGTGATGGTGAAGAATATATTTTAGGTCAGGATATTCATTTAAATTTCCCTGATATCATCGAGATATTAGTTAACAACTTAGGTTCATCCGAATATGAAGTTAGGCTAGCATCATTGCATTGGATTGAAAGTTTAATGGATTTATCCTCAGGTGATTTTATACCTTACTTCTCAAAAATATTATCCTTACTACTGAAGCTATTAGGTGATTCCGATAACCGTATAAGTGAATCAGCTCAAATAGTCAATTCCAAATTTATGAAATTATGTGCAAATTATGATCATAACAAGAATCCAAACGCCATTGCCTATGGGTCAATTGTTAATAGCTTGACCCTACAATTTTTTGATAGTAAAGTTGATGCAAAAATAGCATGTCTTGACTGGTTATTGCTGATTCACAAGAAGGCACCAAATCAAATTTTTGAGCATAATGATAGTATGTTTTTAACTTTATTGAAATCACTATCTGATAATGATACAAGATTAATAGAAAAAGCGTTATGTCTGTTGAATTGCTTATGTGTTGATTCAAAAGATGACTACTTAAAGAAGTTTTTGGGGGATCTACTAAACTTATTGAAGAATGATCCCAAATTATTCAAAACCCGTGCTAATTATATAATGAGACAACTATGTGCCAGGCTTTCCGCTGAACGTATTTATAAGGTATTGTCATCTCTTCTAGATTCCAGAGATGACATTATGTTCAGTAAAATGATGATACAAATTTTAAGCACCAATTTGATGACTGCAAATGAGGTTGACTCATTAAGGAAGAAATTAAGAAAAGGAGAAGACGGAATGTTTTTCAATACGCTATTTAAGTGGTGGTGCTACAATCCTGTCTCAGTGATATCACTGTGCTTGGTTTCAGAAAATTATGATCTGGCTTACTCAGTTCTTCAAGCGTATGTTAATTATGATCTTGGTTTAAGTGATCTTGTGCAATTAGATGTTTTAGTTCAATTATTGGAATCTCCAGTTTTTACTAGGATGAGGCTGCAGTTGTTAGAACAACAAAAATACCCGTTCCTATACAAGAGTTTGTACGGCATTTTAATGATTTTACCCCAATCGAAGGCATTTGACATATTAAACAAGAGATTAAGTAGCATAACGGTTTGGGCTTCGCAGAATGCAGGATCATCTAATTTTTATAAGAGCAATAGGAGCAGTTCAAACCTAAGTGTAGGAACTGAAAGTTCACAAAGGTCTGTTTCCCAAAGTAGACATCATTACCAAGAGTTACTTGATCATTTTAACAAGATCTGTAGCCAGGCTAGTCCAAATGTCAATCTGGGTACGCTATATGAACCAACCATTTCAATACTAAATGGAACAGTTCTGGAACAAGATAAAAATCCTCTGAAACAGTCTATACCAAATGAATTAGAAGTGACAAGCTTCAAAGAATCTGAAAACTATTCAGTAGATGGATCATCAGTACTGATCAAAAATGAGGCAAATAGAGATATGACTAGGACATCTGAAAGCTTTACTAACTAAATATGGCCTATGTAACAAAATAATTAAGATTATATGCATTTTTTTATTAGGTGATGTACAAGTAATTTAGCAATTTGATACAATGATGTAATTGATTATTGCAATAATTCGTCCCTATAATGCTTTTGGAAATTGACCCTTTTACCTTCACGTAAAATTTGCTTACTAATGGCTCTCCTTTCCATTTCTTGCATTTTCTTCAAACCCTTTTTATACTCTTTTTCAGTAACTCCACTTATCAATCTCCTATCAGCAGCCGTTACAGTTCTTCTACTTTCTGAACCTTCATCAGGAGTCGATAGATTTTGTCTGTAATATCTTTGTCCATCTCTATGTCCTGCTCGTGTGCCGTTTGGTAAGGTTATTTCCATCCCCGATTCATCGACAGAAACTGTTGTGTAATTTGAATTTATTCCATGCTTATTGCCACTGCTTGTGGTTTCATCTTCTGGAAGAGATTCAGAAACTTCAACATTTTCATTGAAATGAATTGATTTTTTTGGTTTATCTGTAGGTGTGGATTGCTTTGGCGTTTCGTCCAATGAACTAAAATCATAAAATTCTGCAAATAATTCACGTTCTTTCCTTGACTCATACGGCAGACGACAGTGACGTTTAGATATCAAATGATCACGAATACTCTCGACACCAGACCCTTGGAAATTACAACAGAAACATAGATTATCGATAATTATAGTTTCATATAAGAATGATAATAAACCAGGAAGGTCCACTAAATAAGATCTTTCTGGTATGTATAAACCATGCTTTTGGAACATGTGCTTCACATTTTTTTCAATTTCTTTATTCTTCACACCACAATATATACATTCAGTACAATCTATACTATCATTATCATATTCTTCATCGGTAACATCTTCATCAGTTGAGGTATAATTTTCATCTTCAGTTGTACCATAATTTGAATCACTAGTGAATCCATATTCTGATACAGTATCTTCACCATAATCTGTATTTGTATCTTTACTTTCCATTGATAATTCTGATAATTTTGAATTTACAGAGTTTGCTGGAGAAATTGATCTTGTCTTAACTAAATTATCGCCATGAACTTCTTCATCAGTATCCTTTCTAGTTAGTCTATTGTCAGTTTCACCTAATTCAACATCCGCATCAGCATCATCATTAAATTTCTGAACAGATTTCTTATGTTTATTACGATTTTTATGCTTGATGTTATTTTCATCTATTGGTTTTAAAATTTCAAATCCAAATTCATCATATTTATGTAATTGTTGTTCACGTTCAGATATTTGTAATTTTTCAGCAAATTCATCAGCAGTAATGGGTGGTAATTGTGCAACTCTTCTTTTCAAATTATACCTATGCCATTCTGTTTTCATATGATATCTTTGGAGATCACTCGATTTGAATTGTATAACACATGAGTTACAAGTAAATAAAGCGTTTGAACTCATATTTTTTCTTTCTTCAATTATTAAAAGTCTAGTTTGTTTGTTCGTTTAGATAGTAGTATAACTTGTTTGATTCTGGATGAGAAATAAGCTAAATAAAACAACAAATATTCTCCAAGATAAATAAATATAGCAGTACCCAAAACTTATAGAACTCAAGACCCTTATTTATATTAAAAGTACTTTAAAAAAAATAATTTCAAACTTTTAAAATTTCAAACCTCTTTAGTTCGGCACTATATTGCAATACCAATTACTAATCCTTTATAAATTTCACAAGGTGTTCTATTTTAAACTCTGAAAAACTTACTTTCAAATATTACATAAAACTCAATAGAAGCTACGATGATATGCGATACTAAAATCCATCACATTATGTAAACAAAACTCCCTCTAAATATTTAAATTTGTTTGAACTTTAATAATAATCCATCTCATCTCATCTCATCTCATCTCATCTAGTTTCAATATTTGGATATTAGAATGAATATACTAATGGAACTCCTACCAGATATTGTCAGTAAGCTTTAGTTACAAATTTCGTAAGTTGATGGGATGAATATGATAAGTCTTTTCGGGAGTTTGATATTAGAGGCGGTGAACTATTTCCGGAGGGTGTAATTGGACAAGAATGGAGGCACGTGATGATTGTTTCTTTAGTATGCAGAAGTGCTTGTGAAAAAAAATACTATAACGGCGAAGAGAGAGGGAGACAAAGAGAGAAATCCAAAGTGGGATAAACTATGAGAATTTCCGAACACATGTGATCATATGTTTTTTGTCTCAAGACTTTAAGCGTCGAATATTTTTTAACTTTCACTTTCACTTTCATTTTCATTTTCATTTTCGTTTAGCTCCGAAACCTTTTCAAAAAAAACCAAGAAAGAGACCGCCAATGACTGCACATGCGAGCTTAACACCCATACATTATAGAAAAGTCACTTAAATATTTACATCCGTACACCTATATATTTGTTTTTTTGAATTTATGTTATTTTTCCGAAAGGGATGGAGCGAGGGAAATCAAGTATTAACTTAACTACTTAACAATATTTCTATTTCGAATTCTTCTCCGGTTGTGTCTTGGTAAAAATAGTTTCCGACAGACAGTCAAGATAGTTTTTAACAGAAATCGAAGCCAAACAGACGCACAATATTTTATTCCAATTCGAAAAAGTTTCACGATTTGAAAAATTTACTTGGTAATTGGAATGGTAAAGTCTTAGAATATACCGTAGCCTACCTGTAATGTACACTACAACAACAAGTTGAATTTATGTAATTTTTCACTTTCAAACTAATTTGAACTCTAGCGATGCTTTGATGATATCTCTTTTTACTTCTCAAGTATCATCAGCATCTTCATCTTCATCATCATTATTCTTATTCTCATTACTATTACGGTTTGTACACATTCGTTCAACCCATCCACACTTATCCTTCACCTAACCTATCGATGATATCGTGTTCTCCAAGTACAACACTCTATCTAATATCATTATCTATCATCAATTTCATTCAATCTACTACTATCACTTACTATGCTTAACCTTGTTCTAATTACCTTCCTTCGAGACACTCAATCCTCTCTTTACTCTCTTTTCTTGGTTGTCCATATTGAAAAGTCACAATAGTTTAAAAGAAAGTGAATCAATATTGCACTTTACACTTCATTATTACTTGTTAAGTTATAGAAAAGCATATCCAAAGAAACTTTTCATAATAGTATGTACTATAACGTTGAATTATAAATTTTAGCAATTAAACAAATGGGAATAATTTTAATCGTACTGAAGAGAGATAAACAATAACAAGAGATATAATTTACAGAATGACGAATGTAAGAACTAATCGAATACAAAATAATGCCTAAGTTTTCTCTTACATCAAACGTAAGAATTAGTAGTGGTTGGAAACCATCTCAATTTGCCATTGCTTCAGACTAGTGATCAATCTAATTATCCTATCTTCAATAGATTCAGCATTCTGAGTGTTTATTGGTTTTAGAATTTAGATTGTTTCTAGTACAAGAGAAGAAGATTAATATTTTCTGAAAAAAATCCTTCCTAACTATGGGAAAGCTATTTTCTAATACTCGTCAATGATGGTTCAATGTCCAAACAATAAGAGTAAGAAAAATATGCTATTTAAAAATTTAGATTATCAATTCTTTAGAGACTGAAAGTTAAAATTGAAATCCCAAAATAAAATAAATCTCGAGTTCGTGTTTTTACTAACAATTTTTTAATTTATTTTAACAGCATCCATAATGGCTCACGAAAACGTTTGGTTCTCCCACCCAAGAAGATTCGGTAAAGGTTCTCGTCAATGTAGAGTCTGTGCTTCTCACAGCGGTTTGATCAGAAAGTACTCCTTGAACATCTGCCGTCAATGTTTCAGAGAAAAGGCCAATGATATTGGTTTCAACAAGTACAGATAAGCTATTTGACAATTAATATTTTTCATACTTTCTTTTTGTCTTTAAAATTCACAAAGGTATATATATAAATAATTTTTGTTAGTCGTTTATTCCTCTTTGATCTATAAAATTCATCGAGTTTGCTACTTTAATAAACATAACTATTTGTCATAAATATAATCCAGTATTTTTTATTTTAAATAACTCTGGAATTCCAAATTGTATTATATTATAAAAATAAATTATACATATATACAGTAAAAACTTAATGCCTTCTTATCTATAGTATTAAATACCTTCTACTCAAAATTATGGTTTGTAAACATCAAACTTTTTTAATGGTTGGCGAATTGGTGCAGCATACAATTTAGATTTAAATTCATCTACATCTGTAATCAATTTACCAGTAGGATATTTCTTAACATCCAATTTATCTTCATTAATATCTTTATCACTGCTCTTAACTTTGGATTTTAAGTGAATAACAAGTTTAGCAGCATTAGCACTAATGAAATGGTCCTCAAAGAACTTTATTAATTGATCTTTAGAAATCTGGGCCACCAAATTTGCTTTCTTTTGACGATGTGTAAAATTGTAATCTCCTAAATAAATAGCCGCTGTATATCTAGAATTTTCTTCTTTCATATTCTTATATTTTTGCATTAAACTCTTACATAATGCATCTTTATGCTTTTCTAATTCATCGTCCGACATATTACGTAAAGTTTCACCAAATGACTTGTAGAACTCATCGATTCTCCATTCTAAGTATGGGGTAGAATGTTCAGACTGTACTAAAATACGAATATTTGCAGTACCATGATTGTTCAAACTGGAACTGAAAACAACATAACCTAATTGTTCCTTAGTTCTTAATGTATCAAAACATGGTTCATTTAAAATTTGTGCAAATAAACCACTCATTGCTGACAATTCTTCAGAATATCCTCCTAGTTGAACTACATGTTGAACACACGAGTTGACATTTTCTGCATCCTCTAAGTCAATTTCAAATCTATACGTTTCACCATTTGGAATGACATATGATCTCAATCTTGTGTTTTTAACATGTAAATTAACAATATCAGTAGTTATCAAAGATTGAACCAATGAATCTATTTCTACAGCTTCTTCATTTCTAAAATTTCCATGAACTAATCCATCGAAATAACATTCCTCATAGATGGTTGGTAAAAATGCAAGGAATTGCTCATAAGTAATTTTTTCTATAATGCTTAACTTTTGCTTAACACTCCATGTTCTTTCATTAATCAAAGAACTGTATAACGTAGAAATTTGTGAGTATGGAACTTCATACAAACAGTTTTTCAAATTCTGTATAGTCTTTTCTTTGAAAATTTTAAAGCGTAACTTACTTGGTTGGTAGACACTAACTCCATAAATGAATCTTTGTAGTAGTACAATTAATTTATCATTGAACCCTGAAATTGTAATATCTAAACCTTGATTTGTCTTACTGAAAGACAGATGTAGGTTTGCACATGCTGCATCGTATTGTAGATCTTTCAACGAATCGTTAACTAGTTGAACATATAAAGAAGTTAATAGATTATTGATCACACTTGCTTGAGTATGTGGTAATTTCATAGTGATATATATGAAACCTCTTGGTTGCCAAAATCTGTCATCTTTTTTGTACCATAATTTACTTACCGGAGAATCTTTCAATAATAAAGGTTCAACCAAAGGTTCATTTACATCGAACTTTTCAACATCAAAATTAGTAGCAATAAATTCATTTGGACGAGGAATTGATAAATTAGGATTTAAACCTGGACTTTTGATTGTATCATAAAGATCCTTTGGATAATCTTCGACTCTATAATCAGTACCATACCAAGTTTCCTTAGAATCAGTTTCTACAGCTTTACCGGCCAAGGTGATTCTTGAATTGTCCGGTGATAATGAGTTGACATAGTTCTTCATAATTTCAGGATCATATTTTCTGAATAAGCCGGTACTCAAAATATTCTCAACTGGAATATATTCCTTTTCCAAAGCTTTCGATAAATTAGATACAGTACTTGATGGATTAACCTTTTGTTTAAATTTAAAACTCGCGTTTGCTATATCTTGTAATTCTAAGAAGATGCGTTCTTGCGGTAAGGAAATCTTTAACATTTCAATATATTGGAAGACAATATGAACGATTTCTTTATAATGTTGGAAACCATTTTCCGTCAAATCAATATCGATTGAAAAAAATGCATTATCTTTTGATACAGTATGACCACCAGCTGATAACTCATTAGCCCAACTTAATGTCTTCAAATGTGATAGGATGGATCCTGAACCTTCATGACCTATTAGATGACTTAATATATGTTGAGGTTTTGATTCCCAAAATAAGTCCATATCTTGTGCTAGGAAAGTTATTTCTAATTTTTTTAAATCTTTTACAGGTTTAACATGAATAATTTTTTTTAAATTTTCTTCTAGTAATATGGGTTCGTTATATTCAGGTAATGGTCGATTATTATTTGGCACAGCTTCGAATAAATTATAAACCCAGTCCGACATTGTATCCAGATCTTCTCTACCCAAGACACACAGTTTCATTAAATTTGCAGAATATGAATCACTATAAAATTTTAATAATTCATTTCTAATATCTAAACCTTCCTTTTTTGGCATTTCATCTAAAGTTTTCAAATTACCAGTAGAAAATTTATGATATGGATGCTTTTCATTTGACAAGGATTTATCTAATTGATACATCCTCCAAACGTCATTTTGTAAATTCTTTTTATTTTCACTGTCGACAGCATTGATTTCTTTAGAAGTCGAATTTGGATTAAATAATGGACAAGTGAAAAATCCTGAAAATCTATCTAATGCACCATGTAAATGTTCATGGTTTATTTCAAAGAAGTAATTTGTATTTTGTGCACCTGTATAAGCATTGGAAGAACCACCATGCTTATTCAAATAACTGCTATATTCGTTTTCATTTGGAAATTTCTTTGACCCCATAAATAACAAATGTTCACAGAAATGTGCCAAACCTTGTAAATTTTTTGGATCTTGGAAAGCACCAATATTTACATCCAATGAAGCAGCTGACTTATCAGTTGAAGCATCATGTATCAACAGAGCCTTAAACTTATTTGGCAGTTCAATAAAACGATAAGACCTGTCATCCAAATCCGGTTTAATAAAATTCAAATCATGAATCTTATAAGGCTTCTTTGTAACATCAGAAGTAGTAGACATTTTTCTCTTGTAATAATTAATTTTAGTAAAATTTCTTAAATATAATGGTATTGATCGTGATAAAATTGTAGGAACATTAGATTTGACACTGATACCAATATTACTTAATAGAGATTGATTAATCAATGCAAAACTCATAAAAAAGATGCAAATTAAAAAATAATAAAATTTCCTGAACGACAAAATTGTAATTGAAAGAATAGTTTTATTGACACAGATCTTTTATATAACAGTAGGAACAACAAAAATATGGGAAAGCTTTTCAACTTTTTTTTTCTGAATACTCTTTTGTGTGTTACAAATCAAAAACTTATTTTTTCACTATTATTATTGCTTTATTGAATCAGTATATGATATATAATATATGACTATAGTGTTTGCATATATCGATTAAAGAGAACTTGGAAAGGAATGCAAATCGATAGACCTAAATGAAAATTCAAATGTTTAGCGACTATACTAGAGTTAGGATCACTTCATCACTGTTTAAATAATAATTCAGGTTTATTGTACTAGCCAAGTTAATATCTTAAATATTGTTCAGTTCGAAATCGAAATTAAAAAAAGTCGCCTTTAAGGAAAAAGAAAAAATAAAAAGAACCGATTGTATACGAGATTTAAAGTTTCTGATTTTTAATATGACGTACCCATTGTTCTCTGACTTGGATATTAATAGATCGAACTTAATGGCATATTATATTACAATAATCTTGATGAGATACATATATGTATATATATTGTATTTATAGCTATTTTTTCATATGTTGACATTGTAAAGATTAAATAACTTACACTTTATAGGGTTCAAGAGCAACTGTTTGCTTAATCCCAGTTTTTACTAGAATTCGGAGAATTTCTTGAGAAACCGACTGGGAAAGGCGTTATCATTAGACAGAAAAAAAGTTAAATTTCGAATTTTGAAATTTTTGAAATTTTTGAATTCAACTAGCAAGAAACCATTAAAAATGAGCATTACAGTTAGAAATATACTAATTGAACAGAAGTGAACTTAGAGAACAATGAACAAATAAATAAATATACATATATATATATATCAGTAACAGGATTAATTTGTAAATATGTCAAGGTTTAATATGTTAAATTTGAGTGCGGTTGGTGTTGCAATAGTTGCGGGTATATATGGTGGTACGAAATTTTTTGAACCAATTGTTATTGAACAATTGAGTAAAGATGGAAATTTGCGTAAAGATATCGAAATACCTAAATATGACAATGAAGGTAATCCTATTGAGCCTAAATCTGTGTTGAATTTAAGGAAAGAGTTCGAAAATATTCAAAAAGAACAGTCATTACAAAGAGGGTTACAAGAACAGCAACCAACGATTGAAAAGGATAGCAGTATATTTGATTCTTCAATTGATAAATGAAGTATATAATAAAAAAATATAGAGATGGAAGAGAAACATATAGAGTTGTGTAAATTTAAATGTATACCTTGTAAATAATAATAATTAATGAAAACAACGATATCTGATGAGTCGTTTGTAGATAACAAAATTGTTACAGAGACAGGCACCTTATTTTGATTTTTCCATCCATAATACTATATATATCACTTAAAGATGATTCAATCGAATTTCGAATTTGTTGTATGTATTATCACAACATGAGGTATTAAACTGGAATTACAGTCATGTGACCAGGAAGCACAATTTCCAGAGATGAATCTGCACGAGAATTCTCCTTTTAATGTTTACAGAGATCGCCCACATTTAATTCAAAGCAAATCATACATCGTTGATTATGACTAAGGCGAGCATTTTCTTTATTGATAGTACCAATGGGTCTAGGAGAGAAGAGTGTAGATGAAAAACAAAACTTACCCTACCTAAATCATTATTTCGAAACGACAAATCGATTATAAAGGGGGATTTGTTTTTGGAGGGAAGGACATGGGAAGAACAAAATTGTTCAGCATGTCTCAGAATGCTGAACAATAAGAAAAAGGCAAAAGCACGTACAATTTTCCAACTGTTTCTTGTTTGCCCGCCTGCTTTCTTGCTGGGTCGTCTCGTCCCGTTTTCTTTCCCTCATGTATATAAAATATAACAACAGCTGACCGACATCTAGTCATTATACACGAACATTTTCTTTTCCTTTTCCTTTTTTTTTTTTGTATTTACACTTACTGGTTTCGACTTTTCGTCATTTTTCTTTTATTTACGTTTTTCCCAGAAGAAGAGGGAAGGCAGCACCAGCAGCAGGATCAATAAATAAATCACACGGTGAACAATATTTCATTAAATGCATTCTACGGCTGCTTCTCCCTGTGTTTCGGTTAGCATTACAAAATGTACTTCTATTTTAAACATCAATTTATTTTATTGTATATATTATTGTTATTGTTTTTGTTATTATTTCTGTCTTCGTCTTTTGTTATTTCGAACCTGCGAATTTCATATCGAAGAAAGCACTGTACAATAAGTGAAAAACCCATCAAGTATTTCAAAAAGTAGCTATTTTTACTTGATTTTATTCTGTACAACAATATTTTCTTTTTAATCTTCCTGTGGGTGTTTCACTGGGCCCATTTCCCATATCACTAAATATTAGACATTTCTCTCCTTACCATTCACTCAATATTAGTTTTTTTTCAGTTTTTCACTGCACAATCCTCTTTTCTCGTACTCAACTCTATATAAATTAAATGCAAATAACTCAGAATTTTTGATCCAAGCTTAATATGTCTATCTATCTAACTTTATATATATATATATATATATATATATATATATTTGCTGATCATTTGCTTGTATTTTTTCGTTGATTTATCAATTACTCTTTAAAATTGTTTTTCAAACACAGTAGTGTTATATACATCGATCGTTCGAACTAAACTGAATAAAAAAGTGAGGATATCACCAGCATTAATTTTTTCTTTGGCTTTTTTCATCCATTCTATAATACCCAATTACAATATAATAACAATAATATAAGATGGTTTCTGCTAATGTTTTATCTGTTCTATTGCCAGTTTTATACTTGGCCGCTGAGGTCACTGCTACCCCACCAGCTTGTCTATTAGCATGTGTTGCTCAAGTCGCTAAGAACTCCAAGAGCTGTAACTCTTTGAACGATATCAACTGTCTATGTTCAAATGATGGTGCTGCTATTCAACAATGTATGAATTCTATCTGTCCAAATAACTTGGCTTCTACCGCTATCTCTTCTTTCCAATCTTCTTGTAAAGAAATGAATGTCGACATTGCCAACGTTTCAGCTTCCTCTGTAGCTTCCTCTTCTACTTCAAAAGCTTCTTCTTCCTCCACTTCCTCCTCCTCCACTTCCACATCAGCTTCCTCTTCTGCTCCAGCTACCACTTCTTCCTCTTCCTCATCCTCCATGACCTCTTCTTCTGCTCCAACCACCACCTCATCTTCCTCTGTTGCTCCAACAACTTCCTCTTCCTCTTCTTCTGTTGCCACCACCACTTCTTCTTCTTCCACTGTTGCTCCAACTACTTCTTCTACTTCCACTACCCCAACTTCCACCACCGTTTCCACTTCTCACACTTCTTCTTCTAGCGAAACTGCTAGTCACACCGTCACCACCCAAACTGAAAATGCTGGTCATGCCGTCGAATTCAGCGGTTCTTTGTTGTTTGGTGCTTTAGCTGCTTTCTTGATCTAGACGCTCTTTCAACACCGGCCTCCATTTCATTCGACACCCTTACATCGCTGCTGAATCCAAAAATTGTCACATTCCACTCCATTCCACATCTAACCCTGTTATCTCGGCGGTTCATTTCATTTTGTGTCATTTTGTGTCATTTTGTGTCCATCTAACCGCCATGGAATGTTGGCACAATCAGCTGATCGTCATATTAAGGGAAAAAGGTATTCATATATAAATACCATCGTCTGTGAATTGTTTTTTTTATTTCCACTTTCCTTTTATTTTTTATCTTTTTTTAGTTTAGTTGTTACTATTCTAATCTATTCAATTCATCCTCATTTTAATGGTTTCCAAAATGAAAATAAAAATTATAATATCTTTTATTCAAAATATAATTTTCATATAAATACGCTAATAGTTTTACTTCGTTAAACAGATTCGAAATACCCAAGTTCTTGTCTATTATTATATTGACTTTTACTATAATAATCTACTAAATATATAATTATACAATTAATTATATACGTATATTTGTATATTTGTATATTTACCAATTAAATTTTTATATATCAGAATTTATTATTCTTTAATTGAAATAATTGAAGAAAAATAAAAACAGTGTTTGCGTTTGAATTATAATCGTGTACTCATTATGGTGTTGTTGTATGCCTCGTTTCTGTATATTGTGGTGGTTCGACGTACTGTGGCAATGTGTCTACAACATTAACCTTCTCTCTCACTTGACAAAATATTTGGGTTCTATCGATTATATTCTCTGTCGTCCTTATTTTGTCATTAATTTGCCAATCAATCAATAATTGAAATTTGAATAATCTTTTGATAGTACATGTCTTGAAACTATACAGCCTGTTCCCCCTATGAACATAATCCTCTTTATTGAATCTTATCCTTTTCAATATACTATGATCTTTTAAGCATAATTCAACTTCGTATTTTTTATTATGAGCATCATTATTATGATGACGATGATGAAGATTACTAGGTACTTGTATAGGATTAAACTGAAAGATTCTACCAAACTCATCATCATCATCACATATTTTCAATGCTTCTACTAATCTCAAAGATGACACATTCTCATTAGCAATTCCTTGTGCAACGTATACCGTCTGTTCCAATAGATTCAATTGAATTTTTCGTGGATTGATCTTCATTTTAAACATTTCTTCAATATCACCTTCTAATACTAAATATATATTATCAAATTTATTACTGCCCTGGCGGAATAAATAATCACGACGATATGTATGCCTTAATCCGCGGCTACGTACTTCAAGCCACATAACACTGGATTCATCCGGTAACTGTACACTAAATGACGACTTATATATAACATGTTCATTAAGCCGATTCTCACTGTTGACTGACATATTATTGTTTCTCCCCATTAATGTGTTATTGCTACCTATATCCCCAGTTAATACTTGATTCGATTCAGTATTGCTGTTTGTACTTATGCCGTCATTATCAATCTTTCCATCATTTATATTTATATTTTTATTTTTAATTCTATTGTTATTATTATCAATATTGTTATTGGTATTATTATTGTTATTATTTAAAGCCAATGAATTCTGAATGGATTCTATAAGTTGCTCATCTGACTCCACCCTTGAGTTGCGTGCAATGTAATCTTCTGGATCTTCAACATAAATCAAATCCTTAGCGTCTGGGATATAATCAATGTTAAGTGTCTCGTGAAGAAATTTATTAAATGGTTTGTACCATGCCAGAGCTTTACCCAATTCAATTTCAACTTGAACAATATATATAACTTTCCCCAATGTGTAATAATAAAGTTCGATATTATCAACACGACTCATATCTTTCCAATTATTGTTAAAACTTGGCGGCATTCTAGTCTCATTACGCTTAACAAATGAATCGGTATCTCTCTTATGTCTAGCAAGGCATTCTGGTCTTTTTGGCATTTTATCAAATTCAAAATTGTATTCATAAAGCCCTGGCTTAACTTTAAAAGGTTTATGAGAACCTTCAAGGGCATTCCAAACATTATCTGGGGGAAATAATCTGTGAGATTTTTCGACAATATTATGAATAGCCCTATTATCTTGGATTGGTGACATGGCACTATTGTTATTAAACATTTGATCAGAATCAATTTTTGTCAAAGTCTGGATAAATCCCTTCAATTTAATACTTATGCTTTTAATAGATATAGGCTTTTCAATTTGTATACTCACATGTCCTGAAATCTGTTCTGTTCCTGTATAATATTCGCCATTATATGGCGGATCTAGAGTAAGATTTATTTTACTCATAGCTAATAAATTCTACTAAATAGAAGATCTATTTCAACTTCCTTTAATCAGTATTTCTATCGATATTATCAGCCTTATTACCTTATTTTATATACTGATCCTAATTTTATTCTTTTCCCCTATAATTACTTAATTTTATTCAAACAAACCCCAAAAAACAACCAATTTAGTCTGCAATTTGCTTACAACAATGACACTTAAATTCAATGAGCTCACTTCTTGATCTTTACATAAATCAATCAATGCTTTAGTTTTTAATCATTACCATAGAAGCATTAAAGAATTCTTATATCCAAATATTTCATACTGAAAAATTCGGCCCCAATATTCAATATTTTAACACTTTCTACTTCTATAAAATACAAGATGAGAAGTCACCACCTGTTATAGATATATAAACTAGGAGGTCTATAGAATACTAGCATCAAGTGAATATCTAGATTGTTATTGCATTGGAATGATTACTATTTTCACTCGAAATTTTGGTACCTCTGGGGTACCTAGATCAATATTTAGTAAGTTCAACAAATATGTAGTAAGCAACTCATCGAAGGAGTTTGAAGTAGTGAAACTTATTAAACCAGTTGGGTTAATTGATCCACCTTCCAAGAGCACTAAGTATAAGGAAGGAAATTCTTTGAAAGATATGTTAGATCCTGAAAAAACTGAGAAAAGAAGTGAAGAATTAGGTTTGGAATTTAACAGATCAGGGATGTATGATATGTATACTTTTAGAAAGACAAATGGTAAATTATTTGAAGCCCCACAATCCTATTGGAAAGACAATAAGGCATTGTACTTTCCTCATGTGATTGGTAGGTCATTGGTTGGGCGTATAAATCAAAATATTGAAGATTCATTGAAAGGTAAAATTAGTATAGTGAAGATATTTACGAATCCTGTAGCTGAGAAAATGACAGATTCATTTACTAAAAATGAGGAATTAGATGTTGATTATGCTAATAAAGATTTTGAAAAGTTAAAAGACTGGAATTCGCAAATTGTAGAAATTAATTTAATCGATAGTAAAGCCAAAGAAATTATATTTAAGCTGTTTGGCATGTCAAAATTAAGGAAACTTGTGCCATCATTTTTACATAAAAATTACTTTTTAAGCTTAAGGACTCAAATACCATTTACTGTCAGAGAACAATTAATGATCAATAATATGTATACAGGGTATGTTATGATCGTTGATCCGAATTTAAAAATCAGATGGATAGCTTGTGGTAATGCTACAGAAGAAGATTTTAAAACGTTATGGAAAAGTGTAAGAGGGATCAAACGAGAAAATGAGACTTCATAAAAGTTCCTAAATTAATAGACTATAGTATATATTCATCACAATAGCTTGTAAATATTTTATAGAATAGGGTCTGAAACATATACAGATAAAAACGGATGATTCATTTCCTTAATATAAATCAATATATTTTAAATTTTTTGATAATTCATCCACTCCAGCATTAAATGTACATGAAATTGAGATTGTAAGTATTATTGGGTTCGAATAGACCAGATAAATTAAATTTTAGGATTATAATTTACTTGAATTTTCGAAAGATTTGAATTCGTTATTCAATCTGGTTGCGACAGCGTCTAAGAATTCATCAGTAGTGACGTAAGCAGATCTTTCTGTTTTACCACAAGCCAAAGCCAAATCTTTAGTCATGATGCCATCTTGTTGGACGGTGTTTAAAGTTGCAGATTCCAATAAATTAGCAAATTTAATAACATCAGGAGTACTGTCCAACTCACCTCTTTTAGCCAAACCTCTAGACCAGGCAAAGATGGAGGCTATGGAATTAGTTGAAGTTTCTTTACCTTGTTCGTATTGTCTGTAATGTCTGGTGACAGTACCGTGGGCAGCTTCACTTTCGAAAGTTTTACCATCTGGAGTGACTAAAACCGAGGTCATCAAACCCAAAGAACCGAAACCTTGGGCGACGATATCTGATTGAACGTCACCGTCGTAGTTTTTCAAAGCCATAATGAAACCACCTTTTGATTTAATCATTTGAGCTACCATGTCATCGATTAGACGATGTTCATAACTGATACCCAAGTTTTCGAATTGAGATTTATAATCACTTTCATAGATTTCTTGGAAGATGTCTTTAAATCTACCGTCGTATTTTTTCAAAATTGTATTTTTAGTTGATAAGAATAAGTTTAGTTTCTTATTGATCGCCAATTTAAAAGAAGAATGAGCAAAACCTCTAATAGATTCATCGGTATTGTACATTGCCAATGCGACACCAGAGTTTTTATAATCATAGACGTTTAAAATTTGTCTTTCACCATTTGGATCAGTTGGTGTAAATACCAATTCTAATTTACCAGCAGTTGGAATTAAGGTATCCGTAGCTTTATATTGATCACCATGAGCGTGTCTACCTATAATGATTGGTTTTTCCCAACCTGGGATTAATCTTGGAATTCTTGGGATGACAATTGGTTCTCTAAAGACGGTACCACCCAAGATATTTCTTATGGTACCATTTGGAGATTTCCACATTTTTTTCAAATTGAATTCTTCAACTCTTGCTTCATCAGGGGTGATAGTAGCACATTTTACACCTACACCAAAATTTTTGATTGCATTTGCAGCATCGACAGTGACTTGATCATTTGTTGAGTCTCTATTTTCGATTGATAGATCGTAGTATTTCAAGTCGACGTCTAGGAAAGGTAGTATTAGATTTTTTTTAATCTTTGACCATATGATTCTAGTCATTTCATCACCATCGAGTTCGACCAATGGTGATTTGACAGTAATTTTTGATAGCTTCCTAGCAGCAGAGGAGTAAGCCCTTGACATGTTGGATTGGAAGTTGCTTTGGTTTGGCTTGGGAAGGTGGTTGGGAGGGGGAGGGGGAGGACAGAAAGGAATAGACTTGATCGGTGCTGTCTTGCTTATATACAAGTAGAAAAATTTTTTTTCGTTTGTTACCTTACCTTAAACAGGAGGATGGAGACGAAAAAGAGCCAGAGCAAAGGGCCAGAGCGAGTTGAATTGAATTGAATTGGAATGACCATCTACAGAGTGAAGAGCGTTATTGTTTAGTCATTAAAAGTTTGTGTATATATATTATATTATAAGTATATTAAATTTTTATATACGAATATAGAAAAATTATTGAATATGTAAAAGGATGTATATTGATTTGGGGGAGTAAGTAGGGTGTGTAGACTAGATGTTACCAGATTTTTTCAATTGGACCCAACTGATCAAGAAAGGGACTAGGAAACCCACGCTGAAGAAAGCAGTGTGGACTACAGCGTAAGGAATCTTTCTGTTGTGGACCTTGAAAGGGATGTTAGTGTAGACACCGTCTTTCAAGTGGGCACCTTGGGCCTTGACAGAAGAAGAGAAGGCTCTTCTAGTACTTAAACCGACTAATTGTTTGAACATTGTGGATATGTATGTGTGTATATGTGTGGATTGAATTAGAGTGAAGTAAAGTAAAAAGTGCAAAAAAGTAGGATTGGGGACCAGAAATATGAGTTTGTGTAAAGTAATGTAATGAGATGGGAGGGAACCAAACCGAGCTAGCGATGGGATGTGGCGACAGCAAGTGTAAAAGTGGATATATATGTATAGATATACTGCTGCTACTATATATATAAATATATATATATATATGCTAACGTTAGTGAATAAGTTTGTATAAGAGATGAAAAATAAAACATCGAGTGATTGGGCGAGTGTGTAATGAGAGCGAGTAGTGCGAGTGCGAGTGCGAGTGAGTTGGATGTAAAAATGCTCTTGCTGTAACCGGTGGGTGTTCTCGCTGGGGGGGGAAGGCAAGGGAGAGAGTAGTCCGTTAAACGCGATGATGCATTTCATTGGTCGGTCACGGTGATTGGTGGGAGTGTGGGCCGACAGAACCACGACACGCACACGCACACGCACAGAGAGAGAGAGACAGACTGGCAGCTTTTGCTGTTCGAGCTGAGCTGAGCTGAGCTGGGATGGGATGGGATGGGATGTTTTCACGTTAAACCCAAATTACTGACTGAACTTGTTCTTATTGCTGCTCTCTCACTCTCACTCGCAATTGGATGCTATTGTTCTTATTCTGTTCTATTCTATTCATCTCTATTCAGCTCAATCTCCATATATATATACTCATATATATACTTACATCCATATATATACACAATCATATATATATATATATATATATATATATATACATACACATCATTTCATACACTAATTGTACTTCTTTTTAGGGTGGACGTCTACATCTACACATCTCTCTGGTTTTTGTTTCAAGTGTATTACTGGTTTACTGCCTGAAGCTTAACTTAACTTTCATCAATCTAATATAAAACTCACATCACATCACATCACATCACATCATGGCTATTGCTCCTATCACTGGCACTTTAAAGAAAAGAATTATACTAGATATCGCCATCGGTTTCTCCCTAGGTGGTGTAATGGCTTCATACTGGTGGTGGGGTTACCACAGAGGCTTGATCAACAGAAGAGAAGCTTATTACGCTAAACTAGCTGCTTCAAAAGAATAAATAATCCTTCTTTATCCACCCCCATCCTAACTCAAAAAATTAAATATTCATCTATATATATATATCTCATTAGACTATTTTATCTCTAATTTTTATAAGTATCTTTTTTTTTACTATGTGTATACTTAAAAACTCATTTCAAATTAATTAACTGAAACAATCGCCTTTTCTACTTTCTTCCTTCCATAACTAATTTTTTTAAATATACTTATAACTTAAGGTTTTTTTGAGCCCGTCTTGACAAAACTAACCCAACTCAACCACTCACATACAAGAAAACACACTTATAGCAAAACTACACTTACACTTACACTTACACTTACACTCTACCTCCCACATCCCCACCCCCATGTCAAGAGTATCCCACCTCAACAAAATACTGGCTCTACAAAAATTCAATATCAAAATCACAAACCAATCTGAACTTTTGAAATGCCTACAATCTGCAAAAAATTTAAACGTCTCAATAGACAACAACACCTTCATATACAGAGATAACCTCCAACAGATAGGCAACTCCCTCCTACACTTACATATAAACGAAATGTACTTGACTCTATTCAAAGACAACAACTCTAACAACGGCACTTTATCAAATTTTAACTTCAATTACATGAACTCATTGAAATTTAAAAGCAATTGGAAAATAAATCCAAATTCCTTAATTAAAAAATATCTAAGCACTTCAAACTTAAATAACTTATCAATTCTATCAATACCAGACAATAAAATCCCACAGAGGATAAGACTAAAATTCGATCTGTTAGCATTCAATTCATTAATTGGTTATTTATTGATTTCAAACGATAAAAAAACAATCGATAATCTGATAAAAGATTCAATCATACCCGTTCTAATCAAACTAATACTAAACTAATTCAATCCCTTCCCCCATCCATGCATCTCTATAAATTAAGGTTTGTTTTTTTCATTCTTTACCTCTCTATCTCTATTAAATTATATATACATTGATTTAAATAGTACGTTCACATATAAAAATCTATCATATCTAAATTACAAATACAAACTTGCTGCAAATACAATATCTCTTTTAATCAACTCTTGGGCTTGTGTCATCTTTTGGTGTAAATTAGAATTACCAATAATAATGGCCGCTGTCTTCACTTGTCTACAAATTTCGTCTAATCTAGTGATAACTCTGACAACTGTACCTTCTTGTTCAACACTGATCTCCATAATTTCTTTAAATGATAATCCACGAGCCCATTCATATACAACATTCATCAATGCAAACCTTTTCATATCTAAAAATTCAGCTTCTTCCCTGGTTAAAGGAATTTGTTCTGCTTCATAAACATTCAACATCTTCTTATAAATCTCTTCAATCTTCTTCTTACCTTTTGCTAACCTTGGTGTTCCAATAGGTGGTTCTTCGTCTTTAGTTCTACCTTCATAAATGAAAACACTTAATAAGGCTACAATCTCTTCAGGTTCAAAATCACCCAAGAAATTGTCCAAGATTAATTCAGTGATTACCAGTTCATACCCTGAATTGATCTCGCAAGCAACACGTCCCTTTAACATAACATTATGATTCTGATCAATGAACCCTGTGGCTTTTAAAACGGATAATCTCTTCTCATAATCTGGTAATAAATTCAAATTTTGATCTGACATCAAATGATATAAACCTTTAATTTCTTTCTCAATCATGAATTTCTTATACTTTGGTTCAAAATGTGAATATAAATCATCACATTTCAAAACCTCACTATTCTCCAATCTTTCTTTAATGTTTGCCCTTTCTACTAAACTTTGATGCACCTTTAAGTTACCTCTCTTTTCTGTCTTACTTTCTTTCAACTTTGGTGCAATTCTTAGTACAACTTTAATCTCTTCATGTAATTTGGCCATTGCTTCCGGTTCTCCATTTATGATCTGTGTGAACGGAACTTTCAAAACTAATGGGGAAACAATTTCAATAGCGCTCACAGAAATCTCCTCAATAGTAAAAGGTATACTCTTAAACTTATTAAAATACCTGTTACAATACTGAGCAATGGAAGATAAATATGGCAAATGATTAGGTTGCCCATTAGGTAAAATGTTTGGTGATGTAAAAGATATAACCCTTAGAGTTGCTGCCTTCACATTGTTACTATAAATAAATCCCAATTTAGCAGAACCGTCTATATCTCTAAATAAAATCAGTCTTCCTGCCTTTAACACATAGAAAACAGCACCTGTCTTTGTCAATTCCTCCATCATATTAGCGGTTACTTCAGAGTATCTAATAGAATCATTTAAGAAACTATCTAAATGGTCACCACAAACTGCACAATCAATATCTTTTATAGCAGATAAAGATTCCTGTAATTCTTTAATCTTCTTTTCATGTTCAGGTAGCAAGGTTTGCTTGGTGTTTTCACTAAAAGAATATTTTATCATTTCTTCAACTTTTAACGCTTCAATTCTTAGCAAATTCAAAATCATGTTATAAGTCAATTTAAATTGAGATTCTAATTTAGTTGGAACACCAAGAGTTACTTCCTTAAATGATAACGATTGTAATGGATCATTATATGCCATGACAATTACGGTACCAGTATCATCTAACCCTCTACGGCCTGCTCTACCCGCCATTTGTGTAAATTCACCAGGATTTAAATCTCTTAGACCAACACCATCATGTTTCTGAATCTCACTAAAGATAACAGTTCTTGTTGGTAAGTTCAACCCCATTGCAAATGTTTCGGTAGCAAATAAAACACGTATCAATCCCTTAGAGAACAATATTTCTATCAATTCTTTCACAATTGGCAATAGACCACCGTGGTGAACTGCAATACCTCTTTCCAATAATGATCTAATCTTCAAAATTTGAGGTAATTCTCTATCTTCCTTCTTTAATCTTGTTATTGATTTTTCAATGAACATATGAATTTGAGATTTTTCTCTGTTATTGCAGAAATTCAGACTCTCTAGATAATCAGCATAATCTTCACAACGCTTCTTACTAAAAACAAAGATAACAACTGGTAAAAGTTCCCTTCCCTTCAAGAAATTGATGATATCAGGCCAAGTCTTCTTATTAGGACCACCTCTTCTAAAGAATTTACTTTTATTAGAACCAACAGCACCAGCACCACGAGATCCACTGAGTGCGTTCCCTCTGGTTGAAGAACCACCTCTTGTAGATCCACCCCTTCTTGATCCTCCTCTTATAGAACCACCTCTACTGTTATTGGTCTTCTTATCATCTGGCTTGGAAGAAGATGGAACCCCTTCTATCAATTGTTTATGCTTTTTAAAATTTGCCTCTAAAAATTCTCTCTTGGAATTAATTACTGGGATTAAAGTATTCTTGGCCCAAATATTGATTTCTAAGGGCACGGGTCTTTTAGGCGTAGAAATAACATATATATTTTTTTGTTTCGTTCTACCTATCCAATTTGCAAATTCATAAGTGTTAGGGACAGTAGCAGATAACAGAATAAACTTTACATGCTGTGGTAACATAATTATAACTTCCTCCCATACAACACCACGATCTTGATCATTAACATAATGGACTTCATCAAAGATAACAAACTCGACATCTCTGATAAGGTCAGCACCACGATAAAGCATTGATCTTAAAATTTCAGTAGTCATAATTAAACAATTAGCTTCGGGATTAATCTGAACATCACCAGTAATTAACCCTATTTCAATGTCATCAAAAGTTTCTTTAAAGTCTCTAAATTTCTGATTCGATAATGCTTTGATTGGTGAGGTATATATAGTCTTAGTCATGTTACGCTTTGACATCGCAATAGCGTATTCAGCAACGACGGTTTTACCTGCAGATGTGTGTGCTGCTACAAATACGGAATCACCTTGCTCTAAATGGTATACAGCTTCTTTTTGAAAGGTATCTAACTCGAACGGCCATGTTCTTGCTGGATTTGGAACCATTTCACTAAAATTCTCAATCTTGTGATTCAAATCTACTACATGAGCCCATTCTTTTCTTTCGAGCAAATTTTGTTGGTTTTTGACAGTTCTTCCAAATTCGATTCCTATTGGCAATAGATCGTCGATTTCATTTAAATCTGCGGTTGTAGGTTGATTAGCCAAAACAGTTTGAGTAAGTTCTTTAACTAAGTTATCTTCATTATCATATAACTGTTCTATTTCTTCTTTGTTTGCAATTTCATTATCAATAGAATCAATCTCATGAATAGTATCAACTTGATCATTGGTAGTAGACACATGTAACTGTGGCAATATTCCTCGCTCAAATCCTGTTGGGATATCAAATAAACCTTGGTCATCCTTATGCAGAAGTTTAGTAGCAGTCGACATTGCTGAAGTATTTTTCTTCCTTGTGCCTTCAGGGCCCATAACTACACCACCAGGAGCAAATGGAAGTTGTGAACTTGAACCTGAGATGAAATTACCATGTGCATTAACTGTTCTTGTTAATGACAAAGAATTTGAAGCATTAGCGTTTGCAATTTCCTTTAAGTTAACTTCTTCCTTATAATTGTCAATATGACCTTCAATACCACGTCTTTTAAAATAATATGCTGTTCTTTTGATAGGCTCTGGTAATTGGAAAAGATCTTTATAATCATAAGCGGATTGGTTTGTATCGTTACCATTAGGCTCATCCAAGAAATTCATTGATGGAACATTTTGAACTAAATCTAATAAACCCCAAGATAAGTTATTTGTAGGTTTTAGATATATATTTCTAATATTCTCTAAGTCTGGCTCTTTTGAATCCTTATCGAAATCTAATTTAGTTATTTTATCTTCGAATAATTCGACATCTTCGTTAGTAACTTCTCTTAAACTCTTGTAGAGAGCATCAATTGTATCAAGAGAACTCATTGCAAATCATACAAATCCTTTGATTCAATAAACAGAGGTAACAGACAACCTTTTAAAGTATTAAACTTTGTATAATAGATTTTTGGTAAGCAATTTCTCTTAATGTACAGTATTTAATCCAGCTTATATTATACTAATAATGAATATAAATATTAAAGATATAACCTTTCCTTTATCATAAAATTTCAATTATCGAAAACGTCAATAATGATATTTCATTAAAGGCGATGATAGTAAAAGTTGATTGTATTAAATACATATTAATTGATGTTTAAACAAAATTATACATAATTAAAGTATATAATAGGAAACAGATATATCAATTTGATCATTGAATAGATGTAATTAAATTAAGAGGTAATCAAAGGTACTAATGTTTTTTATAATGATTTTTATATTTTTGCTAATTTTTTTTTTGGTCTTTTCTTGAGTAAGATGTCGCTGATGTTCTGTTACCACCACATCTCATCTACCAGAAATATTATTTAAAATAATTTTTTATATATATGTATGATTTCTAATGTTACAAATTAGTTTTCATTTTGAGAAAATTTTGGATTCTATATACGTAAATTTATTATGCTCGATGTTTTCCCAAAAATTTATTACTATTTCAAATTAAAGCATTGAATTTCATAATCATCTTATGCTGTTGGACTTTAGAATGAAATTTTATAATTGTTAATTTTTGTCATTATAAACTTTGCACTTGATAACAAGGTCAAACTAAATGAGAAGCCTCAATAAATCTATTCTTCCTCACTTTCACTACTTGCATCGCCATCATCGTCTGATGATGATGAAGCTGATGATGAAATATTATGATTATGTGGATTTAATGGGGAACCATTTTGACTTAATGGAGAAGCGCCATCTAAAATGGCTAACTTACTTCTAATTTTTTCGATTTGCTTACTTTGCTCTTCTTCAGATAATGCCTTAGATCTTCTTTTTTTACCATGACCGCCTGCTAAAGCATTTGATGGTGAAATAGGCGATCTAGCATTATTACTTACAGAATTTGCACTTAGATTTGAACCATTTGCAGAAGCATCATACCCTCTGAAGAAGGTGTTATACAAAGTCAAAATGGTGTTGTTATTCAGGGTATCTAAATCCAATTCAACTTCATCATCTTCTCCAAGGTTTGGCATAGATTTCTTTATGATATTAATTGCCTTTTCTAACTTTGCAGTTGGTAAATCATTAATCTTTTCTGTAATTATCTTCTTCATTTCATAAGTTACTACAGTTTTTAATTTATTCTTTTTACTTCTCCTACCTTTTGAATCAGATGTTGAATTTACTCTTTTACCCTGTGATCTTTTGCTGCGGTGCTTTCTGGCACCACGAGCTAATCTTCTTTCTTTTCTGATTTTTTCCAATTCTTGTTTTTTCAATTGTTGTAATTCTACTTTCATTCTTGCTAATTGTTCTTCCAAATATTGGATAGCAGGGTTTGTGATCGAAGTTTCATCAATTTCAGAATCTGATTCTTGCGAATCGTAATTATCAGAATAATATTCATCACCATAACCATTCTCATTTTTATTATTTTCTTCATCAGAGTCGTAATCATTAAAATTTGGTCTGTCAGCCCATTTGGAATTATAAACTTCTTCTAACCTATGACCCATCATATTGACTATTGTACCTTCTGGATTAAATTTAAAACAGTTATCGAACATTAATTTAATATCAGTTTCAAATTCTTCCATTGATTTATACTCCCAATTATTTAGCTTCTTTGAGATAGTGCCTAAATCAATTGGGTTTTTAATGATTTCGAAATAGGTAGGTAAATTTAATGCCACAGGGTCGACAGGTTCCAAAAATGGGTAATTAAAAGATGCATATTTTTTATTTGCCAGTTCTTTAACTACAGTTTGACAAAATTTCATTGCCTGCTGTAATTTTTTAGACTTTGGCTTTTTATTTTCTACAGGATAAATATCTTTTGACTTTGGTGGATGAATCTCTCTTTTTGGTCTACCGTTATGGGTTTGTGCTCGCCTTATCACGACAGGGGTATCTTCATCAGTTTTCTTTCTTCTTTGTTGTTTTGGAGGTTCCTCGTCTTTCGCTGGCATATTTAGCATATGTTTTTCGAATGCAGCTTGAATATTTCTTGCCATCTGTGCGATCATTGAAGTTGGACCATTAAAGACAATACAGTTATCCACCATTAGATTGAAATCACTAGATATTTGTTCTGGAGTTTCGTAAGCGTTTGCGTTTAACTTTCTTTCTATAGTTGATAAATCCATAGGTCTTGTGATTTTGTTAAAATAGTAAGGTATATTTAATGCTGCTGGATCAACAGGTAGTATGAAAGGTTTCGAGTCTTTTAACCTTTTGACAGCTTTAATAGTCATCACAGCATGCTTTTGCTGATGTTTCGGCAAAGGATTCTTTGGTAAATTATTCATGTCAGGCTCCTGTGGCGGTGCAGGAGCAGGACTTTGACCCTTGAATTCTTCAGGTACTTGAGGAACGTGTTGTGCTTGCGGCACTAGTTCTTTGGTAACTTCGGAAGATGTATTTGCATCAGCATCGGTATTAGGCATAGCATTTTTATCCTCATCATTTATTTTAACTTTTTAACATCGTCAGTATTTTCATCCGCATCCTCCTCTAGTGGTCTTTTAAGTATGTCTTGCGATCCACCCATAATATCGTTACTTGTTGATGTTTCTGTAGTTGTAGTTGAACTGGAGGGAGCAGTTGTTTTATCGATAGTGCTAGCACTACCCAATACATCACCTACTACGGCACTCATTGCTTCTGTCATTGAAAACGAAGATTAACTATTTGATATTTTTGATAAGCTTATCCTTTAACAAGTTTAAGTCTTTCTTTCTATCTTTCTTTATAAACTATTCTTGTTAAATTATTGTATTAATAATAATAACAACAATAATAGTATAGCTTTCTTTATACGACTATTATTTCTGAAGACTATTTGTATTATTATTAATAAGGAAAAAATGACGACAATAAAGTAAAATAAATCAAAACTAAGTGAGATTAGTAATTAATAACTATGCAATGATATTTTTCTTAATATACAACGGAATATAACCCTAATATCCGTACGTCACGTCACACCCAAGGAACAAAAATTTAAAACAGGAAAAGTAAGTTAATAGTATTTTAATTTAATATGAAAAAAAAAAAAAAAAAACAAACAACAAACAATACTAATAAAACAAATACAGACAGTTTGGAATAGTACCTTTCTAATATATATATATAAGTATATATATGTGTGAGTTTGTAATCTGACTGTTTTTAACTATTACGTTTTGTTTTAGTTTGTTTACTTTCCTCTTTCTATGCTATAATAATTAACTATACTATACTATACTAGTTAGTATATTATTAATTATAATATTAATATGATATGATATGATATCTCAGGGAAGAAAAAAAAGCCGCCGCTGACACCGTTAGCAGTGATGCTCTCTGTATTTATACAACTAGGATTTCCCTTAAAAAAAATAAAAATAAACAAAAACAGGGAAAATCAAAAAAAGAAATAAATGTATCCCTTTCAACGAACCACTATTAATAAACCTGAATAGAACTACAGAGAAGCTCTAATAGAGAGAAACAACGACAACAACACTAAAAAATATCACTGAAAACCCAAAAAATAGAAAAGTTTGAGACAGACAGAGGTGAAAAAAAAAAATATGATCCTTTTCTGAAAACCCAAAATAAAATGCCAATGTTTTTGTGTTTTTCTTTATATTAAATCCATTTGGTATTTATCTCTCTCGTTATTTCATTATAATTCATAGTTATTGATTACAATTCGTCGTTGTAATTGTTGTTCGTCGACGAGAGGTAACGATACACTGCAGAAGGCCGTGGTAAAACAATTTTTTTTTCTTCCTCTTCGTTTTTTAAAAAACAAAAAAAAAAAAGAATAAACAAATAATCAAGTTGCAGCAGACGGACACTCGCAGAGGGAACACCGGTGACAAGCATTTTTATCATAAAAACAACAAAAACAAAAAATAAAAAAAAAACAAGTTTTTTTCCTCAAAACAACCGACCAGTAGCGAAGAACGTAGAGCAGGAGGGTAAAAACAAGAAAGAAAGAAAAAGGGGGGCGGCAGACTGATAGGTAAGCAAGTGGGAAAATAAAACGACGACGGACAACAACAACAAACTGTTGTTTTTTTTAAAAATTACCCAGCAAACTTTCCAGCGAGGTAGGAAGATTGCTGCTGCACTCGTTGGACTTGAATAAAAAATAAACAGCTAATGATGGTAATGACGATGGTTTGAGTAGGCAATTATGGGAAGTTAACATCAAATTTGAAAAGTAGTAGCAAGTGCTGGTGTACGATAAGTGAGTTTCTCGTAGGACCTTTCTCTCTATGGAGAGGAAATTTTTGGGAAAATAAAAAAAAAACAAAAAAAAAGTAAAAGAGCAGTATGCAAACATCGTGACACCTCAGTGTTTTACGTTCTATATGACAGAGTTGGTGTGGTGCACAGACTGCCATTTGCTCACTAGTTATTTCTGGAAGTGTGTGTATTATGTTTCTTTCTCCTCTGATTTAGTTTTTCATTATCGTTAATGTATTGCTAAGCAGCACTGAGCTGAACAAAAATATCATAAAAGGGAGGCTGGGCTGGGTAAATGACTTATTTATTCTTGTTTTTTTTATTGAGAAACTACAACAGTTAAATCAGCAGCTATTCGACCAGCAATAACAAAAGAAGCACATTGTATTTCTATTTTTGCAAAACATCTTGAAATTTATGTTTGTTCTTTGATGTTCTAGAAAGATTGCTTTGCTGCCTTGAGACAATATACCTTTCTTAATTTATTATATTTTTTTAGGCAAATGGCAAATGGCTTAGTGGCCCATACATAGTGCAACTAGTTAATCCTGTCCTTCGGCTGGATTACTCTTGACGCACAATTTTGCATTTCTTGTTTTGTTCTAATTTTATACTCTCGTGATGGATGATTCCCAGGTCTTCCATAAGGACGGAAAGCACAGCAATTAAAAGCATTGGTGATATTCTTAGCTAGACCGTAGCCATTCTCTCTTCTCTTCTCTCTTGCCATTTGAACTTATCATAAATGTTTCTGAGCTCAAAAAAATTCGATCGTTCTGGAATCAGGGTAAAAAGTGGGTGTTTTATTTTATTGAACCACTCTTTATAATGACGTAATTCATGTATACTCACGTGGTGTATTTTGGGAGGTTACCCTTCCATTAATCTGCATATATTAAATAGCATCATCTTTCTATTATTTTCTTCGCTTCAAGCTATAAGCAATATTAACTCTTTTCGCCTTTCTTTACTTTACCTTTGAAGCCTTGGTTTTGCCCTTTACTTCATTTCAATACATTCTTCAAACACTCCCTCATAAGCTTAGTCATAAAACAATTATATATATATATATGTATGTCTACGCTTTCTTATTCTTAAGTTTAATCTCTTGTCTAATGAATTACAACGAAAGGTATTTGGCTTCAATTCCAACCGAATCAAATCAAGCCAAATTAAATTAAATTAGAACATGTCTTTGTATAATCAATTGGTTTTCATAATCCTGATAGTTGAAATAGTGTCATTCACTATACTATCACTACCACTGCCTTCAAAGTATCGCAAACCTCTAACTTTATTACTAATTAAACCCTTCCAAAATGAAAAAATTCAAACTGCTATAAAATGTATTATTGCATTCATACTCATATTATTCATCGATTCTATTAATAAAGTGTATAGAATTGATAATGAGTTAAAATTTAATAAACTAAAGGGTACAAATGGAGGGGGTTTGGTGAATAGTTCGGACAGAGTGGAAATTTATTCAAGAAAATTCTTAGCTCAAAGAAACATGTACTTAACCGGTATAACATTATTCTTAACTTTCACCGTTGTAAGAACTTTTAATTTAGTTACAGAATTACTAAAATTAAAGGAATCTTACAGAAGTGAAAAGAAAACTGATTCAAACAAAATTTCTACAGAAATTGAAGAAACCGACGATGAAATCAATAGATTGAAGGAAAAGGCTTTGCTTTTACAAAAGGAAATGGAATGAATTCCAATTTAATTACATAAAAAAAAAGATACAGAAATACCTCCAAGTTTCTACATGGATTTTTGTTATAATTCATTATATTGCTAAATACTTTAAATTATTCCCTTAGTTATTATTTATTACCCTTAAATTTCAATCCTCTTTTTTAATGTCCAGTTGAAAAATAGAAATTTTCAAGTAAACGTAAATTTATGAAATACAGAGTTAAAATCATTCTTGACAAATTTTTGTATGAATTTTAGTCAAACCTCGGTACATATTAAATGTGAAGATAAGTCGGATCAATTAATCTAATTAATCCGCCTCTGCTTTTAATTTATAGATTTAAGACCTTTATAAAAGTATATCTTGATGATTTTTAATTTTTGACACGTTATTGCTTTTACATTAATAATACTGACATGACTTATAATTATTACAAAGAGTGCTCCTTTAATTCCTAGAATAGAGAACGATAAGTGTTCTTAGTTATACTCACTCCCATTGGGTATAACAATACAGAAGCAAAAACCCTGTTAAATTAAATAATTCCGATATTTTGATATCATTTACATTTTTAATAACAGCTATCTCTTGTTATCACGAATATCTTGCTAGCTATTACAATATTAACATGTAATCATGTTGATATTTATTTTTAACCTAAATTTTGCAAATAAAATCTTACTGCGGCCAATTGTAGTATACAGGGTATTAATAATTCTTGGAAACCTATTTTAATCACCTCTGCCATTCTACTGCAGCCTCTTGAAGAGAACATCAACATTTGCGTGTCAACCAATTGAAAACAATTGCGAACAATATCTTAAATAAAATATTACACATTGCTTTAATTCTTTCATAATTTAGAGTTGAATATTATCTAAGATTTGGAAGTAACTACGTAGTACTTTTTAATATACGATTAGATCAAAGACATATACTCTTCACTTCACTTATTGACATTCAGTTGTGATATCTTAAAAAGATGAAGTGTAAGAAGAACACAAGTAGGGTGAGATGCGTTGTTTCTTCATAGTAGATAGTGAGGAAAAGACTTTAAGAGCACTGAGAAGATAGAAATCACTGGTAAAAGGGAAAGGGGGGAGGCAAAAGAAGTGATATTACAATTCTTGTAGCATATAAAAATAAAACAGTACCAATTAAAACTCATCAATCTAATTAATATTATTGTAATGAACAACAAATAGTTCAGAATTTAATTCATCTTACTTGGTTCATTTAATCGACCTGTAGAAGTAAAAACATGAGCTGGGTATAAAATGTTCTGAAATTCCAATTAGTTTATTTAATAAATTATAGTTGCTTATTATTTTCTGATGTTGCATATTTCTTGTTTCATATTTTCTTGTCTTACCGCTTACTGTATACATCTCAATTGAGATTAATCCCACTACACATTACTTGTGAAAAGGTAGATTCGGTGACGTCAATTATTTTACATTTAAAAATCATACAAGATGTCATTAATTCCTTAATAAGGCACTGACTTGTCAAAAAACATGATATTTACATATAGACATACATATTTCCTAAACCAGGTAAAAGTACATTATACTCATGGTTACCAGATTGGTAATATTGGTTGAGATCCTAATATACTTAATGTAACCTGTGCGATTTTTTGAATATTCAATAAAACTCTAACACAGACCGAATTGACATCAGTTTTAAGTCGACACTGAGATTGAGTTTTTGTTACTTCCCTATCGCTATTGCTATTACCGTTGCAAGAAATCTAGCAACGCCAGAGTTATAAAGTTGACAAACTGTATTTTCTAGAATCGTATATAACAACGTTACATCTTAAAAAGACAAACCAGATATGCTTATTACTTTGCTAAATTCTCTTTTGTACTCTGTTAAATTAATTCTTTTCCAAGTGTTTGGTCTACCCCTTTTTCACCCCTCCCCGCATATATTAACAATTTCCCCTCCCCTCGGTTGCCGTATTATAGTAATATTCTTGACAATTACATATTAAATTAATGGAAAAGTAACGTCTTGAACCTTTAAGAATCTTACCAACAGAGTTTCCCATTCTACTTTATCTTCTTTTCGAATCAAGAAAAATCTTGGATAAAGCAAGACAAAATTCTTGTGTTGCTTGAGTATCGATGACGAAGCCAACGAGAAACAAGTGAAGCAAACTCTGCTCAGTTGCAGTTTTAATGGACGATAGATAATACCTGAATCCAATGATGCAAAAAGAAAAAATGATAAAAGAGGAAACATGCTGAAATCAAGTTTTGGTTTTTGTAAGAAAAAAAAGTCCCAGTACGAAACGTGAACCTCAATTTGTCTTTGTTATGAATTTATTTTTTGATTACTCATTTGTTCACTTTAAGGTCATTTCAACAAAATTAAGTATTGAAGTATTCGCCTTATATTTCCCTAGTCCATTTCTCGACAAGATACGAGATTGAGAACTACAACAACAATACGTTTGATAAATAATTACATTAACAAAGTTTTTTTTCTTTTTTTCTGATGTTACTTTATCTTGTGCTACGATAATCCTAGCCAAGAGTCGACTTTCTTTTCTCTTGATCAGATGAAAAGCAAGATATTAACCTCATTAAATGATCTCATATAGTGAAACACCCATAGTACATAACGCTATTTCACTATTTCCACAGCGATTTCGTACTCTCTAGTCTGTTAGAATATAGTTTTCTCAGACAAAAGTGTTAGAAACATAAGAAAACTACTACAAGAGAAGATGAAATTATATAGCACCATATACATATTAATATTTCTTCAGCTGTTAAGATAATAACCATAATTAATAACATATATCTGGGATTGTTTTCTCGATTGCTTGTTCTCTATAAATTTCTTGATACTAATCTAATTGTTCAATTAGTGATACATTCCGTGTAATTTTATTTGCTTTAACTCTTCCTCTGTTGCTCTCATAGTAATTAATCAAGTAGCCTGACGGATAAGTTGGGTTAATTTAATTTAATTTGATTAAACTAGTAAAAGGTAAGTTTCGGGGGAATCGAATAATATCCATCAGTCCTACTTATCTTAGTGCTTACCTACCTTCACGTATATCTATTAATTCGTATCCCACGCAAGTGTCTCTGTATTTTCTTAAATAACTCGGCTAACTGTTTCTTATTTCAACTTGCTTTTCTTCCCAAGTTTCGCTGGCAGAGAGAGAGAGAGTTGGTTCGTCGATTCTTTTCTCTTTGTTGTTTTAATTTTAATTTTGTAGTCGTATGCCAATTTGCTTGTAACTGGTTTCACCATCGTTGTCGTCATCAACACCATCGGCTGCATTTTAGCCTACATCTTAGTTGATCTAATATCTAATATTTTCTTAGCCATGGAGGTATCATTTTCCTCCGGAGAAATTTCTGGCCGCTGTGACCTTCAGACTTTTCTTTGTCCAATCCCACTTTGCTTTTTTCTGAAAAGCTATTATACTGTATATTGCGTATATAGTGATAGCAAAATGGAGCCCAGCAGACAAATGGTACAAGTAAAAGTACTGGGTTTCCTAATTTGACCAACGGCAACCAATGAGATATAAGAAATCGGGAGACAACACCACACGGAGAAAAGAGGGACAGAGACGGCAAACAGTAAGTATATATAGATTATACCCAAATTTCTCTTGAAATTGTTTCTTTTTCTGTTCAACTTGGTATAAATTGTATGTAGCTCAATTTTAAATTATATTTGTATTTCATTCATACTTGAAGAATGCTGCAGAAACGGGGGTGGAAATAGAGAGATACAGTCAATGAAAAGAAACCGATGGGGAGAAACAGCAGTTGGGAAATTTAGCCTCAACAAGAGATGGTAATGTATTTTTATTTTTATTTTTATTATTATTATTATTATTTTTTATTTCTTGTTCTATCAATCATCCCATAATCTACCGAGAAGAGAGAGAGAGAGAGAAGATAAAAGAGAGAGACTACTCTATTATGTGGTTCTTTGCAATAAAAAAAAAAAGCCAGGCCCAGATTACAATTGATATTAATATCTCTATATATCAACATTTTGGCCATTGGCGTTAGTAATAGTATAAGCACTGGTACTATTCTTCATTAGACAAATATTCCTGTCCAGGTGTATAGCAATAATAAACTTTTAATTTCTAAACCACAACTTTAACAACTGGATGCTGATTACGTTGGCCTGTGTGTCATTCATTCATTCATTCATTTATTCATCACCATACACAGAAAGAGAGAGATATAGTTAAGCTTACTTGAAATTATCTTGATTTAATTCAATTATTGAAATCCTTTATTGTAGACTTGTAAAAAGAGATCAAGGGAGAAAGAGAAACAGAGAGACAAATAAGGTGGTAAATTAAATTATAACAGGCATTAGTCTGTCTCTCTCTCTCTCTCTATCTACTTAATTTCCTAACATTGCCGGTATACTCTAATACAATCTTTCCATCTTCGCTCTCTCTGTTTCTTTGCCCCTGTTGCTCTCTTGTTGATGTAATATCTATCGTTTTCCCATTATTCCTTTACTAAGCCGTAACGTCTGACTACCTTACACAAGAATACCACCAATCAATCATATTATTATCATTATCAAAATCGTCTTGTTCACAATTAATTCTTTCAAAAATAAGTCGAACCAAGTAAATTGATAATTAGCAAGATATTCTGCTGATGCTGATGCTAAGGATGACACTCAACTTACATATTAAATTCAAGAATAGCAATAATTTAGACAACCTATCTTACTATTTTGTCATCTGTCGCTTTACTTCACTGCATACCATTACATTAGTGTTATTATTACTAGTATCATTAATACCCATAATAATACGAATGAATTTAATTGAGTAATAAATCATCAGTTAATTTCAATATCATATCATTATTCTAATTTTTTTATTTTTTAAAAAATGCTTGTTATTGTTGCTGCTGATGCTTATTCCACTGCTGCAGCTGTTCTTATTCTTGTTGTTACTACAACTAACTATTTTGCGGTCCCACCATCCTTCTTGTATGCAATTTTCTCTTGACCCATTGATTTATGCTGTAACCTGATCAGGAATCTACCATTTTTGGGTTACTATTCCTGGCTTTCTCAATTTAAATATCAGTTTTTACTATTTTCTTTTTATTGAGGTTATGGTTGTAGTGGGTTTAGTCCCAACTTTTCGTACTGAACTTAATGGAACTACTACTGCCATTACTACTACTTCCATTCAAACTTATAAATGTTCCGAATACTTTATATACTAACTCCCTACATAATCTAGTGCTTTTGCTACACCTATATCTCTTTTACTTCACAAAACTAAAAAGCACTAGTATCTAAAAAAACTAACTAACAAACTAACTATTATTCATGTCGTAATGTATACGTTCATTGATTGATCGATTGATGGATTGATTGATTAATTTGAATTGATTTGATTGTAATTAGCTGCGTTGCTCTGCTTTTCTTATAAGTTCTTCTCCGTTAAATTTAACTATTTTCATGTTATAGCTAACATATTTCAAAGCTGAATGAATGAATACATCCTTCCATTTAATGGCTCTCTCTATCTCTCTCTACCTATCTTTACTCATTCTGTAAGCTTCCTAACCATTTCTTGGTCTTTAAATAATTACCAAAATTGCTAGAATGGTACAAAAGTACCGGTTTCTTATAACATATATCTAGTTTATGTATATATTAGCTTATTTCTTTTAATATCGATTAATGTCTCTAATCTTTTAAAATTTCAATATTTTAAATTTAGTCTTCATATTTATCTATCTGATACCTATCTAATTCTATATACTATCTAATTCTTTATACTATCTGATTCGTTTTCACTTTATACTACTGTTTTCTAGTTTAAATAGACGACAGAAATAGAATCCAAGTCCTTTTAATCAATCCATCCTTATTAATAATATATAATTATCGATTGTTTTTTTGTTTGTTGTCATTACAATCAATCAAAAGCTGGTTAAATAAAAAGGTAAATTATTATTTATTAGTTATTGGACTTTATTTTATTTCATTATATTTTTTTGCTTTATAATCTTCTTATCCCTAATTGAGAAGGGTTGAATTGACTTTTTTATTAACTGATCTCTTTACTTCTTGGTTGATCCGTAGTGGTACTATTATTGCTATTATTTCATTTTAATAAGGATAGTGTTACTAATCAATTATACTTTATTTCTTTATTCATTGTATCGTGTATAATATAAAGTTTTATTGCAAGGTTTAGTTTAGTGTTTTGAGGACGAAATAAATTAGTTAGGTTTTTATTCTTTATAAGTATTCAATTCCAATATTATAAAGGAAATACTTACATTCAAGTTTAGGTCATTTTCTAAAGATAGATGTCAGCTACTTCTAGTAATCAGGAAACTACTACCAGTAGTCTACAACCAACTTCAATAATGTCCAGTAGGTTCGATCAAGTAGACCATTTAAGTGATCTATTACCCCAAACCATCAATGTCAATAAAATTAACAGAGATTCAATAGCCCATGCTCAAGGTGTCGGTGGCGTATCATGGGGGTCATTGACTGTTGGTTCGTGGTTAAAAGATGAAGTGATGTTTCATGCTAATATATCAGATTTTAACACTATAAATAGTAATTCAAATGCTATAAATATTAATAATAACAATGTTTCATTGAATATAGAGAGATCATCATTTTCGAAACCAAATTTTAATAACAATAAATTGCATTCAACTTCTCCTCATTCCCATAACATATATTTGCCAAATCTGGAGAAACAATATTGTAAAGATTACTCTTGTTGTGGGATATCTTTACCAGGCTTACATGACCTTTTAAAACATTATGAAGATGCTCATATAGAAATACATCCGAATCTAGATAATGGCCATCGTATACCTAACTCAAATAATTCAGCATCAGATAAAATTAATAAATTTGCCAATAGAAAAGAACAATCCTTTGGTAATATTTCTAAGCCATACAATATTATGAATTCATCACATGCATTATCTTCAAATCAATCAACAATAGCGGGATCAATTACAAATCATCAGGACTTTAAGTATTCAGGAAAAAATTTTACAACTAATAAGAAACTTTCAATGCAAACAACATCCAATAATTTATCACCTAATAGAAACGGTTCATCCAGTAATGATAATGATTCATCTCCATTATCGGTAAACGTCAACAATAATTTATTAGATACTGTATCCACAAAGGAAGTTTTTCTAAATCCATTTGATAAGAAACTATCAAACTTCAAGAATCAGAAGATAAATTATGATTTATCTACAAATCCATTGACTCCACAACCTTCATTTAATGATACTACTAAAAATCAAAACAAGACTTACAATGATATCAACCTGTCCCGGAATAATTACAGCACAAACTCATTCACTTCTACTAGTACCCATTCGACGTCGTCATCATCAATATTCAATCCTCTATCATTGCAGAAATCAGGAAGTACATCCAATACTTTAGTATCGTACAATAATCAAGGTGTTGCTCATAATGTTATTGCTGATGAATCAGAATCAGATTCAGATTCAGATGACGATATAGATGGAGGCTCCGAAATGAATACATCTAACGTTCCAGAAGGTTACATCGATGATCCAGCACGAAGGCTGTATGTCATGGATCAAGATACTGATAAACCTTTTAAGTGTCCAGTTATAGGATGTGACAAGACTTACAAAAATCAAAATGGATTGAAATATCATAAATTACATGGTCACCAAAACCAAAAATTGCATGAAAATTCTGATGGTAGTTTTAGTATTTTAGATCCACATTCTAATGAATTACTGACAGATGATTCCAATAACGAAAAGAATAAACCATATAGATGTGAAGTGTGTGGTAAACGTTACAAAAATCTAAATGGGTTAAAATATCATAGGGGCCATTCGACCCACTGAACCCAATAATTTGCATTCAACTTTAATTTATTTTTTACAATCCACTTCTTCCTCCTCTACTTTAATTTCGTCGATCAATCATCATAAAATGCTTGATCAATCTATCCTTTCGCTGCCTCCTTCGAAGCATATTCACATACTCATTTTTGTTTTATTTTTTTTACAATGTTGTCTTACAAATTTAGACTATATTTATTTACCGTTGTTTCATTTAGTTTTGGTGTAATTATTTTTTTTATCAAGGTTATATTTAATGTACTTTTTCAATATTGTTTTATCCTGTTTAATAATAAACGAGTTACTTTACTTCTTTCTCATTGCAATGCCTATATAAACATCTTAAAAAATCTTCCCATCCCATAGTCCCACCCCAGCTCATTACAAGCTCTGGGGGAAAGGTCTTATATTTATATAACTAGAGTATATAATGTATATCATCTTTGTTGGCGGTTATCCAATTTTATATTACAAATTTCATATTATCCCCGTTTCTTTTTCTGTGCAATCATTTCAACTAAATTACATATCATTATCCACGACTTTTGGTCTAATGAAATTTTATCATACAATTTTTTTCTATAATATTATAATTTAATGAATAACACGAATATAAAATATAATTTAACAGAATCTATTAGTTAATAAGAACATAAGGATTTATATATTAACTTTAATTTGTTGATTTACAGTACATCTAGGACTAGCAGTTCATTGAACAAGTAGAATCATTCCTTGATATTAGAGTACAGGTATTGGTTCGTTATAGCTTCTTTGATTTGGAGAGTTTCTTTGAAGGTGTTGATAGCTTGCGATGTCATCTGAGCCTGCTGCGAAGAAAATAAAGTTGGATTTGAGTGAACCAGATGAACCTCTCACTCGTAATGATGTCATCTATTTTCAGAAGGAGGCTTTATTTAGAAAGCTAAATCTTCAGAGAACCAATTTGGAATCTGTTAAGACTCAATATGAACTATCTAAAAAACAATGTAATGATATTTCTATAAAATTAGGTAATATAATGGCTTTAGTTGTAACATTAGCTAGATTTCTGATTGAATTATGTGAAACAGATGAGGAGAAAAAGGTCTGTGAACAAGTTTCTGAAGGCGATGAAACAATAATTTTGCAACAAAGTGATTCATTTATCAAATTGCTTACTAAATATAGTGGACTTAAAACAACAAATTCGATAGATACATCTGAGTTAGCAACGAACTTAAAGAACTGGGAAAAGGAGAAAACTTCTTTAATTAATGAAAATAAACAATTAGAAGAAGAAGTTGAAGCTTTGAAAGAATACTATCAAAAAGAAATTCGTAAATATGATAGAGAAGATTCTGCCACAGTAAATAGAATTTTTAGGAAAATAAAAGAAGAAAGTGAGGAAGAAAAGAAAAACGAGATTACATCAAACGATGAATCTAATGGTATGAAAAAGGAATCATCATCTGATATAAAAAAGGATAATAAAAGTACCGAAAATCTGGGAAATTTGGAAGATGCTCAACAGAAACTTGATACAGAGTTTAAAATTACAGATCTTCAATCTCAAATTGAAGTTTTAACTAATACAATTGGAAGTCTGAAAGATGTTAAATCAAATTATGAAAATGAAATCAAAAATTTAAAAACACAACTTGCTTTAAAAGTCAAAAACGAAGGCTCCCAAGAAGAGGTAAAAGGCTTAATAGAAAAAGTTAAACATTTGACAAATGAAAATCAAATATTAACAGAAACTAATGATGAATTTATGTCAAGATTTCAACAGTTAAATCACGACAAAGAAATTTATACTGGTAAATTGATGAAAGAATTTGAAACAGCCCAAGAAGCTTTGAAGAAGCATAATGGATCTCTAGAAAAGGATTTAGTTCGAATTAGAGCCACCCGTGATGATCTATTAGCGAAGATGGCTATATTAGAAGCCGCGAGATCGAAGTGTGATGTTGTCGAAGAATTACAAAGCGCATTAGATATAATGAAAAAACAATACGAAAACTTTGAGAAGAAGTCAACTGAAGGCTCACATACTTCTCAAGATGCATTAATGAAAGAATTACAAGATCTTGAATCTGCATTCAAAGAATTATCGAATTTGACAAACAAGAAATATTCTGAATATTTAAATAATGAATCAGTAATTTCGAAACTAACAGTTGAGAAAACAAAGGCTGATCAAAAATATTTTGCAGCTATGAGATCGAAGGATTCGATTTTGATAGAGAACAAAAATTTGTCTAAAAGTTTAAGCAAATCTAATGAGTTAATTTTACAATTGAAAGAATCAGAAAAGTTATTCCAACAAAAGATTGAGAATTTGACTAAGCAATTGGAGTTATCCCAAAATAATGAGTTAAGGTTGATCAATTCTAACAAGACTGAAACCATGAAAATCATAGAATTAAATTCTCAATTATCTAATTTCAAGAAATCTGCTCTACAAAATGAGGAACAGATTAATAAGGAGGTTTCAGAACTGATAGATCTAAAAAGTAAATTACAATCATATGAAACCGAAAATAAAACTTTGGTCCTAAAGGAACAGCATCTAGTGGATAAGTGTGACAAATTACAGAAATCATTGTTATCCGGGGGTGGTGATAGCAGTACTCTTGCTGAAGAGTTAGAAAATTTCCGTAGTTTGGTGTATTGTTCATTGTGTTCCAAAAACTGGAAGAGCACTGCAATCAAGACATGTGGACATGTATTCTGTGATAACTGTTGCAAGGGTAGATTAGCATCCAGAATGAGAAAGTGTCCTACATGTAATAAAGCATTTAGCTCAAATGATTTATTATCTGTACATTTATGAGCATTTATACTGCCATATCATAATCATATGGTATTAATGGGGGGTTTCAATGACTTTAAAATATATATACATCATATACCATTAGTTTGTATCAATATTAAATAAGAATAATTTCATGATAATTTTATTTATCTTACTTTCTACGGATAATTGTTAAAGGTCATCGCAAAAGAAATATATTTAACAACTATCTGAAAAATTAATTAAATGATTATTTAATATGTGTATTTATATTCATATGTTTTCGAACTTGATTAAGTGATATTAGAGGCTTTAATAAAGATCAGCCAAATTAATAGACTAACAAGATTTTTATTTGGAACTATTTTGTGGAGTAGTACCTTTAGTATTGCAATTATTGATGAGATTAATTTAAGTGCTCCAAATAAAGAAACAATGAAAATATCAGTACCGAAACCTAAAACGCTAACTAATGAGAACGATCCATTATATATTATAAAAACAAGAAAGAAGACTCATAATAGAGCTGCTACGATTGCAGGTCCAATGGTGCGTTACTCCAAACTACCATTTCGTCAAGTTTGTAGAGATTATGATGTCGATATTGTATATACCCCGATGATATTAGCAAGAGAGTTTGTACGTAATGGACACGCACGTCTAGCAGACTTCACAACATGTTCCACTGATTCTCCCTTAATTGTGCAAGTTGGAGTAAATAATGTTGCAGATCTGTTAAAATTTGTTGAGATGGTCTCACCTTATTGTGATGGTATTGGTATAAATTGTGGATGTCCTATAAAAGAACAAATCAGAGAAGGTATAGGTTGTGCATTAATATATAATCCTGAACTATTGGCATCTATGGTATCTGCAGTTAAACAAAAATATGGAGATAAAGTAAGATTAGAAACTAAGATCAGAATCCACGACGATTTAGAACAAACTGTCGAATTGTGTAACAAAGTTTGTGACGCTGGTGTGGATTGGATTACAATTCATGGTAGAACAAGAACAACTAGATCATCTCAACCGGTGAATCTTGATGCAATTAAATATATTATATCACAAATAAAAGGTAGAAATGTACCAGTTGTCGCCAATGGAGATTGTTTCGTGGAGACAGATTTGGCCAAGATAAGCGAATGTACAGGCGCTGATGGTGTAATGGCAGTTAGAGGATTACTAGCAAACCCTGCATTATTTGCAAAATATGATGTCTGTCCTTGGGGCTGTCTAGAAAAGTTCTGGTATTGGGCAATGGAATTTAGTACTTTACCATTTCAACTTCTACAGCATCATCTTTTCTGCATGCTAGAAAATATGCAATTGCAAAAACCTCTATTAAAAGAAATGATGACACTAAAGAATACTGTTCAATTAATTGACTGGTTTGACAAAAATTTTATATTTAAAAGACATAATGATGAAGGTTTTGGTGTAACTGTAGATATCCCTTATAGAAATCAAGCATAAATAGCATTAATAATTATTACGAATATAAATAATAAAAAATTTATTTGAATCATCGTCATGTTAATAAAATATATCATTATATCATTATATTGGTGAATGTTAAACTTTATGACAATGGACTACAGTGACACTATGCCCTATGATGTATATACTTCTATATTTTACATCCGGGTAATATGTATTAAGAAAAGTGAAAAATTTATTGTGACGAATATTTTTTTAAAGTATAAAAAAGCAGTTAACAAAATATCTTTACATCTAAATACCACTTTATGTAAATATTTAAATTTGTTTACCATTTTTTAGCTACCAGATTGAGATCCGGGCTATAGCATACTCAATCAATGTGGACTGAACAATGTTTAATGGAATTGTCAGTGAGTGCTCCAACTTCAAATCTCATCTTTTATTGTGAGGACACATAAAGTGAAGATTATTAATGTAAAAAATATAGTATTGAATAAACTTTAAAGCAATCAACCATTGTATTATGTGATGATATTTTCTTTTTTTTCGTTGGTCTAATGAGAACAGAAATCCTCCAAAGGGATTTTTAAGACCATCCTACAATTGTCTCGATGATTGTATTTTTCACCATTATTGAAGCTATTTAGTTAATGTCGTTTTGATATTACTTTTTAGAGTTGATAGTAACTCGAAAGAATTGGGAGTCTTTTAATGTAATGAGTGGCCAACAACCTTTTTGTCATAGTTACACTGATATATAATACAAGATGCTTTATTTGTTCTAATTTTCATGATATTATTTTCTTGATAGATAATTTATTTTCTTGCTTTTGAGCTTGCTACTTTACGTTTTCCCAGCTAGACTGGAAGATTTGTTAAGAAGACTAAACTGTTCTGAAGATATTTTGGGGATGGTGCTTGGAACATTTGGATGTTTTATAAAAATGTTGTATTATTTTGAAATTGATTATAAAGAGTACACTAAAATTTATTTGGATATTTAACCTAAACTAAAATTTAAGCATCTTCTTCAACAACGGTAGTTTGTAAACCTTTGACGGAAGCAACGAAGACTGGTTCGACGTAAGAGAACAATGGGTTCTTAGCATCTTCTTCTTCGGTTCTTCTTCTAGAGATTCTCAATCTCATTCTCAATGGAACACCCTTGATACCTCTTTTCCAGATTTCTTGGTTTAATTCTGGAGCCAAACGGACATCTTCAGTACCCATGTGTAACTTGGCGAACTTCTTGATTTCCTTGACAGCTCTTGGAGCTCTCTTCTTGAAAGTGACACCGTGCAACTACATTAAAATCATTTAAGATAAAATAAAATATTGTTAGTAAAATTGTTGAAACTGGAGCATTTAACAAACCATAAAAATAAAAATAAAGAATATTAATTTCCCATTGTGTTCTTAACTGTTACGCCATCGATCGTAAAAATAGATGAACATAGATAGACACATATAGATTTTTAAAGTTCTTCGATATCATATTGATTGGTTGATCTTTCAAAATCTGAGTACCTATCTATTTATCCATCTATCATTAAATCATCTTCAATATTTCTGTCAACTCTGTAATATATCATTCTTCATTTAAGAGCAGAAATCTCTGCACAATATTTTTTTAATCTATTCTTCTTACTCAAAAAACTTTTGGATGGAACTATGTTGGATTCTGTATTTTTAAATAGTAATGATATTAAAATCCCATTATATTTGAAGTGGTGATGCAATTAGGTTTGGTACTCTCCTTTCTTAGTTTATTAAATCCGATGGTGGTACTTTGGTATAATTTCAATAGAAACAATGGTCATAAGATATTCCACATTTCATTTTATTGGTTGTTCAGTTGTCTTGGAACTATCATGGTATAGTGATCATAAACGCAATGAAAAATAACATACTCTTTTATGCAAGTTAATGGTGTATTCACGAGAAACAACGTCTTTTAAACCGGCCATTTTTCTTGTTAGACTGAGTGCTGACTGTTTTAAAAACCAAGATAGTCAAACAAGATAGCTGAATAATTACTTCATAAACTTAAATAACGATACCTACATGAACAAATATATGTTTTTTAACAAGCATTGATTGAAATTGAAGGTCAGAGCTCTCAGAGAAAGAAGTTGTGTCAATAGAGACGAGAGGATCGAGGGAAAGAGATAGTGTATATAGCATCATAGCATCATAGCATCTGTTAGTTGCATTACTAGAGGTCATTGATGGATTGGTATTGGTATTGGTTTTACATTTGGTTTGTGCTCAGAGTATAATTGAAATGACGATGGTGAAGAGAAGAGAAGAGAAGAGAAGAAGGAGAGCTAGAGTGGTATACCATATAGTGTGAGTATTCCAACCATAATGAGGATATCGTAGTATATAGTAGAGTATAGTATACTATGGTATAGCATATTGTAAGGCAGGAAGCGATAGTAAGTGAAGGTTTAGGTTACAAGATAATGAAAAAGGTCTCCTCCACTGCAGGTTCTCTGAATTGTCATCAAGATTAGTTTGGTTGGTGATGGTACAATTGTGTGTCCGTCGATGAATGAGTGAAGAGGTTTGAATTGATACAAAGTAGATTGAATGGGAAGGTTATCGATTTGACCCGTGAACAGTTATGGTTGAGTTGAGATTGAATACTAATTAATGTAAAGTGGAAGTGAAAATGAGTTTTTACAGACTGGAACATTGTTATTGATTTGGGTTTGGTAGAGGGAACCGATTGAAGCTAGACAGAAGACAGAGTGCTAGTTGCTGCCTAAAAGCAAGATGTGTTGGCGAGGGGGCGGGAGAAAACTAGACAGAACGTATTAGATACTCTTTCTACAATTTCTTGCAAGACATTGGGGGGGGGGGGGAAGAGCTAACGATTAGAAAAGGAATGCCCAAACTGTTGAGGAACACAAATACAAAACTATACCACCACCATCTGGACAAGCGGACACGAAAACCGAGAAAGCCATACCATATACCACCCTGCTATCCTATGCCGCGTGTATCAATATCAACTTCATTTCTGGACATTTTGAAATTGCAGTTGCAGTTGCAGTTGCTATTGGATAAAATGTACTGGTGTAACAGATAATGTTCAGATGCAACAGTCACTTACTATCCTCGTCCGGCGTTACTTCCCAGCACTATAAAAAAAACTAAAAATATAGTAGACAATAAATATCTACCAGCTGTGTAACCGTTAGCCTTCCTCCCCTCACAAATTCGCGGACCGTTTCCGTTTAATTTATTGAACAAACATAAAAATATTTAAAATAAGCATCCAAATCGATGCTGCTACGCGCACTGCTCTCAACAAATGCGAACCGACTTGACTTTCTTTTTATCTTTTATTTTTTTTTTGTTTTTGGCCTTTTCGAAAAAACGGTCGTCGGTCTGGGTCTCTCTTTCTTCGCGCGTTTCTCCGTGTTATGCTAGCTAACTACCTATCCAAATGTTAAAAAAACAACAACACCGAACTAGAAATAGAAAAAGAAAAAGAAAAAGAAAAGACCCAAGAAACTCAGACATAAACACAAATACATTCTTGTTACGATGGTTGTCGTACTGGCGCTTCTCTGGAAAAAAAAAAGGGAAAACGATATATCTCTACCTTTATACATAGATAAACATCCACCGAACAAGAAGAATAGAGCGGAAAAAAAAAAGAAGAAGATGATGAAAACTTGTCTTCGAAACTGCAATTTCACATTTTTAAACGCTGATTGATTGCTTGACTGTTGGACTGCTTGATTCATTCATATTTCCTATCTATCAATCTTATTCATCGATAGATCGGTCTAGCACTCGACATACAGTTTTCTTATTTATCAATTATTAGTAGCGTTTCAATCAGGACCCTATCTTATTCTATCTGTGTTTTTTATTTTATTTAATTTTATTTCATTGATAGACATTTTATATATACTCACACTCACACTCACACTCACACTCACACATATATCTAGCTGTCCTTAATTTAACTTCAATCTAGTTATTACCATTAATTTTTCAGCCAGCTTCTTAATAGGTATACCTATCTACCACCCCTTTTTCACTATATTTACCTATTGTTCTTACCTTTTTATTATATTCGAAAGGGGATTAGATACTGAAGCTATCTTACTGAATTACTGATTCAACAGTGTATGTCATCACAGTTGGTTTTAATAATAAATATTTATTATCGTGAATTGTTTGTGTTTTGATTCAATCAGAATTGTGTTTTTTTTTCATATCTTTTTTTTCATAACGTTTATCACATCGTTATTGTGTTTCTTATAACTTTTTCTAAGTTGTACTCCTTATCTACCTCTCTCTGACCCAAAATAATTATATACCAGCGCAATCTATTACAATGACAATATACAGTGCTGATGAGGTCTATAGGCAAAACCAATCCCAAATTTATAACCTGCAAGAGACTATTTTGAATTCAAATAAAACTGCACATATGCAACAACTGAAAAATAAGAGTAATGCAGTTACAAAGGAAAATAACACAAAAAGAAGTAGCATGAACTATTCTATTGTCGATTCAACCTCTGTTTTGAAATTCGTAGAGGGAAATTATTCAAGTCAAAGAAAAAATTTAGGTCATTTATGCTATGACCCATTCAAAACAGGCCATTTCCAAAAAAATATTCATAATTTTATAGAATTACCATACCCTTACAATCACCAAGATTTATCTTTGCCAAAACCTTTCCTACCGGAATTAGGTAACGATTCAATAAATTCTTTAATTACAATTAAGATTTCTTATGAAGATTTATGTCTGAATGAAAATTCAATACAGGAAAGGCCAAGGTTTTTAAACAATGAAATTTGGGGGTGTCAGATTTATTCAGACGATTCAGATCCAGTTCTAGCTTTGAGACATTGTGGGTTCCTTGCAGGACATTTTCCAAATAGTAATAATATTCACAATAACAGTAATAACGTTAACAGCATAGCCAAAAGAACGCCAGGAAATTTATCAAATAATGATAGCGTACATGGTATACTACCGCCGGATGATACTCCATTCGATATAGAACTAACAATTATCATGTTGCCTTGTCTACAATATTATCCAAGTGTGTCCCAATATGGTATTAATTCCCGCCAATGGGGTAGCCCAAACGAAATATTAATGAATAATCAAGAACAGGATGATTCCTTCTTTAATTTTCAATCACAGATTACCGCTCCCCATGATGGTCTGAGTTATGCAATTTACGATATTAATGTCATTACAAGAGACGTTACAACAAAAAATATTAATTCTTCCCCTGACAATGTAGACAATTTGAAAACTAATTGGTAATGACTTAGCATTTAATGATAATACATTTTTTAAAGAACATTAGATAGTATAAAAACTTAAGACGATTTCAAATATAATGATTCGCTAATCCATTTCAAAAACGAATATTGAATGCATAACATTTCAATAGCAAGTGTTCTCGTGTTGTAATCATGTATATGCTTATATTTAAGTTAATCTAATTGTAATGAAAGGAATCTAGTGTTCTTAATGATACTCCAACGAATACAAATCTGTAGCAATAGTTCAATTTAATGCAAAAAAAAAATTCAAGAACCCTATTTGAATAGTTCAATAAAATCCACGTAATTGCAGGACATCAGAGATTGCAATGCTATTGCACAAGTCTCCGCAGTTCATGTAATACATATGTATCTATATATTCTACTAATAGTTTCACATCAAATAAATTCTGGGTCATCGAGATCAATGTAATAGAAGTTTAAGATGACATTCGTGACTAAAAAATGTATGTTTACTCTAGTAAATGAAGAAATATCACCCAATATTTTCCTACTAACGTCATTGCTTCCTTTTCATTATTTTTCATATTTTGAGATTACATATAATATGTCTCTAATAAATATCAAAATCATTTCCAAACCTAAGGTAATAACTAAATAATAATTATTCTCAGAATTTACTTATCCAACAATTTATCCTTTGAACTATTCTTCGTTTTATTACAACCACCATGATTTGTATTATGTGAATTTTTATTTTCAATAATATATTGTAAAGTACTCTCTAAAACTCTTATATCCCTATCTACAAATGCAGTTTCATTTTGTAAATTACGATCTTTACCAACGATATCATTGTATTTAACATATAAATTATTCATAGGTATTAAACACTGATCTTTAAATTTCTTATCATGCATAGTTAATAGACTACGTAACTGCTTCTTTTCAATATATTCATTGTTATCTTCAATTTCCTTTAATGCTTTAGAGACCTCTGTTTCATCATTACTTTTAACAATCTTATTCAACAAAGATTCTAGCTCTGACTTACTAGACATTGTAAAACGTACACAGGCACAGTTGACCCTCCAATTAGTCTTCTATGTTCTTAACTTGCAGCACTAATCTAATCAATCTCATCCTTTTCCAAAAGGACCTTTGTATTTATATCAATTCTAATTAATTTAAAGCTTTGTTATAAAACGGAATTATAAAAAGGCATCACTTAAATTTAGGTACTGTGAACTACTTTTAGATAATTATAATTGGATGGTTAGGAGCAATAACAGATCAGTCGTTGAAGAAGGGTGCTTGATATTTTGTTCAATTGAAGTCATTAGTGGTTGTAGTGGTGTTAGTATCTTTAATTTTTAATTTTTGAGTATTTTGTAGTGATGTTGACCAAGAAACTGATTGATGTTGTTGACACAGAACATATAACTGCAATACTGCCTATTCCCAAGGTTCAAAAACTAATAGTGGCGACTAAGAGTAATGATGTGCATGTCTATTATCGTGACACTGTCAAATATAAACATTTTCAAACGTATCCTAATTTGTTGAAATCTTTACATACTGAAGAATCCACTATACATGAGTTTTATTATTCTCATGAATTATTAACAGTATTTGCTAAATGTGAGAAGTCAATTATACTGTTGAATAGTACTAATATTTCTCAATATGATAAAATAGTAGATAAAAGAGGCATTGGTAAATGTTGGGTTTTTGAATTGCCATTAGCAGGTAAGGATGAGTCGATGACAATTTTAATTTATTGTACGAAAACTGCATCCAAATTAAGAATGTTTATATGGCATGGAAGATCATATACTGATATGTCAGAGACTTCTCTTTCAGGAAAATCTGAACCTATTTTATCTATGGAGCCTTCAAAAGATGGTATATTCTTAGTCACCAAATTAGGGGTATATTTTTGGAAGTTTAAATCTTTGAACTTAACAAGAATAGATAAAGTAGTTAAAAAAACCAATAATAGCAATTTAGTTTCTTTAATTATTGCATTAGAATCAATTGGAAATAAGTCAGACGCTAGCACCGATTCTCTTACTGATGAACTAATGTCATTAAAATCAGTATCTACTGTAACCAAGACTTCTGGGTTTAAAGGTTTCTGGAATAAAAAGTTAAATGCTAATAATTCAAATCTAAAACAATCAAGATATCTATATAAAAAGCGTAATAATGTCTATCCTTCACTAATTGATGGCACAACTGGATATTCATTTGATATAGAAATTTCACCACAAGGAGAGCCATATTTAATAGCAACAGAAATTGATCAATTAATTGACTTTAACAGTAACTTCCCGAACATAATTTATAACATTGCAGACACAATTATTCTGAGTAACTCTGAACATATAAGACTTGTCGACTCGGAGACAGGTTTTTCATTTCTCTCCCTTCATATTCCGGAAGGTATTAAAAGAGTTCATATTTTAGATGAACCTTACTTAATTGTTTGGACTGAAGAAGATAAAATAAAATTATATCACTATCAAGTAGATGATAGCTATGAGCATGAATTTGATGAAGACGAGGAGTTGCTAAATTATGTCAATCAAGAATCAGAATTTTGCCGCCTATGGAGAAAAGTCACATTTTATACATATTTTTTAAGTTGTCCTTATTCATTAGAACTATGTTCATCATCTAATCCAGAAAGATCTCTTGATTTGTGTGCAATGAAATTAAGAGATTTGACAGTGATGTTTTGTTTACAAATCTACAATAGATATCAACAATGCTTGTTGCAACTCATTCACCAAAATTGCAATGAATCAAAATACAAAAAAATTGAAAAAAATATAGTTGAGAATATATTTAGCAAGTTCATATTGTTCTGGGCTCCACCTCAACTGATTATCTCTAATACATTTCCAAAAAGAATTTCAAACTATGTAGAAGAATACGGTAATAAATCACATAGTTATCTCCCAATGCTTCATGATAAAGAAAGAGATAATGATGTTAAAAAAGAATATCTGACTCAATGGTATTTGCCATATTTAACTGACATTAGACGTCATATAAAAAATCTATTGAGTCCAACAACGGATAGTAAAATTAAATGGAATTTTATGGGAAGGAGTATTTCACAGAATTTAGAATTCTTTTTAGTTAACGATCATGATGAAATGGATACTGCTACATTATTGAAACTGATTGATACAACCCTATTTGTTGTTTACCTGTACTATCAACCTACCTTATTAGCTCCATTTTTGAGGGTTGAGAATTTTTGTGATTTTGACCTGGTCGCCAAAGAGCTGGAAAACCATCAATTATATCAAGAGCTTCTTGATTTTTATTTCACCAAAGGTGAACATGTTAGTGCACTTACTTTACTTAAGAAATTGTATGAAACTAGTGTAAGCGCAGAAGATCAGGAACTGACATCAGGTATTAAGGTTCTAATAATACGATACATTAAAAAGCTGTCAAACGATAACTTAGATTTGATTTTTGAAACATGTAATTGGCTTTTAGGTGTCTTTCAAGATAAAGATGGGATATTATTGGAAATTTTTCTAGATGATTCCCAAATAGCAAAGTTTCGCGACCACATTAAAGTATATGATTATTTAAAGGCTATTCGAGAGGTCATCGCAATAGAATATTTGGAATTTATTATTGCAACTTTTGAAGTTGATTCACCACGGTGTTACAAAATATTAATTGAGAAATATCTCAAGAAAATTGATGAACAAACGGTGAGAACAAAATTAAGATCAATTTTAGATACAACAACGACTTATGACGCTGAAGATATTCTACATTTAATTGAAAATAAAATGAATTCCAGTGATCCTTCTAATGAAGATTTCATTTTTTTGCAAGGTCTTCTTCCATTTGTATACAGAATGTTGGGAAGACATGAAGAAGCTGTTGACATATTATTTAATTCGCTATCAGATTATGCATCCGCTTCAAGCTACTGTAATGGTATCTACGTTATGAATAGAGAGATTGGAGAAGATCTTTTACTATATTTTCTAAAACTTCTTATAAAAGATGATTCGGCTACAAAATCCACTTATTTATTCCACTTTATTAAAGAATATTACTCAAAGATAGATACTGTAAAACTTCTAAAATTAATCCCAAAGAATAAAAAATTAAAGGAATTGAAAGAGCTTATAATTCGATCTGTTATCACGACTAAAATAACAAAAGAAGAAGAAAATATGACTAGAAATTTACTACAAGTCGAATTGATTGGAACCACTCACGAGTTGAATCAAGAATTGTCTAATTCGGTATCGTTGCAGCAGAACTCAATTTGTCCAATTTGTGGAAAGAATTTCCCGGTGTTTACAACTGATTCAGTTTTATGGTTTACTATAGATGGTCAGAACCGAGTAGTACATTATAATTGTGGGAAATCTCTCCAAAGTAACGTCAAGAAACAACCTACAGCAGATAAAATGCAGTTGACTGTATTATCATATAACACCCAAGTAGCTAAAACTAATGATATTTAATGATTTTTAATAAAAACTATGTAATTATTTAGATAGTAGATACGAAATTGACGACTTCTGAACAAAATTTAACTAAGTGGTCTAATTTCTCATTTCCATTATGAATAGAGTCCCAAGAATGTAATGCGACAGCTAATTTTGGATCCGTATTATTCATATGAATGACATCACCATGTGCCTTGAATAATAAACTCATAAATGCTTCATATAATTCGAAGTTATTATTCGTTTTTAAGCCACTCGTTAAAGCATTAATGAACCATACTATTTCATCAAATGGTTTGAATGAATCAAGAGATCTTATTTCTAAATCAACATTTGCTGGCGATAGTTTGACCAAATTTTCCAAGAATTCAGAATAATCGTCTCTTTTAACACCTTCGCGTAATAATTTCGTAAATTTTGATTCAAATCCCACACGACCAGATGGTTTGAATTTATTCAATCTATTTTCAGCTTCGATTCTTTCCTTGTTTAATTCCTGTTCAACTAATTCATCCTTCGATGGTTCTTTTAATGTACCCTCTCTTCCTGATGCTTCGTCACCAACTTTTTCACCAGTCAAACTCAAGAAAAATGGGGTCTTTTCAGGTTTCTTTGGTGCTTCTGTTGGTTTTGAACGATTTCTGATTACATCAAGATTCAATAGAGTATTCATCTTGTTTCTTGGACCGACAGAAAATGTTTTTAATTTTTTGTCAATTTGAGAAACCGAATCGTATCCAAGGAATTCTTCTTCATGATCTGAAGTTATATTATCGTCAAAGGCACCTTCCAACATAGTAGCATTACCAGTGCTTGAATTATTTGGCAACATTACTTTGACAAATTCTTCCTCTGGTATCATTCTTGTAGATATAGCTTTGAATTGACCTTTGTTAGTCCATGCACAAATACCATTACCCGAAACGTGCGATGTCATTAAATAATCACCTTTTGGTGAAAATTTCACATTTGTAGCAACAGTTTCTAATCTTAAACCATCAATACAACCACCAGTCGGCAAGTCCCAGGTTCTCATGGTAGCATCTAAAGATGCACTGACAATCCAACGACCATCTGGTGAAAAATCTAAACTTGTAATTCTGTTTGAATGGCCCCATAACTGTCTGACAATTTTTTGAGTGACAACATCTATTATAACAATTGAGAAATCATCAAGAGATAATGCAACTAAATCAGTGGTTCTATGGTAAACCATAGATGTTATTGGTGCATCAAGTGTAAGTTTTCCCAGTAAGGTAGATTTGTTAAAGTCATAAAAACCAACGATTCCGTCCAAACCACAAGATACCATTTTCCTATTCATACCATCTAATGCAATACCTGTTACCGCTTTCTTATGCATTTTATATTTTCTGCGTACCAAACCACTTTGCATATTGTAAACGACAATGCTACCATTTGAAGAACCAACAAAACCAAAATTACCACATTGTGAGATTGCAACAGATTTTACGAAACCATCATCAGTGGTATCAAAAGTCCATCTCCCAACTCTTTTACTTCTAAGATCCCAAGTACGTGCAAATTTCTCATCCTTATGAGCAGTGATAACATTTTCCCATTCGCCGACTCTGGCATTCTCTATGGCCATTGCTATAATTTCAGGAAACTTTTCCTTTATGGTACTACCGCCAATTCTATCGCCATTCTTCTTCTTGTGCATTCTTTGAGATAGTTCTTGTGATTGAGAATCTTTTCTTAATGAAAATGCCCATAAAGATTTATCTCTAGATGCTGACAATATAAAGTGAGAATCAGAATCGGCAAATAAAATACTAGATGGAGGTTGAGAATGACCACCTCTTGAACGTAAAAATCTTGGAGGTTGTACAACAGATTCAGAATTTTCTTGTGATAATGAAGGATCGAAGACATATTCTTTTAAAGAATTGTCACCACCAGATGTCACAATTATAGGTTGGCCGTTTAAGAACATGGCTTTGCTGACACCTCCAAAGGATTCCTTATGAATATTCTTCAATACATGAATACGTGAACGACGATTCAAGTCATAAAATATTATATCACCATTGGTGGCACCAACACAGATATGAGGTGAGCCATCAGTCCTGAAAGAAATTGTTGATATTCTCAACTCATTAAATTTAATGGTAAAAATCTTCTTACCCTTTCTTAAGTTATATAAAATAACTTCACCTTCAACTGTACCTAATGCCAATATATCTAAGGCAGGAGCAGCAGCTACAGTAGTAATTTGGTTCGGAGATTCTTCAGAAGTGTAAATAATTTTACCAGTTCTAACATTAAAAAGTATTAAATTTGACTTTGTAACGACCACTACTTTATTCAAATAAGTGGGTAAATGAATGATAGAAACGATGTCACCACCTTGAAGCTCAGTAATTTCAAATTTTGTATAAAATGAAGTAGCAAATTTATCAGTAGATGCCTTCTTCTTGAAAACATGAACCACATTATCGTCAGTAGATGTACATAGATAATCACCAAAAACGCATAAACTAGTAATAGTTGCATTTGTATCTAAAGTAATTAAATGTTCCTCAATACCTCTTCTATAAATACCAATTTTGTTACCAAAGGCAGCAAAAACATAATGGAAATGAGTGGCCAAGGCAACTATTGGTGAATCAGTTTCTTTCTCAGATATAAACAATAAATGTAGATTATTAGCATCATAGATTTGGAAAGATTTCCCAACAGAGGTAACAATATAGAAAGTTGAACCCAAGGTGCCTACTTCAAATGGAACTTTATTGATAACATTACCAATTACCCTAAAAGGAGCAAACACTTTGGAGCCCCTGACTGAAACTTGGCTGGAATTTTCAATTTTTCTCTTCTTCTTAATTTCCTCCATGGTTTAAGCAAAATTAAGAATAAAAATTTTAAAATTGATAGCTTATTAGTTTCGTTCTTAGAGCAGTCCACAATAAATTAAACACTAATACACTAATTCAATTATAATAAACCTAGAGATATCTCTTAGATTGGTCAATGATACCTCTTTACCTGTATAAAAATCAGAAATTAATCTTAATATATCACCATCGATATTTCATCTCATCTCATCTCATCTCATCTCGAAATGTCTTCAAATTTTTCAATATTTCAAAATAAAATATAGTGTCACGTGATTTTGGATATTTTTTTATTTCATTATCACTTTTAAAAATCCTTCTAAATTGATAGTTCAATAACTGATCAATCAACTGGTACTAATGGATTTTAAAGTGGTTATATTATAGATCAATATAAAGAACAAGTGTGATATTAGAGTATCGTTTGCTGACTTCACGTCTCTTGAGAAAGGTTTTGAAAATTTTACGTAATTTTGCTTTAAATTTGGAGAGATACCTATTGATCCTATAGAATTAATTAATAAAATCATTGATAACTATTAGGGAACAAGGATTCCTCCTTTAATTTTTGCAAAGAAGACCAGAAAATACTCATATACATGCGAGGCACTGAACCTAGTGAAGATGGCACAGTCACGCCATCCACTATTTTGAAAGGAACCGTTGGACATAAGAGCAAGAAAGCTATGGAATCGATAGCCCCCATGTTACAGGATTTCACCCCAAAAACTTCATCAAGTGAGAATACGTCTTTGAAATTACCTCCATCTATTAATGCAAGTTTAGGTAGTGAAGAAGATGATGAAGATGTTGGTGTTACTTTGCAAAGAACGCTAAGTCATAATTCACAATATGGTGGAAATTCTCACAGCAAACCACCTCAGTCCCCACGTTCAGGTCTATCGTTTCTAGATGGAATGGGATCTGGATCAGATAGTGTTATGAATTCTGAAGATTCTTGTGATCCTGTAGGAATAGACTTGGACGCTGGTACACTTCCGATTTCATCATCTGGTATGGCTACCCCACATCAAGAGAACTCTAATCTAAACTTAAGTAGTAGTGTTAGTTCTACTCCAAGCACAGTAGCTTCTTCGAGAAAAGGATCATTTGCTAGTGCTAAATTGCAATTGCCAAAGATTGGAAAAATTGGTGTCTGTGCTATGGATACTAAAGTTCTCTCAAAACCTTGCCGGAGAATTTTAAACCGTTTGATTGAAAATGGAGAATTTGAAACTATTATTTTTGGTGATAAAGTAATTTTAGATGAAAATATTGAAAATTGGCCAACTTGTGACTTTTTGATATCCTTTTTCTCTACAGGTTTCCCCTTAGATAAAGCTATTAATTATGTCAAGCTTCGCAAACCTTACATAATCAATGATTTGATAATGCAAAAAGCATTATGGGATAGACGTTTATGTTTGAGGCTACTTGAAACTGCAGAAGTTCCAACACCTTACAGATTAGAAATAAGTAGAGACGGGGGACCAGTAGTTGATAACGATTTAAGAGGAAAACTAATTGAAAAGAACGTAAAAGTCGAACCTATCAAAGAACCAAAATGGAGAATGGTTGATGCAGATACGTTGGAAGTTGACGGTAAAATTATCACCAAGCCTTATGTTGAAAAGCCTGTTGATGGTGAGGATCATAATATCTACATATATTACCATTCCAAAAATGGTGGTGGTGGTCGGAGACTATTTAGAAAAGTTGGTAATAAATCATCTGAATTTGATCCAACTTTAGATGGACCACGTACTGAAGGATCTTTTATTTATGAAGAATTTATGGATACCAACAATTTTGAGGATGTTAAGGCATATACTGTTGGTGATTCTTTTTGTCATGCAGAAACTAGAAAATCACCAGTAGTTGATGGTATTGTAAGAAGAAATACGCATGGTAAAGAAGTAAGATATATTACAGAACTTTCAGATGAAGAAAAGGATATGGCTGCCAAAGTATGCAGAACATTTTCTCAAATGATATGTGGTTTTGATTTATTGAGAGTGGGCGGGAAGAGTTATGTCATTGATGTTAATGGTTTTTCTTTTGTAAAAGATAATATGTACTATTATGATCAATGTACTAAAATTCTAAGAGAGCTTTTTATTGAAGCTAAAAAGAAAATTGACGCGGAAAAGAAGAGAACCCATTTTATTCAGGAAGAAAAAACCCAAAAGTGGGTCTTCAAAGGGTTGGTTACGGTGATCCGTCATGCTGACAGAACTCCTAAACAAAAGTTAAAACATTCCTTTACCTCGCCACTTTTTATTTCCCTTTTAAAAGGACATAAAGAAGAAGTGGTAATAAGAAAGACGGATGATTTAAAAATAGTTTTGAAGGCATTACAAATAGCTTTGGAGGATCATGAAGAAGATCCTGTAAAGCTAAAGGTATTGCATAACGCATTACAGAAGAAACTAGAATTCCCAGGGACAAAGATTCAGCTAAAACCTGTTTTAACTAAAGAGAAAGAAGTTGAAAAAGTTCAATTTATTTTAAAATGGGGAGGTGAACCTACTCATTCAGCTCGTTATCAAGCTAGAGATTTGGGTGAACAAATGAGACAAGATTTTGATTTGTTAAATAAATCTATTCTTCAGAATATAAAGATATTCTCTTCATCCGAAAGAAGAGTTCTTCTGTCAGCACAAATTTGGGCATCTGCTTTATTCAGTGAGGATGAATTAGGTAGTGATGAAATAAACATTAGAAGAGATTTATTGGACGATAGTAATGCAGCAAAGGACTTAATGGATAAAGTGAAAAAGAAGTTAAAATCTTTAATTCGTGTTGGAACTGAAATTCCTCCTCAATTTGCTTGGCCTCCTAAAATGCCAGACCCATACACTGTTACCAAACGTGTGGTAGACTTAATGAACTATCATAGAAAAGTTCTTAATTACAATTTTACAAAAGATGATGTAGATGACCTACAATCTAGATGGTGCTGTGGTGAAGATCCAATGCTATTCAAGGAAAGGTGGGAAAAACTATTCAAGGAGTTTGAAAATGTTGAAAAATTAGATCCTTCAAAAATTTCTGAGTTGTATGATTCTATGAAATATGATGCTCTCCATAATAGAGATTTCTTGGCACATATATTTGATCCAGGTGAATGTCAAGAATTATTGAAACAAGAAATATGTAATCAATCTTTAGTTGATTCATATCCTATTAATGTTTTGGCAAAAAATAATTTCAAGATTGTCGAGGGTGTCCCAAAACATAACGCTACACCTACATCTCCAAGATATGCAAGCAGTGTTGGCTCTTTAGGATGGGTACTTGAAAGTTCAAAGACCTCGAGCTCTCAGAAATCTGAACATTCTTCTCTATTTGATGAACCACGTTTCTTGCAATTCAGAGAGCTTTTCAAATTGACAAAGGTATTGTTTGATTTCATCTGTCCAAAAGAATACGGTATTACTGATTCTGAGAAGCTTGATATTGGATTGTTGACATCACTACCTCTAGCCAATCAAATATTAAATGATATTGATGGTATGAAAAATAAGGAAGAGCCTGCCTGTATTTCGTACTTCACTAAAGAGTCACATATATATACATTGTTAAACATCATATATGAATCAGGAATTCCGATGAGAATAGCAAGAAATGCATTGCCAGAATTTGATTATCTATCTCAAATTAATTTTGAACTTTACGAAAGCACAGACAATTCTGGCCAAAAATCTCACTCAATAAGACTAAAAATGTCACCAGGTTGTCATACTCAAGATCCCCTTGATGTACAGCTAGATGATAAGCATTATATTAGTTGTATTCCAAAAATTTCATTGACAAAACATTTGGATATGGATTATGTTCAACAAAAATTAAGAAATAAATTTAGCAGAGTCAATATGCCAAAGAAGTTCACACCAGTAAACATCACTAGTCCAAATTTATTGTGCCAAGAACATGAGGAAGACTATAAGAAAATCAGTTTTGTGAAATTGGAATTAGATGCTCCTGATGAAAGTTCCCAATCAAATGACCAACAGAAATTACCAGATTCACATTCTGCCTCTATTGCATCGATCGATAATGTGTTGAACTAAGAATATATTATGACGAACCATGGTTAATTTATAACAATTGATAAATATCTACTTTTTTTAATGTAAATACATATTGAACTTTGAGAATTCGTTTGTAAAACGCACACATTGCATGTGCCTATGATTGTTTATATGCTGGTTTGTTGAATTTTGAAATATTTACTTTATACTAATATTAATTTATAAAAGCATCATTTCTATGCAAATATAACCATGAAATGAACTTCAAGATTTATGAAAGTGTCTATTATACAATTTTATTTTATACGTTTTTGATTAATCCTAGTACTTAAGACAAACAAAAAAAACACCTAAAGAGAAGCTAAAGAGTCAAATAGAACTGATATACTTTCACCGTAATGATCACGACGAATACATTCAGCAAAAATTGGAGAAACATCTATAACAGTTAACTTTTTAGACTTTTCTATACGCTCTTGGCTAATTGGGTATGTGTTGGTGACAACGATTTGGTGGATGGCGTTAGATTGTTCTAATAGTTCTAAAGCATTACCAGTAAATATACCGTGAGTAGCGACGACATAAACTCTCTTGGCACCACAGTTTTGTAACAAATGTTCAGCAGCTTCAATAATAGATGCCGGTCTATCAATCATGTCATCTAAAATAATAGCTGGGCGGTCACGAACATTACCTACCAAAGTAATCAATTTTTCTTGTTGTAATTTTTCAACGTCTTCTTCATCTTCTGAATCGATGGCGTCATATGTTTCACCTAACCCAGAGGAAGAGAAACCATTTGCAGAAACTGTTTCGCCATCGGATTCGATAGCTTCGTCGCAGTCTTCTTCTTCATCATCGCCAATAACATGACCATTACGAATTCTAGCAGTTTGGATACCATTAGTCAAGATGATATTTTCTTCTTCATTTGGAGTGTCACCAGGTCTGACAATCGGTCTATTCTTTCTCAGTAAAGATTGTTTTCTTAGTTTTAATTGTTTCAAGTCTTTATTTTGAGAGTATAAATCTTTTGAACGACGACGGTCAGTATGGATCATTGCAAAATTGATCTTTAAAACGTCCGCCAAAGCAGTGACTCTTTTGGTACCACCTGGATTTTTTGAGACTACAACTGCATCTTGGTAATCCTCGATGTTTTCTCTGATCCATCTAGCTAAACTTGGACCACCGTATAAGTTATCAACAGGTTTACTAAAGAAACCTTGCATTTGAGAGGCATGTAGATCCATGGAGATGACATGGTCAGCACCTGCCATGATTAGTAAGTTAGCCAACATTCTAGCGGTAATAGCACCTCTGTGTTTTTTCATTTTACATTGTTTAGAATATGGGAATTGTGGAATAACTGCAGTGATTTTTCTTGCAGAACCACCTCTACAAGCAGAAACTAAAATTAATAGTTCCATGATATGATCATTAACGGTAGGAGAACCTGACTCTATAACGTAAACGTCTTCGTCACGAACAGAAGCACCGATCTGAACAGAAGTCTCACCATTTGCAAATTTCTTTAAAGTACATGGTGCAGGTTCAATACCTAATCTTTCACAAACCAATTTACCCAATTCAGGATGGGAGTTACCAACAAAAACCTTACACTTACGCATATTACTGATCTAGCCTTTGTATATCTAGGTTCTCTACAAACAAATGTATATTTCTGAAAGTATAATCAAATATATCTTTCTCTATATCTATCTATCAAAGCAGTGCTGCTCAAATTAACCTGTGTGTTCCCTCTTCCCGATGATGGGATACTTTTTAAAATATCCTACAACAAACTAAAATGAAACCAGATTAAAAGCTAAAACGAACTTCCATTAATAAAACATTATATCAATGAAACTCGAAATATAAATATAAATGTATATATAAACTTATAAGACTATAGTCATACCAAATATAATCATTGTTAATACTCTTATTAGTTACTATAGAATGTAAATTGATCAAACCAAAAAATTTTTCAGTTGAGCTCATCTCAAAACTTTTCCAAAATGTCATCACCTCACTGAACAAGAAACGCTAGTTCTGCTGCATGTTCTGAGTCGATTCCTCGAACAAAGAGATCAAGAAAATAAAAAGAAAAAGTGAAAAATTTGAAAAATTTGGAAAATTTGGAAAAGTGAGTTCGAAAGCTCATCGCCAATTTTAAGCTTTTGGTTTATAAGAGAAGAGAAGTAGAGGTTGGTTCGAAAGTAGGTTAAACGAACTTTGAAGATATGGTCCATTTGATTATTTTTGAGATTGGTTTGAGTTGGAGGTGGGGAGGTAATTTATCAATACGTTTAGAGTAATTTAGTTTCCAGATTTTATTGTTGTTGCCTTTTTAGCTAGGATGTCCCTAAGTGACGAAAAGGGTGCGCTAAAGGGTAAGAAAGTTGGTAAAGGGGTTAAACCCTTTGAGATTCAGTTACAGGAGTGTAGAGATGTCATTAGGGAATCTGTGATGTTTAAAGAGGTTACTGGGAAGATTAAAGAGTTCAATGGTATTGATAGGGTGCGATGCCTGGCAATTGGTGATTTCCAGGAAGATTTCCCTGCTCGGTATCAGCTTGCATTTTTATTGGAATGTTTAAATTGGCTACGTGAAGAATTGGCCAGTGATCTTCAAGTTTCTATTTATGACCCGGTGTTTTCCCCTGAGAATTTAAAATATTTGGAGTCTTTAGGTCCATGTTGGTCAATTGATTCGGATCCGCCAGCGGATTGGAAAGATCATACCAACACAACCCTTTTCTTTTTGCCGCATGCCCCTCTAGATCTCACAGAAACTGTAATCGTTCAAGAACATCCAAAACTTTGGTTGGCCAATAATCTGATACAACATACAGACAGGTATACAAAATCTCAGCTGTTCGAAAAATATCCGACGTTGAGTAAACTAGTACATATTCTATCTGAAAACGAATCTGCTGCACTAATTGAAAATAAAAATAAGGATAATAAGAATGATGATGATGAAGGTTTTACCACCTTTACATCCAAGAAGAAAAAGCGTTCCAGAAATAAAAATGTATATCGTGAACCAGTGATAGATTATGATTCTATTGATTCCTATTTCAAAACTTGTAGACTGTTGACTACTTTCGACAATGGTACACAGCTCAAGAATAGTCCCTGGAATCATTCCTTTTCAGATTTAGCATTTCATGTCATCGAGTAAACTATTACTAACATCACGCATCGCAGACTTCTATAGAAATAATGGTAGTCACACATTTTCAATTAAAAAAATATTTTTATAATTAACAATTATTTAAATAATATAATATAATATAATAAAAACATGCATAATATTAATTTACAAAAAGTTTATTCTTTGGTATCATAAGATTCCCAGTTATCGATAATGTTTTTAATCTTTTCAGAGCCAGTTAATTCATAGACATCTTGGAAGTACTCCTTGGTAATTTCAAATGGCTTGGCAGTCAAGTTTGGAATATATTTACCAATTAATCTCTTTGGTTTAACGTTTTCCTTTAAGATATTTCTTTCCAAGAAACTCTTGAATGGCTTAACACCATTTCTTAGATAAGAGGAATGGAATGGAACAGAAATACCACGTAAAGGAATACAAGCGTAACCTCTTTCCAATTCAATTGGTTGTGGCTTGGCCAAAGACTTTTCAGAAACTTCACCAATAATCTCAAATAAGTGAGCTTCAACTTCTTCAATAGACATGGATTCTTGAAGCTTGACAATATCGATCTTTTGGATCTTGATAAAGTTTAATACATTTGTCAAAGTGTCCAAAGCTCTTAAGTCACCGGCAACAACATACTGTTGATCTTCAACGTTGAAGTTGACAATTTCTAATAACCATTCAGTCTTAGCGCTAATCTTTTCAACAATAAATTTCAAAGCATCTTGACTAAAGTTAGGGGAAACTCTGCTTGGGTTAGCAGCAACCATACCGTAGTTGGATCTACCCAACTCATCTCTTGGAACAGCAACTTGCATTGTCATACCTCTGTAGAACACAACTTCAACCAAAGATTCAATAGACATGATATCAGCTAGAGCAGCCAATGCAGCATATTCACCCAAAGAATGACCTGCAAATGCAGCTGATTTTGGAATCAGACCCTTAGATTTCAAATCTTCATAGGATGCTTTTTCCATTAATGTCAAGGCTGGTTGAGTGAATTGGGTGGCAGATAATAACCCACTTGGTGATCTGAAGGTAAAAGATGTTGTATCGTTTTCAATTTCTTTGAAAATCTTTTCAGATTTAACTTCACCATCTATAATTGTTTCAAAAACCATTTGAGTGTAGTTTTCTCTGATCTTTCTACCTTTTTCACCACCAAAGTAAACAGTCAATTCTTTTGGATTGTTCTTGACAATATCCAAAATAGAAAAACCATATGTATTTTTAAAGTGAATGTCAGCTCTATCCCAAACAGCTTTAGCAACATCGGAACTTTGATATAGATCCATACCCATACCTTGTTCTTGAGAACCTTGACCAGTAAAAACAAATGCAGAGACCGGTTGATCAACTTCAGCTTCACCATTCAATACGACGACATCTTCGTCATTCTTTGTTTCAAACTTAATTAATTTACGACCATTAATCATACCAACATGTTGGATAGAAGTTTTCAATAAGGTATTTGGTAAAACCATGCTTACAAAGTTACAGTTGTATGAACGAACTCTTGAAGAAACACTATCAGCAGCCCAGTTCTCAATTAAGGCACGGACAGATGCAGATGAATACATACCATGGGTAATTGTACCTGGTAATGCGGCATAAGCAGCGAAGTGACGAGAAACATGAATTGGGTTTAAGTCACCAGAAACCCTACCATAAGCTTCATTGGTACTTGGAGCTTGAGTATCCAATACAGCAATTGGAATAGCATTCTCTAGGTTAACCTTTTGTTCAAGTGTGGTACCATTTCTCTTTAAGTATTCAACAACAGGGTTACCATATGATTCACCAGCTTCATAATCAACGACACCAATTTCAACTTTTTCTCTGGTTGGTAATTCCATCTTAATACTACCTAGACATTTGACACTAGAGAAAACAGTTGCGTTTTTAAATGTGACTTCAGTTTCAGTTTGGAATGTTAAAGTTTTACCAATCAAATCAATATCTTCATCATCCAATTGAAACCATTCTTTGGAACGTAGAACGGCAATATCTTTTGGTGATTTGATTTGAACTTCATGTACAGGATCTACTGTCTTCTGGAAAGTGTTTTCGAAATCTGAATATTTACCTCTATAGAAGAAAGAAGAAGTAACGTCCATAACAGGTTGACCATCTCTAGTTAAAAATCCAACAACTTCAACAATCTTACCAGTAGGTTGGTTGACTACAGATTTTACGACAGCAGAAGTTGATATAACATCACCTTCTTGCAATGGTCTTGCACTGGTGTGCATTTTGTAACCATTTGACAAATGAACTAACTTCAACAAGTCACCATCGACAACATTAGGGAAGATTGCCTTTATTATAACTCTCCAGCCTACTACGATAGCAAAATCCATTGGAGCTAACATTTTTCTACCAGATCTTGAAACAAAATCTTCACAGTTATTACCGATAACATGAGCAAATTCGGAAATGTTTTCAGAACGAACTGTAAAGTCATCCCCTCTGATAACATCTCGTGGACTGAAATCAAGGTTGAATGGCTCATCTAACCATAGCTTCCAATACATTTCCTTGATACGTTTATTTCTGTCATCCATTACTTCAGAAATTGGGTTGAAACCATCATCTGTGTTGTATTTGTATAATAATGGTAGTGAAACAACCTTGGTATCCATTGTTCTGTTCTCTAATAACTCCATTTGGATTAAATTCTCTTCTGCTAACTTTAAAATTACAGTAGGTTTAATTTCACCGCTAACTCTTTCAAATAATGTAAAAACAGTCTTGTTAGGTTCATCTGGATTGGTGATTTCTAAGCGCATATTGTCACAAGGTTTAAATATTTTAGTGGTTGGATTTTCAGCATACAAACTTCCTTGAGCAATTCTAGGAGTTCTGAAGAAGGCAGATCTCCAACTCTTAGTGGTACCAGCCAATAAAGCAAACCATGATTTTTCGTCAGTTTTGGATGAAGCATGAATTGTGATTTTGTTAGAAGTTCTTTCGCATTTTACGTCAACAGGGACCAAATCTTGACCACCAAAGTATTCTACAACTGGAATCTTGGATTCATCATTAGAATACTTTTCCTTTAATAATCTTTCAATATGACCGTTATGGATGTTATCTAAAATAACTTTAATTGGTTCATCAACTACCTTAGTAGTTTGAGCAGCAACTGGGCCGTGAAGAATACATGTTCTCTGGACATCTTCGTCAACAACACTTTCCAAACTTTCACTTTGCCATAAAGAATCTTTCTTGAAGAAAAATTCAAATCTGTGATCTAAAACTGGAACAAATGGAACTGGCTTCTGAACCGGACTTTGACACATGTTTAAGAAGTAATCAATATCTTGGGCATTCAAAAATTGGTCTTTGGCAGCTGGATAAGCATTGAAAATTGTTTCAATAGCCTTATCAGGGTTACTCAAGATTGAGTAAGATTGTACCAACGATAAGGTTTTGGTTTTGGTGAAACGTTCTTCAATACGACGTAAAAAGTCGCCTGTAAAGTTTCTTAGAGTCGCATCAATCCAAGAATTTGTAGATCTGATGTACAACAATTCAACCAATCTTTGAGCAACTTCAGAATAAGTCATTGTTGTTAAATCTCTTACTTCGCCATTAACAGTTGCAAACCATGGTTTTTGTGAATCAGAGTTTAACTTGGAAATAATGTAATCTCTCTTAGCATCAATGGCAGCTTGAATCTTGTTCTTTGGCAAACTGAAAATAGTATCATCCATTTCTTTCCAGAAAAGAACACAGCGTGTGGCAATTTTATGAATTGGTTCACCCATTTCGGAACGAACAGTTATAATACCACCTGTTGGTTTTTTGTATGTGTTTTCCCATTGACTATCTGAAACACCAGGACACTCAGAAATTAATTTCTTAGCAGCAGGAGAAGTTTTGGCTTCTTTGGCAATCATGACTCTAGAACCAAATAAGAAACCATCAAAAGGCATTGGAGGATAATTGAATTTAGTGGACCATTCACCGGTTAAATAAGGATAAGTATCTTCAGCTGAACCGAAACCTGAACCAGCAATTAAAATGATGTTGCTTTGTCTTCTAATTTTAGAATACATTTGTAAAATTGGAGAGTGGAAATCTTCAAATGAATGATGACCACCACCTCTACCACCAGTCCACTGTAAGACAATTGGGAAGTTTGGATGGGCCTTTGCAATATTGATAACCTGGCTAATGGCGTCGATAGAACCTGGTTTTAAATCTAAATGTGTTAGACCTAAGGTTTCGATATATTCAGATGCGACTTCTAATGATGGAACACCAGCACCAATAGTTAAATGTTGGATTGGATAACCCTTTTCTCTTAATTCTTTGATCAATGGAATACCCCACTGTAACATTCTTGGATTAACATAAATTAAATTAATACCCAAACTATAACCTTCCTTAACTTGAGAGATAACCGAATCAATAGCTTTCTTCATACCATCTGGTGAAAAGTAACCACCACCTGCTAATTCGATGGTATAACCTGCATTGATAGTTGCAGCAACGAAATCCGGGGAAACAGTTGTTGGAGTCATACCAGGAACTAATAATGGTGCTCTACCTACTAATTTGGAATATTTAGTTTGGACATAAACCTTTCCTGCTTTGTTCTTGATTAATTTTGGATGGTACTCTTCTAACCAATTTTGGTTTCTCTTCAAACCTTCCTTGGTTACATCGAACATTTCTTGTTTAAAACCATATTCGTCATCTGGGTTGTTATCTAGTGTACCAGCAACTATGACACGAACACCAGTACCATCTTTGTTACGATAAGTAAGAACACCTAAACCTGAGGCACCACCTGGACCAAAATCTAAAATGTGAGTACATGGTACATTTGTAGCTGTTTCCCAGTTGACTGGTAATGTAATGATACATTCAGTGATTCTACTTGTAATGGATCCCTTATAATCTCTTAAAGATGTACCATCATATGTATCATAAACTGGAATTTTCAAATCTTCTTGCTTAAATTCAATGTCATTAGCAGCTAAATCTTTTTCTATCAATGGACCTGCACCCGCTAATAATGAACAGTGGAATGGAGAAGTGACTGGTAAGAATCTATTTGAAATTCTCAATTTTCTTTCGCTGTAAGGAATTCTTGATTGATCAAGACCAGCTGGAGCTTTAGCCTTTCTTAAAGTCAAGTTTAGACCGTATAATGATTGAGGAGGGCCGGAAACGACCAAATTTCTAGCACCGTTAACTAAAGAAATGTTAATGTGTTTTTCTTTTGGTAAATGGGCATTAGTCTTATCCACAAAACTTTGGACTTGGTCTTTTGTTAAGTTAGAGATTGCCAACATTGGAGATGGAGTACCTTCACCATTTTCAATGGAATCTTCGAAAATGGATGGTGGCAAATCGGTATTTGGGTATGTTAAATGACAACGTACACCAATGAAGAACAATAAAGAAATTGCCTTCTTAGCTGAATGGAAAAAAGATTCCCAAGAATCAGCTTCAGTGATAGCCACAGCGGTAACTAAACCTTGAGAATGACCAGTAGCACCTTTGAAATGAGATCTTAATTCACCAGGAGTGAAACCTAATAACCTTGCAGTTAAAGCGTAGTGTATTAATTGTATGACACCGATTAAAGGACAAGAGATAGGAATTGATAATAAGTAATCTAAATCAGGAGTTAATGATGGGTTTCTCAACCATTTTAAAATATTAAAACCTTGGGTATAAATTTTTTCAGTATCCTTGGTAGTCTTAATTAATTGAATCAAAGTATCTGCTGAGAATTGAATAACATCTGAAATTAAAACATCATAAGTTTGATATAATTCACGTAATTCTTCAAAATAATCATCTGTATTACCTTGACCACCAAAAATTGCTATAATTTTAGTTAAATCGCCATTTTCTACAGATTTGAATAAGGCAGAATTGGATTTTAAGAAAGGTTTATTTGCTACTACTCTTGTCTTAATATAATTTTTGATTAAAAGTTTGACCTTTTCTGGAGTAGTTGAAGAGAACGAGACAATATCGTTTTCTGAAGATTCATTAGAATCATTATCATCATTAATATCATTTTCTTTTAATAAATTTGAAGCCAAAGCATGAATATCATTTCCTTGTAAATAAGTATTTTCTAATTCAGTTAATGATACATCCAATACTTTTCTAAACTGTATAGAATCATCGGTCGACAGATTATTAGCTGAGATCAAATCAGAGATGTAACCTAAGAAAGATCCAAGTAACTCAACTGGAGAAGAAGGTTCATTGTCAGAATCGAAATTCTCAGTAGGTTCTGGTAAAGTTTTACTAAATTGATCCTTCAATTGAGAAGCTGTAAAATAAAAGTCTGTTGGAATGAATAATACATTTTCCATAGAACCATGAGATAAAGTCAATGGTCTAGTTGGTACACTCATCTTTAATAAATAATTATTGATATATTATGTGTATGAAAGATTGAGGTATTATCGATACAATTACAGATGATGAATGTATTGATTCTTTTCCCAGTTGCAATAATAATATAATTATAATTCGGCAGATATAAAAAACTAATCTAAATTTTCTGGAGTTGTTTATTTATATCTCTGATTTTATAATAACAGTAATAACTTTTTTTTTTGTTGCTTTGCTCTGTATTGTTAATTAACGAATTGGAATATGTTAGTGATATCAATTAACAAACTGGATTATTGACGAATGTACTAGAGATTCTATACGGACTATATCTCAATCGATAGTGCTTAAGTGTGCAGAATTTAAGCTAGTAACAAAAAAAAAATTATATTGAAAAATTATCCACCAAACGTGAAAGTACTGTAGCAACAAAGCAGGTTCTAAAAAACTCCACGGAATAAAAGTGGGTTCGAATATAGAAACAACTATAGGAGCAGCAGCAGCGGTGATGAAAATATATTATAATTCTCAAACGATGATGAAATAGTTAAGTATCGAAAGAGAAAATAAAGAGAGAGATATGAAGAAAGCAGAATACAATAAAGTAAAACTTCAATTCAAAATTAAAACGATCTCAAATTATACTGTAGAATGCTTGGTATGAATGGGAAAAATAAAATAGTATTAACAATAGGTAATGATCCCTGACAATAGCTATTCTAAACTGGACCAGATCCGGCGAGGAGTTATATCAGTAGAAGTGGATAAAAAAAACCGAGCTAAACTAGTTTCGAAATGATAATAATGCCAACAGTATTCTAAAGTTACTTTAGTTCTGCTAGTGGTTGAATTAAAAAACTTGAATTGTATTTAGTAGTGGACGTTATTGTTGAATAACTTTGTTTGTGTGGATGCTTTTTTCAATTTCGATTTCAGTTTTTGAAAATTAATTGATCTCTACGAGGTCTATTTAATGAATGTGAATATTTTTCAGTTGGTTAAATATTAGGATAGTTATCTAACTGGAAAATATAGTTCGGAATTCGTTGTTGCAGTATTTTTGTATTTGAATTGCAACAGTTATGAGATCAGAAAGAGGAAAATTGTTGATGGGTTAGATGGCTTAGATGGTTTTCTTATTAACAGTGAAAATTATCAAGCAAATCGTGTAAATGCGTATGTATATGTATGAATATCTTATGGGACAGGGTTTGTTTCTTTCTTTCTTGGTAATATCTTCAGTTGAAATTAGAAAGGAAGGGAAAAAAGCTCTCAGTCTGAAGGTAGTAATGTATTTGGTTGTTGGGCTAGTAGTGTCTTATTTTTTTACTGCTACAACACAATCTTGAGGAGAAAGGGGAAGTATCTATAAGTTAGAAGGACTAATTTCTAGATCTTGTATTCAATGGATAATGGTAATGTTTTGATACGTTATAAAATGTTCTTCAGTAATAAGTATCAGTACAAAAGAAGTTATTTTTGTATTATTAAACCTAAACTAGTTTCTTGACAATAAAGGTGAAACTTCTATCAGCAATAGGAGTAGGAATCAAAAAAAAAAATCAAGAATAAATAATACACACCTCTCGGAGTATGTGGATATTAAAATTAATGATAGTCACGTAGTTTAGAATTAATATTTTATGTTAGCTATTCAAACAAGATTCGATTAAAAAAGACATCATATTCTTCACATAATAGAGGCAAGGTTATGGATACCAACTCTTGTATATATATATATATATATAAATATAAATTGTATGCCTTATAGATGTTGACATTATCCAACAATATATGCAATCTAAGCAATGTATTGAATTTTCTAATGAATTTAAAAATACATTCAAAATGAATGCCATCCTCGACTTTTGCTTGTAGAAGTAAAGGCTGAAAACCAACTAACTAAAACACCAATCTCTTGGTTTGAACACAAGTCTCTTAATGAAGGAAACCTTTGCTGTAATTATGTAATTATATTTTTACAACTAAATAGAAAATCAAGGAATACATGATATATATCTCTCTAATAGATCACCTTACAGACAAACCATCGAATGCAAGCAGTCCGTCCATCACAACGATGAAGCGTTGTTTTCTTAATAGTACCGTACTGTAATTTGATGCTATTATATCAAACATAAAATTTAAAAAGTCCTGATTTATCCAACAAACCAAAATATTTGTTGGTGTTGGTTGGTTGGTGTCCCAATCGAAGTCAAATACTCGGAGTTGCCGCCAGTTCATCAATTTGACCTTTACTTTTTTCTACTTTTTATCTTATATATTGCTCTCTTTGCCTTCTCTTTCTGTCCACAATTCTCTTAGTCTAACTAATAAAAATAAACCCACATATTACTTACTTACTAACTTTACATATTTGGGCCCACACAATAATTGTTAGTCGGTTTCGGTTTCGAAATTGGCAAAAGAAAGACCAGACCAGATCAGACCAGACAGACAGAAAGACCAAAATTAAACCAACTGAAAAAATATCCCAACGAGCGTTGGTTACAACAACGACAATGATACTTTCACTTAATCACTGCATACCAAAAATAGGAGCAAGAGAAGGAGCCAAGATGAATAAAAAAAAGATAGTAAGCCAAGTTTAACTTATTCTATTACAATGAATGTACTTCTTGCTCGATTTCGATTGAGATAACTGGGTAATTTGGAAATATATCACTAGTTAAAACTAGTATGTAGCAAGTTTAAGATCAAGTGTGCTACTGCAATATCTTAGGTTTTGGATGGTAGACATCAGAGAAATGATGTTATCTTGCTTACGATATTGAACCAAAAGTAGTGTAATACATGCATGTAGATGAGCTAGACTTGCAAGTGTTGGTTGGTTGAAGGGGAAAAATAAAATGTCTCTTGAAAATTACATTAATTATGGTTGTTGTACTTTCTTGTTGAATCTATTCTTTGTTAATAGCTTTTATTTCGTTTCAGTTTCGTTGGAACAACGTACTATGTTATATCAAAATTATCTGTTTATAGGCTCCGCTATGGTATAATGCTATGCTAACGTTTGAATTCCACCAGATAAAATGTCGTGTGAAAGAGATCTAGTTTTTGATTCTTCCATAATGACGAATAAGCCTTTATTTTGACGGACTCTCAACAAACGTGATTTTGGATGAGAGAGACAGAGTGAGAAATTGGCGGTATTTGGTTTTGTTGGAATTGTCCTTTAATAACGACGTAAATTGAGTGAATGATTTTAAAACTCCTATCTTGAGCAAACGTATTTTTCTAAACTTGGAAGTTAGTTTCACCTGGTGATACAAATCTTCAGAAATTCTATAATAAAAGTTTCAACATAAGGCGTATGAACAAATCTCCGTTACCTTAGATCCTCGGTTGACTTAGATCTAATGGAAATCATGGTATTTTATGAATCAATCACAATGATACACGTACACCTAATATCAATAGAATCCTTGTTTCTTACAGTATTCCAAATTAATATTTTTTTTTTTACAAAATCCAAGAAATTTTAATTGTTTCAACAATTGTGAGTTCAATGAATTATACAACATATTGGCTGTACAATTTTTATTGTCAAAGTCTCTCTATATTGTTGTATAGATATCCTTTCTATTCGGTCAGTGTTTCTAGAATTTGACTTTGACACATTCTGTTCACTGTAGTTTCTGCTTTATTCGATTCCCCAAAAACTTAAGACTAATTACCTGTCTGTTAATATTGGTTATTGTTTGAAAACCTAGGGATATTTTTAATTGACAATGGTATAAATTGGCCTGACAGTATCTTGGATCTTCCTCTTCTTCCTTATTAAATCTTTATTTTAACAAGAGTGTGTCTCGGTCACGTGCCCTTGTCGTTTAGGAGTTAATGGGTTCAAGAACTTCATAACGAATTAGAAACTAAAAATTAAATCTATAAACGTCTATTTGGATACTTATTACGTTTTATATCATTTTTGTATTAACTCATAGGTCTCTTTTGACCAGTAATTGCTTCATTATTATAAAATTCCATAGACATACCTGCCTCAACCCCATTTTTCATAAACTTATTATCCATTATCATATTGTTACCATCTAAATCATCTCCATAGCCTGAATTCTGATAAGTGTTATACACCTCATTTATTCCTGTATATACAGCAGAATTACTATCTTGATTCATTGTATTTTGTTCATTATCATAAGCCGATGTCTCGACATCTAGATCTTCTTCTTCACTACTTATAAACTGGTTTTCATTCATCTCTAGACATAGAGCAATTGCGTCATTGCAATTTTTGACCATCTCATCACCTCTGTTAACCCCAAAATTATGAAATGTAAATAAAGTCTCTATTTCCACATTATAGTATCTATCATAAGTTGAATAGCGAGGCCTCAATTTGAACTCTACACTTCGTAAACTAAATTTAGACAATGCATCACTATGTTCTTCTCCATAAACTGGAAATAATTCATTCAGTATTAAATCTCTCTCTACTGTTACAACTAATTCATATCTGTGTCCATCTCTACTATCTTCACCTTGAATTCTGTTTGAACCATGATATATTACACTGTTATAACTGATTTCTATCCCACGACCTAAGTCTTTAAACCACATTAATATACATTTATTCAGAATAAATAATTCGACATTAATGCTATTGATTCCATTTTCCTTATTACTATTAATTTCATTATCGAGTAAACTTAAAATAAAATCTCGACCTCCCCCATACAATACAATCATATCGTCATCATTAGTACCTTGTATAACCTGCGGGACACCAAGTATCCTAGGTTGAGTCTTCTTGTACTCATTATACGGGATGACATTTTCAATAGAAGGTTTAATTGAAGCTTCTCTTGTTATCGGCTTGCACTCTTTTGCAATCATATCCCCCACAAAGCTAATATCGACCTAAAAATAATAACAGAAAATAAACTCACACACAATTTTTTTATAATTACCTATCAATGTAATCAAACAAATATCAGTTTCCTTCTAATATACCTTTAATTTAGGCAGTTCCAATTGACAAATTCATCGAAATTTGTATTACGATCAAATTTTTTGTTTTTTCACTTAAAATATCGAAAAATTTAACCTAAGAGAAAACGTAGCGGCACTTTTATATAGTGCTATGGAATTATCTAATCTGTTAAAAATTACATCAAACAATAAGTAATGAATAAAGTAAAACAAGACATTTAGTGTTATATTAGTTTATAGTGGTTGTATTAACAGATATATTTAAAAATTTTGCACTTTTGTATATTACTATAATTATATATATTATATGATAGTCAATATATTAATCATAAAGTGAAAATTGTGGGTTTGAAGGGGGTATAAATGATTGAGTAATTTATTATTTAAAATGCATTCTTATGTTAGATTGATTAGATAGTATTTTAATTCATATAAGTACTATAAGGAGAGGGTCCTTTGTTTTATGTATGAAGTAAAGTTTTGAGACAACATTTCCTTTTATTATTATTGTTATATTTCATTTAGAAATATGAACTCTATAGTGCATCTTTTAAGGAATTGATGTACAATGTGTCGGAATGTTGTTGGAACCCATTGAATGGAGTAGCTGCAGTTGAAGTGTATGCACCTAGATTTGGGAAGTAAAACCAATCGCCAACCTCTAAATCATGTTTCAAATAGTATTCCTTTGTAATACAATCTAGACCATCACAAGTTGGACCCCAAATGGATACTTTTTGAGGATATTTAGAAACATCATTTTTCTTTAACATGTTCGTACTTGATTCAAAATCATAATAATGAAATTCATTGTTATGGTATAAGATACGTGGTATTGGTTCTTGGTGATCGAATAAAATACAGTTCATGTTGCCGTATACACCATCATTGATGTAAAGCATTGCTTCATTGTTGGAAATGGTTCTCTTAGCAATAACATTTGAAGCCAAAGTCAAAGCGGTAGAAACGAAGTAACGACCTGGTTCGGCCATAAATTTAACTTTATCGCCAGGGAAATATTCTTCTAATGCAACACGTACGACTTTACTTGATTCATGGAATGATTCAAATTGGAAACCACCACCGATATCTAAAATTTTCAATTCCGGTAATCCCATTTCAATACATTTATCAAAAACATATCTAGAGTCCTTAACAGCTTGGTATAAGCTTGTGAAATCGGAAGCACCTGATCCTACATGGAATGCTACACCTACAAGATTCAAATCTAAATCTTTAACAGCTTGTAATAAATTTTCGACATCAGATAATTCACAACCATATTTAGTTGATAATCTGCATTGTGCAGTTGAATCGTCCGTGGCAATCCGTATAAACAATTCAGAATTTGGATGGAATTTCTTAATCTTATGCAATTCTTCGACGTTATCAAAAGTTGATTTTAAAACATTTTTAGTTTGAGCATATCTAATAAAAGAAGAAGCTTTACAAGGATTTGCATAAATGATTCTTTCAGGGTCAACGTTCATTGATAAAACTTTATCAATTTCAGATTTTGAAGCACAATCAAAATTAATCCCTAATTGGTCCAAAGTTTGTAAAATTTTTTCATTTGGGTTACATTTAACTGCATAAAAAGGTTGAACATTTGGCAATTCCAACTTCCAATTTTTATATAATTTTTCTAATTCACCCAAGTCACAAACAAAGAATGAATTTTCTTCCCCTGGTGCACAGGTATCTTCATTGATGGATTCAATTCTTTTTTTCAAAGAATTGAAAATAAATTCATGAGCAGGTTCATATGGTAATTTATAAGATTTAGTATTGCTATTATTAACTATAGAATCTGAATCGACTACCATATCCTTAGCAGATCCATTATCGAAATCTACTAAGGTAATTGAGGAACCCAATGAATGATCTAATTTAACACTAGCCATGATTTCTTTCTTTCTTTCTTATTATTTATTTTTCCTTCTTTATTCCAAGATCCTTCAGTTTAATTAGGAGGAACTCAGAAAAAAAAAAGATCTAAATTAAAAAAAAAATCTAAAACAAAAAAAAATGTGATAACCAACAGACAACTTCTCAGTATTCCAACTTTAAATTAGAAACTTGCTATGAAGATAACAATAATATAATATAATAGGATAGGATAAGATATCGCACAATACAAAACAACACAAAATAGTATAGTATAGTACGGTACAGTGCAGTATATATCGAAATCGAGTAATTGTTAAAACCCTTTAGTATATATTATTTATATTACTGGTTCAGTGTTAAAATCGATACTTTTGTTTTTCAAAACCCAATTAAAGAAAGGCTGAAATCTGAAAATAAAAGGTATACACTGAAAAAAATGTCTAAACTTGTTCAAATCTTTTGATCATAAATCTCTCTTTTATATTTCTAGCAATAATTTTTCAACTTTTCATATCTTAATGTATTTTTTTTTTTTGCTCATACAAAAAATCGATACAAAAATAAAATATCCAAGAATACGTTGCATATGTAAGCGAAAGAGAATATTAATTGGTGTGTTGTACGTTTGTTTCTCTGATGGCATATGGGAACACAAGCCATAGACCCAAAACACGAGATTGCAACGGCAATTTGCAGTTTGATGTTTATGTTGTTATTGTATATTTAGTAGTTTCGAGTACTGACACCCACAAACTAGAGTTGTAGTGCTATCTTTGTAGTTAATAATGTTCTCATCTTTGTTTAAACCCATATGGTTACTGATTAGTATCACGTGACCAATAGAATGACTCCTTCTACTGAATTGTCAATATATAAGTATAGATATAGGCATAGATATAAACATTATTATATTATTATACTACTATTATGGTGAGTTGGTATAGTATAGGCACAACTATGTATTGTTTACCCTACCCTGGTACTGTTCAAAAATATACTCATCAGCTATTTCACTTCTTGGACAGAGATCATGAGAAAGTGTCTGTTACCAAGCTCGAGTAATATTCTATGTTGAACCCTCTAGCTTGTTTCTGTATCGTTGTTATCAATATTAGTATTATTTCAACTATCCCACAATTATTATCTTTCGAGATGATCACTAGTTTTCGTTGACGTTTATCAAGTCTGTCATTGATCACGTGTAGTTGCCAACAATAGTAACATAATTATTAAGAAACAGACATGACCCTATTCATGTTAATTTAGAGCTAATGCTATTATATTTACAATGTACTTGAAGAACTGAAGAAAATTAAATTAAATTAAATTGAAATTAAATAAGTATACGTATAATAACAATAACAATAACAATAACAATAACGATAATAATACAGAAAAATGTATGGGAAGGAAATATGTTGCCTTGTTACATATTAATCATAGTAAAGACTTGTTTGAATGTGCCTGTGAATGTGCAAAAGAAAATTAAAAATTAAAAATAAATTTAGAAATATTTTGTTATTTGCTTGTTTTTTGTTGTTTCATGTCGAATATAGATTGGTTGGTTGACTGATTGATCGATTCAGTTATTCCCACCAGCAGTTACAACACTCCTATTCGTTTTAGTTGTATAGCGATCTCGATAATTATAGTTCGTGAGATTGAATTGGAGACGATGGTACTGGAGTGGTTTCAGAATCTGATGAAACTAATGGTGTTACTAAACTTGCTGTTGGTGCCATCGTTGATGCAGACGTCGGAGTCATGGCTAATGTATTTTGCAAATTAGTAGAAATCATTTCTTGAGTCATTGACACTATATCGTTATTGTTATGGTTGCTAGTACTGTTACTGCTATTACTGCCTCTAATTGGTGATGACATGGATGTCTTCATTGGTGATGCTTGTGTAGATAACGTTTCCGTTATGGAATTACAGAATAAACATGTATAGCCTTCTATCGAAATACTGTTTGGCAAAGTTCCTGTCTTCATACCATTAGATTTCATAATAGTTAATTCACTCTTGGTTGGAATCTTTTTACATGAATCATTTAAGCATCTTGTTCGTGTCTTTTTGTATCGTAAACCACAAGAGTTACATAATTGTTCATGTTTTTTACCTGACCAGGATGGTCTCCAGCATGGAGAATCACTAGATTGGCAAGATACACATTTTCTAATGTTTAGAGTCTGTGGATTGCTGCCATTAGATTTTCTCCTAGGTGTTATCGATTTTCGAGTGTAAGTTGTTGGCTTCGTAGTTGGACTAGATAACGATGTAGCTGGAGTTCTTGGAGGTGAATCAATATTAAATTTATGGTACTTCATATTCTGCTGGGGGGTAGAAGGTGTGGAACATACAGGAGAAATAGATCTTGGAGCAGGTGTTTCAGTATCAACTAGATTGGTTAATTTCAAAATATGAGACCTTGTTGGGGAATTGTTGACCCTGGATTTCGAAACTGGAGATGTAGATCTGGATCTGGCCCTGAATGTACTAGTAGAAGATGAATTAGCGTTGGATATATTTGATTGCGTTCTATGAGCACCTGTCTTTACGATTCTTTTTGGCGAAGAAGAGACAGATGTCTTAGTTATGGTTGCAGGAGCGTAATTTAATATATCTCTATTGTCTAACATTTTTTTCAGCTGCATAGCTTTAAAGCTATTTGTCTTTTTATGACCATTTGAATTGTTACTTTGATTATTTTTTGTTTTTACCATTTCTACCAATTTTGGACTTATCACTGGTGTGAACATATTATTAATCTCTATAGTCGAAGAAGTAATGGTTTTATTTGCGTTATTATGTTCTGGAGTCATTGGTGGAGTCATTGGGGGTGGAATTGGATTTAAAGTATTGGTTGAGTCTGATAAATTTTGAAATGCATCTAATGGTTTTAAGACACTTGGGATTTTTTGTAAAGATGAAAATCTATCATAAGATGTTTCATTTACTATTTTAATATAATCATTGTAATTTTTTTCCTTACACCAATGAATTAGATTTTTTTTCCAACTTGCAGTAACTTCTGAAGTATCAGGATACTGATATGCGTATTCCTGTATTCTTGGATCTGGCAATAATTGCAAATGTCTTAGAGATGGCAAAGCTACACGTTTTGAAGGCTGTACCAAATTAACATTGATTGAATATGAAGAAGCATGATAATAGTTTCCATATGGAGAAGCAGGAGCAGTATTTGATCTTTTTTCATTATTTAATGGTAGATTTTGATGTTTGTTCAAATCAGGTAACTTTTTATCATTTAACAAATCATCGAAAGCAAATAATCTATGTTTCCTAGTTGGATAACCATTTGGTTGTAAGGAAGTATCTCCGGATCCGAAATGGAGTTGGTTCACGATTGTGGACATCCTTTTCTTCTTTTGAATGTATATTATGGGTTTTTATCGTAGGTAGAAGGATACAATTTCTAAAGAAGTACAATAATAATCAATAATAATGTAAACCGGCTTTTTGATATATTCTCTTGTGTACTAATATACAGAAGAGTATGTTCAGAAATCAAGCGAATTGATGAGCAGTTATCCCCGTCTAAAACTTGAAGTAACCAATTGGGAAAATGAGACCAAAAGTAAAGTGAAAATAGAGTGAGATAAAAGGATATAATTTGAATTCGAAACTGATATTAAAGTTTATAAATACCAAACCAAAATAAAAACTAAGATCTCTAGTTTACGAAGCTGGAAAGGGTCCCTCGAGATATAAAGTGTCTTTCCCGAGAGTCTTTTATATAACTTTATCGAGCTAGAGGTGAATCAAATTAAGTGGGAAAAAAAGATAGATATACATAGAAAGATATAGATATAGATCGATAATAGTTTATGATTAGCCAAAAATAGATGAATCAAGTAAAGATACCAGTAACCTGTTGCGATAGATTGTTTCAAGAAAGAAAATGTCAACTTAAGAGAGAATGTTGCCCAGCATCGTTACCAAGATTAACCCAGCGAAAAAATAAATTTGCACTGAAAAGAGAAACATTTAATCTAAACATTGAGAAGTAATTGTACAACACACACAATTAGTTTTCTTTTTTTAGCAGATTTCTTTCCCTTTTTTTCAAATTAAAATTTTTAAATATAACCAAAATGTTCAGATCAAGAATTATGGGTAAACAATTGGTGTTACCCTGACCACTAAGATTTCCTAAATAGGATGAGAGATTGAATGTAACGAGCCAAGAATATCCTATTTCGGCACACAGATCATGATGTTTCTAGTTTTAAAAAAATTTCTGTTTTTCCGATTGGGAAATAACCCAGCAAAGAAAAATGGAAAAGTGATTGGCTGGGTCAATTTTTCTCTGTGTCCAGATCGAGTGATTCTCAACTAGAGTGTTTCCAGAAGCTATGGTATGGTACATGGAGTTCCCCGATTTGGTAAAGGGACGTTGTTATGGTGAGATACAATCTTTCTTGATATGAACTGGAATTTAGGAAAGAGAAAGCAAGACATGATTAAATAGATGGTAATATTCTCCTATGGCAAGTTTGTTTGTGTGTGTATATGTATATTTATTTTAGTTTTGTTATTGTCTGCCCCAGATGTTTTACTAAATTGTTTAGAAGAGAAAATACCCTTTTTGACAGACATAGGCCAAATTAGGAAACCCAAACCAGTATCGAAAGGGAAATGTTGATCACAATGATTCATAATGGCTATGTCAATAAAATGAAGATAGATTTTAGGGAAACAAACAATTTGGTTATTCTGAAACTGTAACATAACAGCTTAAACAACTTAAATTATAAAATTGCGGTTTGTGAACGCCTCATAAATTAAGTTTGTAACTGGCGGGTGCCTAATCGTTCAAGAATTCACGGAATTTACAGAGACATTTCGTGTTCTATACTATATAATATAGTATGCCACCAATAAATATTAAATAAAATAAAATTTAAGTAGAAAGATACGGTGCTACAATGGAGAAAAGAAGATCTTTTCACATTCTGTGCGGCATATTTTTGGCTAAACAGGAGTATGATCTCTGATTCAATTCAATTTAATTTAATTTAAGTTACTTTAATTTAAGTTCATTAAATAAGGGTTCGTTGGATCGTTGGTATTCAACAAAAATAAATCACTATATGCATATCCACGAAAAAGTAACCGATGTGATTTCATTTATATAAAAGAGATGGTTTGGCACAGTGAAACCTCTTATCCTTTCCATAGTAAGAACGTAAAACCAAATTTCTCAGACATATTCATATCCTAGCATGAAAATCAGGGTAATACGCCAAGGTTCTACATCGGCCATATTTGATTCACCTTAATTTTGTTGATCTCACTCTAATTCTCTCATCAAGGAGTTGAAATTGGACGGGATACGAGGTAATTTCTGTATGATATTTGAAACTGAAACTGAAACTGAGACTTAAACTGAAACTGTTGGAAAATAATTCATACAAACCTCCAAAAAATGGAGTCTAAGTCTCAAATCACGAACATACACGAGAAAATTAATTTGCTCTATTCTATTCCATTCAAGGAGGTGTCATGTCACATTTATTGTTGCCAATGTTATTAGGATTAGCTGCTTTTAAGGATCGTCTTTTCTCTCTTTACGTTGAACATCAATTACTTTTCGTGTGATAAGATAAGATGGTTGGAAGTAAGGATTGGCGGTATTACTCCGCTATTTTGCGTAACATGATTAGTTGAAGACAACAGTGACGAAAAGTTGGGGTAAATTTATAAGGATAAAGCGGGGTAAGAGAAATGTCTCTATTTTGTTTGTTAAGAGAGGGTCGAAGTGGGGAAGTTTCAATTCAGTGTTCTCTCTACTTTCCTGACATGAAGGTATCCTTAATAAAAGCAAATCTGACTATACAAAAACGGTAATTAATTTATTTTTATCAGGTAACAATTGAACATGTAGGGAAGTAATGAAATAGATATGTCCTACCCCCCCCCCTTTCCCCATGATAAGGATATGACATAGTGTGATATAGATGATATAACCCCGGATTTGCATTTCTATTCATCTACCTCCTACTTTCTCCTCCCTAACCACTACGGTCGCGTAACTGTAAAAGACTAAAAAATTAAAAAAAAGTCCGAATTTTTAACCACAACAACAAAATTTGCAATCTTAGAGGAAATAGGAAAATACGATGATTGATAATAACAAATTGGAAAAAAAACTACTATGTGTCCCCTCCTACGAGCACCTCTTTTTTTACATTTTTGCATTTTTGCAAAGCTTTCCAAGTTTAAAACGCTTTTTTCCATCAGGAAGCCAAGGCTTACTTACCATACTATACTATACTACACACAAGAGCAATGAATTGATTAACAATTTTTATTAGATTTCTTCAATTGGCCATCTCGTTCAAGCTCAATCCCAATTAAGGGAAATCTAACGCTTCATTTGTTTTATTTCATACAGAGTACGGTGACTGATGGGTAGCTCATCATCCATCTTCAGTGTTTTTTTTGCTCTATCCAATTACTATTACCCATCTCAGCCCATCCTATTATTAATTAATTAATGTAATTCAAATGTTGCAATGTTAGAGGTTTCGGCAAGAGAAGATCAAGAAAAAAAAAATAAAGAGAGAAGATCGTTATTTTGGGAAATCCAACAGATTTCCATAACAAAGAAATACACGTATAACACGGCTTAACTTTGTTGGATAAATCACAACAATTTCCCTTACCTAAATTGTTCGATATTTACCAACTCGGTCTTTTCCTCCCTCTCTTTCTTGTATAACGAACCGAATAGTTCAAAAAAACTCTCCCACCAATCCGAATTTACATACCTTTGCGTACGTCTGTCAAATACTAATTCTCAACAAACCCTCAATATCGTCCGTGGAATTTTACACTACTATTGTTCGTTTTCTTTTCTTGCTTTTCGTCTCTTCACGACTTTTCTTTTTCGTTTTCAAAATACTTTTCAATTTTGTTAATTTGAAAAATTGAAATTTATTCTCTCCTCTTCCACGGTATCACACATTTTCATTCTCGTTTCCCAATAATGATGCTTAAAGTATAATGATGACAAAAGTACTATCTCGTTTCATGTCCCTCATTACTTTTATCGTCAATTCCATCGAAAAAAAAAAGAGACTACACAGAGGAGATCAACCATTTGAAATGATTTTTTAGGCTTTTTTTATTTTTCCTTTTGGAAGACTATTCTGCGCATGTATGTTTCGGTCTTTTTTTGCCATCCTCTCTTGTTGGACTTGGTTTTTTTTTTTACTATTCTTCCCTCTCTGAAGAATTAATAGAAAGTATTTTTTTGATGGGACGGAAAAAAAAAACTTTTACTAGTGAAATGCTTTCTAGCTTTGCTATTCTAATTCATCCCTCCCCTGTTCAACAATTTATTTGTAAGCGTTAACTTCATCGGTCTATTTGAAGGACATCCTTTTCATCTGCTATTGTTTTGAATCTAAACTATATGCAATGAAAGAAAAAAAATATTTCTTTCTACTGGTTTTTCTAATGGCTTTATTCTGTCGTTGTAGCCATTACATAGTCTGGCGCCTTTATTGATATTGCCCTTGGTCCTTTGCACTTTTACTCATGAAATATTGTTCATTTTGACCTTATCATTTTACCTCTTTGACTTTTTTGCTATTACGGTTAGATTGTTGATGGGCCTGTATGTTCCTATTATGATCCTCTCTTATGATTGATGTATTGTATGGCCTGTTTTTGCTGCTCTTACTTTGTTGGGGTATATTGCTTCGCATTTATACCTTGCGGCGGGTACTCTCTACCTTCTTTATCATAAGTTTTCGTTTTTTGCTACTGTTCTATTATCATCTCGGTGCAATTCTCTTTCTTTGTACATTCTTACTACCATCTTAATCGAAGGGGAAAGTTAAAATTTTTCTTTGCTCATTTCAATATGCTTTAACTGAAAGTCTAATTCAACAAACATCAATCAATATTAGTTTCAAAGGATGAGAGAAAAAAAATTTTCAATAATATATAAACGGCTGCCATCCAGGCTCAATTAAATGTTAATTTTGGGTAATTCCTTTTATCAACTTCACTTCTATTCTTGAACCATAACAAACACTCATCAGAAAATTAATTATATCTAAGATACTGAAAAGAACATTGATACATTCAACAAAATAGTAAATAAGACTAGTATCATAATTTTTTTCAAGAAAAGAGAAAAATAAATTAATTCATAATAAAATAATAGCATATCATAATGGTATCCCTACTAGGAAGACGTGCCTGGTTGGTGGTCTGCCTCATTTGTTACTTGGCCGCCACCATCATGACTATCGTTGCCATTTCAGGTTCTACCAATAATACTTCTTCAAGCAGAAATATTTACATTGGTTCAGCTGATATTTCTCACATTAACGTCTCAAAAGTCGTTCCACAAGTTGCTCCTCTATTGACTGTATTGGGTACCGCTGTCACTGCTCCAAATGCTACATTAGATTCAGTCTTCGGCGCTTTGAAAAATATTGCAGACACTGAAGCTTTGACTCCATTGTTGATGTTACTATCTACCGCTAGTAATGTTTCTGCCACTTTACAATCCTTAACTGCTTTGGCTCCATTAGCTGTTCAAGGGAACTCTACATTGGTCAGCACCCAAATTGCAAATGTACAAGGTCTTCTAAACTTGTCTACCAGTGCTAATGAAACTTTAATGGGTCTAGAGGAACTAATTCAAACAACTTTATCTTCAAACTCTACCGAAAGCGCCATGGCTCAACAAACTGCCTTGACTTTATTAGCACAATCAAACAACGTTACTGGATCAACAGAAGCATTATTAGGTTTGAACAGTTTGAACAGTACCGAGAAACAATTATTATCCCCTGTCTTTGAAATTGTTAACAACTCTACAAACCAGACTGTCACTTTTGGTGCTTTTGCGGTTTTAATGAACACTACTATCCCACAAGGATTTCAAAGCGCGTTGGAGAGCGTCACTGACATGTCTTCTCTAAACGCGACACTTGCTCTTCTATCAAGTGGTGCTCCATCAGACTTGAAGCCAGCTGTGGCAGCTTTGGGAGCCTTGGTAGGAGTATCAAGAACCCCATTGGACACATTAACTGTTTTAGCTGGTTTGTATTCTCGTGGTTTAACAACAGCAAGCTGGGCTAAGGCTTCTTTTGCTTCTTTAACTGAGTTATTAACATATGCTAAGAATACTACCGAAGTTTTAGTAGCCGTTGAATCTCTATCCGCTATTACTGACAGTACCTCCACAACTAATGAGCTGCAAGCATTGGAAATGATCTTATCTAGCTCTTCTGATCCTTCCAAAACATTGAGTTACTTAATTCAACTAGCCTCAGTATTGACAAGTGATACCTCACTAACCCAGTACATTCCATACTTATTCACCTTGATCGCTGCGTCATCTGATCCAATTGTTACAATTGACTCCTTGATTATTGTTGTTGAATGGGCGAGTCAAAATGCTGCGACTTTTGCACCATTAATCGCTATCTTAGCGGAAGCTGCATCTGTTGAACCTATCTCGAGTGAAGAATTCATGAATATTACACCAGCATTGTTGGAATATTTGGGTATCCCATTTTCCTTCAGATTGAGTTTCTTCTCTCTATGTAAGGAATTTGGTAATCATACTCAACAGTGTACTCACATGCATCCAGTTCAAAACTTTGATTTCAGAAATATTATCTACGATGCCTTATTAGAGTCTGAATTCGATCCTTATTTGAAGGCATTGAACATTACTGCTGATGATTTATACTTGGAGGGTAGATTATTGAGAAGAGAGCATGAATATGTTCCTTCTATCAAGGCAACTTTGGCTATGTCCATCTTATTCTTCTTAACTTCATTTGTTGCAATGTTCATAATGGGCTGGTTAATGTTTAAACCTTACCACTCTAACCTAACATGGTTATGTATCAATATCTACTGTTGTTTTGTTTCCATCTTTGCTGGTTTATCTGCTACTATTCCAAGTGCTATCGTAGGTATCATTAAGAGGGGTTCTGCTTATGATAGGTACAATGTTATTTTCAAACATGGTAGTGCTTACTACGGTCTAATCTGGACTTCATTCTGTATCGTATTTCTTTCTGGTGTCTCTATTATTGCATTATGGTGGTTAAGCAGAGGTGGCGACACATACTCCGAAAGTGGTGTTGGTTACTACGACGACGAAAAGATGCCACCAAATGTTAATGTCAACAGTAATGACGAAAGCTCTTCTACCGCTAGTGATGGTAATAATGAAAAGGTAAATACCAACGCTCAACAAAATGTTGTCACTGAACATTAATTCTAATGGATTTTTTTTTTATTCACAATGGTTAAGACAATGTCTAAACCCAAAACGTCATACTATTTTAATACCATCTAATTTTCGAAGTTAATTATTAATTAATACGTTTTTAAGTCATTATCCGGGATAATTCTAATCAATAATATTTTTACTTACCGCTTCTATTTTTTTTTCATGATTTTTTATTAATAGTTCATTCTAGCATATTTTATAATTTTTTGTACAACGTATTAATTATTTGGTTTGTATAATTTAATTTATTTCAAGTAGCAATTTTCATTTCTATTTTAATAACAATTAACTTTACATCATTGTTTCATTGTCAATCATTAAGTTTATTTTTCTTGATGACATAATAACCCTCCATATGTTCCTGAGGTGTTGTTGGGGGTAGGGGAGAAAATTGCATCGGTCGCATATATTAGTTGAAATATAACCAAGTCTTAAGGAAATAAAAGATTTGTGAAGATATTTTAATTGTATATCATTTTATATTTTATTTATATTGATTGTATCTAATTTATAATGTGAATACAAATGTGTTGAAATATATAATATGAGAAATAATTGAATGCAATTACAAACTTTCCTGGAATAATTTAAAATTATCGAAAACCCCAAAAATACCGAATTTAACTTAACTCAAATTTCTTTCTAAGTTAGAAGTTTATAAAAAATAGAGAAACCAATGTTTATCTTATCATAAGAACGAATGAAAAATAGTTCTAACACATCACTAAAAATGGTGATAAAAGAATAAAAAAATTATTATGTAATGACTTGCTTTTAATTATTATTATTAAAAAAGATGTCTTGTTTTTTTTGGTTTGTAGTTGATTTATAGTTGTAGCTTATAAAATAATACGCTTTTCTGGAGCTGCAGAACGAGTAACATAACCTCTTGGCTTAGATCTGACGGTACACCAGATCATAAAGTTCAATAATGAACCTAAGATAGCACCCCAGATTAAACAATAGTAGTCTCTACCAAGATCCAAACTGATACCAAATTCGTCATAGTTTTGACTTAATTGATGTTTGATATAAACATAAGTACCAACACTTGTACCACCTGAAATTAACAAACTGACGAATGCAGTTGCAGAAAAGAATATTCCCAGAACAGTGAAAAATACACTATCTACTAAAAATCTAAAGATAATAACGACAAAATTAATGAACATCAAACAAATACCAATAATTAAAGTGATGAACATACATTTTGCTAAATTATTGTAGTAACCTTTTTTATCTTCTAATTTGTCTGGGATGATAATATCTTCAATAGACTCTATTAATTTAGTGGCTTGATTGTTATTAACACTATCACCAAGCAAGGTTTGTAAATCGAACTGTTGAATACCATGTGGAGAAGTACATTTTTCCACATGCTTTGAATCAGTGCTTGAAGTACAGTACGACCACAAACCAATGTTGATGTAGCCAGGTAGTATATCAGTACCTATGTCTTGGGAAATTTTATCGAAAACTGTATCTTGTTTTATTTTTCTTAAATTTAGTTGTGCCACATAAATTTTATTAATTGGATTATAGTTTGATGTTGAACCCGCACAACCTATGATTGCTATTATAAATGTTGTGAAGGAAATCAAAGCAGCCACGAATAGTCTGAATCTGTTAGCCATAATGCAAAAGTTAAATGTGTATATGTATATGAATTGGAATCAATTAGAGCTTTATTTCTCAAATGTTAAAAGATGCTAAAAAAGAATTGGAAACTCCAATTACAATCTGTTTTTATAATTTGCTGGATTTCAAACGCTATAATTAGTTAATACCTAAGAATAACTATTAGCTTAGCAAAGTGTTACGTTTCGATTCCCAGAAATTTCAGAAATAAAATCCCTTGAATTTCTCAAAACTTGAAATATAACCGTTTAAATGTTTATATATATATGTGAGTTTGTCTCAATATATATATAAAGAGAGAGAGAGAGGGAAATAGAGGTTATTACAATCAGCAAATTTTTAAGATATCTCTATATCTAGCAAGCATACGCAATGCACAAAAAGAAGAAAACATATATGCATGCTAAATATGGGATCAATCAAGCAGGTATATAAATAAAATATCTAGTGACAAGTATATTAAAATTCGGTAATTAAATTTCTAATTATTTATTTCCTTCCCAAAATGGGAGAGACAAGGAGATGTTGTACTTTAATTTTCTTTTATGATGTTAGTTAGTGTATTGATATGTACTTCAAATAATTCAGATGAAAGCAAGAAATCGAGGAGGAGAGATCAAAATAAAATAGAATTTCGAATTTCGAAAAAAAATCTCAAAAAAAAAGAAACAAAAAACAATTGATCGCACAGAATTCAATGTAGCAGATTGACATAATAATTATATATTGTATTATGTTTTGCTGTTTGTTTCCGTCCTCGAGCGAAAAGAAACGAAAATAACCGAAATAGCAAGAACGGTGAGCTCGGCCAAGAAAAGCTTGTAGCTTGGTATTTAAGTCCGGGTATGTTTGTCTGTCAAACCAGGCGCAATTTCAGAGACAACGACAACAGAAAATTTCTTTTTTTTTTTCTGTTTTTCATTTATTTTTTCTTCCTCACTTCTCTGTTTCTCTTTCTTAATTTCTTTTTTCTTCTGCTTTTTGGTTTTGTCGCCCGTGAAATCCTCTGCTCATTTTTCGGCCAAATGAAGGAAAAAAAAAAAATGTAGCGGTTGTGTTCGTGCATTGTGATTGAGAGTATTGCTACTAACTAGTCCTACTACTACACTATAAAACTATTCAGATGCTCTGGTTGTTTCAGTCTGGCCTACTTTTGTTCTGTGTATGGTGTGTATCAGAAATGATCCGGGTAACGTTGTCTGATCTTTCTCAAGACCTCAACAGAAAACGAAGCAGCTTAAGTTGGCTTTCTTAGTATTCTTTTTTTTTAATGCTGCTAAAGATAGACACTATCTATCACTATTGCTGATACTGGTGACGGTGACGGTGACGGTGACGGTGATGATTACAAGTGGCTTGGTCAGAGCTAAAGAATATAGATTAAAGCTACTTTAATTTTCTATTCATTAAGGGAACATAATCAACTTGTGGTTTTCCTGTATTTTATTTTTTTTTTGATCTGATGTCTAAGGAGGATAGAGTAACTCATTCGGTGAGAATTGCGAAGAGGAAAAACTGCTTCCACTGAGCTGTATGGGGTTATCATTGTAATGTATAACATATTTTGTTGTTCGGATTGGGGACAGGATTTGGTTAGCAGTAAGAACAACGATGGCTGATGAATTAATTGAATGGCATGAGGAGAAAGATGAATGAAAAGTTTTGTAAAAAATTGCTTAATATGGATGGAGATGAGGAGGTAGATGAGATGGCCCAAGAAGTTTACCATAAAAGAAAAAAAAAAGATGGAAAAACAGAATTAATGTTTTAGATTATTAGCACATCCGACCTTTTTGAAGTTTGTAACTTCAAGTACGGTATGGTGTTCCATACTGTACCGTACCACATAAGATGTAGAGATACAAGTTAAACTTGCTTGGCACTGTAGAAAGAGATCTTGCAACGAGCACGAGCACGAGCACGAGTACGTGAAGTATGTGATGTGTGCTGCTGATGGCAATTATTGGTCTACTTTCTATTACAGTCTCGCCTCGCCTAGCCTAGCCTAGCCAAGCCAAGCCTCTTGTCTAATCATGGAAAAGTCACGGGATGTGGTCCATCGCATCGATGTATTTATTGCATGAGTACAAGTACAATTAGAGCAGACATACCTATCCTACCACTCACATCAAGGTAGAGTTTACAAGTCTAGCAAACATGGGGTATATACATGGATACAAAACCAAGTAACCGCAGTGCGTTCGTACATACTGATATTCTCTTTTGATTGGAGGCATAAGAACAGAAAGACGCTCGTTTTAGTTTTAGTTCTAGTTCCAAAGAGATTTCAGTCTGAGTCGAAAATCGAAAATCGAAAATCGAAAATCGAAAGGATTCGTTCGTTCCAAAGGATGTGTACCGTTGGACGGACGAACACATTCAATTTTGTTCGAAATGATATGGTATGGTATGATTTGGTATGGGGGTTGAGTCAAAAGCGAATAAGTGATTAATTCCGGAGTTTCGTATGAAACGGTTTCTCTCTCTTCTCCGTAGCGACAATGACTCTCTTGCCACAAAAACCTGCCTGGGTAATCAGTACTTGTTGTACCCAGAGTTTCAATTTTTAAGGGAGGTGAGGGGGGCCAAGGGGAAGGGGAAGGGGAAGGGAGCAGACAGTTCTTGGAGGTCTCGAAGTGAAGGTCTTAGAGGAATGGACAGGAATGGAATGGGGGAAAGAGGGAGATAAGAAGGAAGAGAGACAGAGAGACAGAGCGAACCACAAAAACTAAACTAAACTAAACTAAGCTAAAAATTAAGTATTGAATATTGAATATTGAATATTGAATATTGAATATTGAATATTGAATATCGGTAAAGCTAAAGGTAAACTGAATGGGAAAATCAATGAATGACACAAAGATTAAGAAATAAATTTGTTTTCATCTTCCCAAAAAAATAAGAAAATAAGAAAATAAGAAAAAATGATATCAAATATCAAATATCAAATGTAGCAATTTAAAAGCATGATTAAATAAATATTCCGGGCACACTCTCTCACACACACATAATTCACCGAATGATATTAAAATATTCAGTATTATCTCCAATTTTGAATTATTTTTTTTTTGTTTTAAAAATCATATTTAAGGAGGTGATTATACTTATGTTTTGTTTTATTTTTCTTTCTATCTTCTTTGATTCTCTCTTCTCTGCTCCACTCTCAAATCTAGTCTGACCTCTTACACTCAGGTTTCCACAAAACATATCAATCATACATATCCTCCTCAGCTTATAAGTTGTACATCTGTATATTTTGGTTTACTGGAAAAAACAAGCATACAAGCCTACAAACCCATCTCTATTCAAACTTCTTATAGTTTTAGGGTGTTACTTCGTTACTGCATATTTTCATATCTATATATATCTATATATATATAGTTGTTGTTGTTTTTACGACTCAACGTCAATCGGCTCCATTTTTGTTAGTTAGTTTGTTTGTTTGCTTCCATTAAACAATATTCAATAACTATTCATTAAATGCAAATTGATTGATTGATATAATATTTTATACAACATAGCATATACTATTTCATATCCCTTCCCTTCCCTTCCCTTCCCCTCACATATACACTCTTCAGCAAATATGATGCAAACTAATCTATTGAATTTCTACAAAAATCATAGACTTTCAATTTTAAGAATTTCATATATTCTACTGCTAGTTGGTACCCTAGCAAGTGGTACAAATTTAAATAATAACAAGAGAGACAAAAAAATTAGATCTTCAAGAAATAGAAGTCAAAGCATAACAAGCAATGCAAGCAGTACTACTACAAACGCAGATAATACAAAGAATAATAATAACAGACAGATAGACTTAAATGATAATGATAATGATGACAATGATAGAGAATCTATCATTGTCTCAGATTCAAACCAAGTTCAAAATAACAAAAGACAATTGGAATGCAGCAAAAAGAAAAAATCATTCCTTCTACAAATTATACTGAAGGATAGAAAATGTCTATTATTATTCATAACTCAATCAATTCTATTAGTTATCAGAACTTTCTTATCTTTACATGTCGCAACTTTAGATGGTAAATTAGTATCAACTTTAGTTAAGGCTCAATACGGAAGCTTTTTGAAGGTTTTATTTGGTCAATGGATGTTACTAGGTATCCCAGCTAGTTTCATAAATTCGTTGATCAACTATACAACGAAATTATGTTCAATATCAATTAACAGACAAATTTCAAACTTCTTATTGGATAAGTATTTGAAAAACCACAAGATTTTTTACTCTGTCGTTGCAAATATTAACATCGATAATAATAAAGAAACTAACGATTCAAATGAAAATAAAATCGATAGCGAAACTAATTTGAAGGGTGATTTTAATAATAATAATGATAATGATAATACAAAGAGTTTAGTTGCAGGGAAAAATGGTAATGAAAATGCAAATGCTACTTCTACTGCAGCTGCACATGGGCCAGAAATTCAAGACCATCTAACTCGTGACATTTATCAATTCTCAACAAATTCATCCCTGTTATTAAACCAATTGTTGAAGCCTACTTTGGATTTAATATTATGTTCATTTAAATTACTAATGTCAAACTCAACTATGATGGGTGAAGGTACCCTTGTTTTGGGTTTAATTGTGACGTTTTCCAATTCCTTATTAAAGTTAATTCAACCAAATTTTACAAAATTAACTATGATTAGAGCTTCACTAGAGAGTTGGTTCAGATCTTTGCATTCAAACTTACACTCGAATAACGAAGAAATTGCCATCCTAAGAGGTTATGATAGAGAATTGATAAGTTTGGATTATTCATTTTATCAATTGGTCTTATTCCTAAATAGAGAAATAAAAGCAAGAGCCTTATATGATTTGGCTACAAATTTCGTAATCAAATACACATGGGGTGCTGCTGGTTTGATCCTGTGTTCAATGCCAATTTTTTTCAAAGAACCTACTACTGAAGAAGAAGATGCAGCCGCACAGACTAGTGCTGGTGATATAACCGCAGATTTTATCACCAACAGACGTTTATTATTGACTGCCTCTAGTTCATTTGGTAGATTTGTGGAATTGAAGAAGAACATTCAACAGTTGCGCGGTGTCTGGATAAGATTAAACAGTTTTAATAACGTTCTAGATTCGATTATTGAAAATGATCAAGATGGAGATACCTCAATTGATTCTAAGCTAGTTGAATATAATGATAATTTGATTAAATTTATTAACGTTCCATTAATAACACCAGCAAATCAAGTATTAGTACCAGAGTTGAACTTTGAATTAAATCATGGAGATCATTTGTTAATTATTGGTCCAAATGGGTGTGGTAAATCGTCATTATTTAGGCTGTTGGGTGGTCTATGGCCAATTAGACCATCTTTAAAGCCAGAACTAAAAACTAAATTAATCATGCCTAATAGAGACAACGAAAATGAATGTTCTATATATTACTTACCACAAAGGCCATATATGAGTAATAGATCCACATTTAGAGAACAAATTATTTATCCTGATTCTATTGAACAATTTGAAACGCGTTTCAATGGTGATTATGTCAAGGGTGATGATAAACTGGTAGAAATTTTGGAGTTACTAGAATTGGACGATCTAATAACCGAAAATTTATCTCTAGCTTTAGCAAAGAAGTCTAATACTTCTCCAAAGTCAATTACTAACAACACTAACACTATCATCGAAACACGTGAAGCTTTTGATCTAATTCGTAACTGGTCGGAAGAATTATCAATTGGTATCCAACAAAGACTAGCAATGGCTAGAATGTATTATCATCAACCAAAATTTGCAGTTTTAGATGAATGTACCTCAGCTGTTTCTCCAGAAATGGAACAAAAAATGTATCAAAATGCCCAAAATTTTGGTATCTCTTTGATATCAGTCTGTCATAGAACAAGTTTGTGGCATTTCCATAATTATTTGCTAAAATTTGATGGTAAGGGTAATTATGACTTTGGGAAGTTTGATCCAGTTGAAAGATTGGGAAATGAACAAAAATTAAGTGAACTAAGTGTAATATTGGACCAACAAGTTCCAGTTTGGGAAAAGAGATTAAAGGAATTGACAGAAGCCAGAAAATCCAACATTATTAGGAAATCGCAAACTGATTTGAGAGCATTAGAAAATTCTACAAATGACAAGTCTCCAAGCTCAAGTCCAGCTAAATTACTGTTATTAAATCAATCTAATAAAAACTCTAAAACTTCTAAACCAAGCAAACAAAATGAAAGATTACCTTTGAAAGAGAGTCAAACTGAGGCTAGTTCACCAAGCAAACTCAGGAAACCCGCTCCAAAACCAAAAAAGAAATGAATTGATGAATAAATGAATGAATGAACACTGAATAACTAATATAACAATCATCAAAATAAACTCTTCATTAAAAAATAATAGAAAAAAATTGTACCTTTTGTAGATATATCCATGAATAGTAGTATTATATTCGTCTATATAAATTGATAATATTCAAATACCAAATAAATAAATAAATGCATTGATTAAATAATATTAAGATTCTTTAGTATAATCAAACTGTCTAAGTCAATAAACCGACCACATTAACCTATAAAAAAGCTAAATTCTAAAGTAATTTATGTTTTTATATCAAAAGGGTTTAATTGTAACAGGTTAATCATCGATTTGAGAACAAAACGTTTTTTTCATGGAATATCAAAAACACCTGAAGAATTAAGCCTTATATCTCAAAATTGATAAATATTTGGAGGATGCAAAATATAAAAATTGGATAGTATTGAGGTAATACTAAGGAATAAAAAAATAACGATAAGAGTAAAGAACAACAATACTATATACTATCTGAAGATATCCTTACAATGGAATGTTGGCATTATGTTGAGACTACTTCATCAGGACAGCCATTATTGAGAGAAAATGAGAAAGATATATTAATAGATCATAAAATAGGGTTATATTATGGGAAATCAAGAATATTAAATAGGCAATCTGGTAGGATATTTTTAACTTCACAGAGACTGATATATGTTGATGATTTAGACCCTACTAAATATTCAATTTGTTTAGAATTAAATGATATCGAATCAGTTGAATATTCATCAAACTTTCTTAAAAGGTCAGCCAGAATGATTCTATTCTTAAAAGATCTGGAGACAGCTGCATTACAAAACAAGTTACTTGGAATTGAATTAAATAAACAAATTGGTACTTCAACTTGGGTTTGTCCAATCTGTATGTTCACAAATGAAGTTCAAGGAGAATTTACGAAAGATTTGAACCCTTTACCAGTATGTGAGAATTGTGGTATTCCTGCGGATTATGAAATGACAAAATCATCGATTAATTACTCAAATAACAGTAAAAATAATAATGAATCAAAAATACAGGATTCAAAAAAATCAAGGTTAAAAGGTGGTAATACTTGCCCTGCTTGTACATTTATTAATCATCCACAAATGAATAATTGTGAAATTTGCGGCTTTAGATTACCAAATACAAAGATACGATCAAAATATAATTCAAATGCAAAGACATTTAAAGATTCAAGGTTTAATATAGAACTTGAAAATGGAACCCTCCCAAATAAAGAAGCCTCAAATTTTGTACAATTTAGCTTTCGAAAATCTGATGGATTACTATTCTCTCAAGCAACCAAAAAAGCTGTAGATGATTTGAGAAAGGAAAAGACTAAACATATTTTTAATGCGGATTTAGTTTCAGTGAATGGGGAACTAGTAAATACCCAAGAATCCAAAAACCTACCATTTTTAGAAACAAAACCAAATAAAGTTGGTATTACAAGTTTAGAAAATTCTAGAGAAGTACAACTTTTGAACAACGATATATTATTCAACAATGCACTAACAGATTTAAATAAATTAATGTCATTAGCAAGTGAAATTGAAAAATTATACAAAACATATAGAAAAAATGGAGATGAAGAAACAAAACAGAAATCAGTTTTAATGATAGACCGAGACAAATTCTATAATAAATCACTATTCTTAGATGAAATTGCTCGTGAAATATATGAGTTTGCGATATTTGAATTCAAGCAAAAGGATGAAAGCCAAAAATTAATCCTTGTTACTCTGGTTGACTTATATGCTATGTATAATAAATCAATGAGAATTGGGATTGGATATATATCACCAAAGGAAATGAAAGAGGCATGTGAGAGATTTGAAGATTTGGGATTACATGAACTAAAGCTGACAAGAATAAATGGTAGAGTGCTATGCTTATCCTCATCAGATTCATTCGAAAATATCAAAGAAATGATATTGAAAATCATCGAGTCTTGCAATGGATGCGACTTATTACAGCTGACAAAAATTTTAAACGAGTCATCATCAAATTGTTGGACAATTGGTGTAATTACCGAAATCATACAAAATAGCATCAATACTGGTGATATTCTAATAGATGAGCAATTGAGCGGTATAAATTACTATAAGAATACTATATGGAATATTAACAAATAATAAATCCAAAAAGAATATTAACAAATAATAAATCCAAAAAGAATATTAATGGTATTAACAAAATATACATTTTCATTAGAAAATTTGCATATTAAATTAGGTTTTAATAATAAACATTTACAAACTGTTCTACAATTTTAAGTTTTAATGACATTTCTTAAATATCAAATAGTTTTATCACTAAAACGTCTCTATTTTCTTATATCTACATATACACCACTGTGTTAGATGCCAACGATTTCAGATTAATATTCGTTGGGGATAACTCGGGTAAAGCCTCTAATTCTTGAATTATAAATTCCTTCTCATCAATAAATGTTGCGTCTTGGTTCTCTAACCCAAATGTTTTAAAATAATCCAATAATCTGATTTTATTCTTAGATAATATATCAGCTATTGGTTTAGGCTTCTTAGGGTTTGCTACAATAACTTTGAAAATGTTAAAAGCTTCATATTGTAAATTTTTTGATTTATCACTCATCAACGTCATGACTAATTTTAAATTGTTCGATGAAGAGATATATGTTGTCATTAATTGATTATTAGACCTTATAATGATTAATGAAGCCAAAAGCTTTGTTATCTGTCTCCTTGCAACGTAGGTTCCTTTTATTATCAACGTATTGATATTATCTATGAATTTATTAATATTTGCGTCATTATTCAAAAACTCTTTGGAGACTAATTTTGGATGTGTAGAAAATATAGTATTTAATAATTGTAATGATTCTGTGCTAATTTCAAAGTCTGGGACACTTGCATATTCAAAGAGTTTCCAAATATTTGGATCTCTGAGGATAATAGATGCTAATTGTTCATATTTAACAGTTTCTACTATCATATTACCCAAAATCAAATAAACTTCTTTAGCTGACTCACCATCCAATGCCAATTCTGTACTTCGTAGCATCAAATTGACAGTTATTGGATTCATGACCAGATATTCTACAGTAGTTAACCTATTATCTTTCGAATGTCTTAACCCTAAGGAGTAGATGAACATTACATCCTTCCTGGTTTCGAAATCTAAATCTGTAAAATGGTGTAAAAGATGGTAAAAAAAATTATTCTTATTTATTCTCAAGTACCATCATATTAATTGCCTCAACGGTTTGTGTTGTTCAATTCATCCAGCAAGAATTTTTTATACTAGTTAAGTATTTCGACCACTCATCTTGTGATTTCTTTTGGCCATCCGATGAATTGGTTGAACTTATTTTAGCAATCTGTTCAACTACATATTTTATATACTCATTGGGTTCTTTTGGCTGCCTTTTCCACCAAAATGTCATATCGAGATCTTGATTCCTATATTTTTTAAACATTGACACAGATTAACAACATATGCTTTGTTATTTCCCTTTTACTACCAGAACAGTAACAATACTGAACTGTATTGAAATACAAAGGTTAAAATAATTTTTAGACAAACTTAAATAGCAAGACAAACACCCAACTCATCTAAAGGTCAACTAATTAAATCATTTTCTTAACCAAGCACTTAAAGAAGATATCCATTTAATAAACTCTTTTGAAATTGTGTCCAATATTAAATTACGACGTTTCGAACAATATCTTATTTAGTTGAGACCATTATTTGAAGCTCAGTGATGGTCACAAAACACAGCAAAATCTATCAATTATGATAAAGTGTCTAAAATTCAAATGACTTATAAGTGATTTATTCATTATATTACAATGGGGTTTATAGTTATCTATACATCATGTATTTAATTTTGTGCGTGTTTGTGCGTTTTAGTCATTCATTAAGAGGAGTTTTATTCGGATATATTAACATTGTGAATGATCTATATCCCCAAAGGGTACAACATTCAATGGAAACCTCTAGCTAATAATTCTTTCTCCAAATTGTACCAGAAAAAACGGACAACTTCAACATCTTTGAATCTTTTATTTTTATCTATTTCGACTTTCTGTACGTTCCATTGTTGTACTGTCTGTGGGATTGAATCACCAGAGAAATGGAAGTAATACCCTTTACAATGTTGGAATAATTCTTGAGGGGTATTCCATTGATAGTTATTGAATTGCCATGCATGTCCTGTTGTAAAAATAGCTACTACTCTATCCCAATATTCAGGCTTTGTAAACATTCTTGTATTGTTAACAACCATAAACCTAATTGGCCTGCTTATACGGTCAAATTTCTTTTCGATAGTAATTAAATCTTGACTAGCAACAGGTAATTCTCTTGGATTGATATAGTTTGAATCTTGTAAAAATTGTTTGATATTTGACAGAGTGAAAATAGAAGATGCAGCAGATGGGATTAGAATGATTGGATCCTTTCTTTGAGTAGAATTTCTTTGTAGGTTTCTATCGTTTTTGGAGATACCATTTTGTGAAGAACTTTTATTTCTATTAGAACGTAATGATGATTTTATTGATTGCACCAGCTTTAATTCCGCATCTTTTATCAGATAACCAAAGTCAATAGCTTTAGACCCACGTAAGGAAGAATTATGATCCACCAAGACTCTTTCATTAGATAATGCCTTGGCTAAGATTGGATCTGTTTTAGCTAATTCTCTTTCCGTAACATTAGCACTATCGGATTCTTTGGTAATTTCTTTAACTTCGGATTCTTTACTTTTGTCACCACTAATATAAGAAGAAGTTTCAGAAGTACCAGATAGCCAGTTGATCAAATCGTTTCTTTGTGTAAATGAAATATTTGGTAAATGTTTAGCTTGACAATCAGCTAAATAATCAGCTGCGTTAGAATCTTTATGTAACCAACAATGGGCAATTACTTTCAAAGGAATTGAAAGAACCATCAATTACGAACTCTGTATCATTCTCCAATAGATATTTCCTATCATCAGCAAGTTTCAAAAAAGATGCCTTCGATATATCATCTATTAAGGTGTCATTTGCATCTAATAAAGTAAAATTTCCACCTTTTCTCAACAAATCTCTAATTTGTAACAACTCAGACATAACGATATCAGTTGGTACACCAAAAGGTCAACACTTCAAGCTTCCTGAACCAAATGACAAGATAACAAACCTTCTCAAAAATTTAGTACACAATTTATTATTATATTCAATGGTTCTTGTTAAGTTATTCAAATATTAATGTGGTTAATTTTTCATTATCTTACAAAACAGGAATAACTTACCCGGTCCACAATATCATTAGTCACATGACTAACAATAAACCACATATCATATGACACGATATATAAGTGTACAATTGTTGTTAATAAAGAGGATTAAATGAAGAAGAAGATCCTGTTCAACTTCTTCATTATTTAAACAGTCATTTATCTTCAACTTAATCCCAATATTAACATTTAACAATACTATTAGGTCAGATATTTATAATATTTATAATATGTTATCCTGGATTAATCATAAACCTAATTTAATTTTGAAATAGAAGGTGATATTTGTGTCGTTAATCCAAACGACGAGGGCAGAAACTTACTATTTAGCTTCCACTAGGGAGTTGTCATTTAGTTGACCTTCTGAATATAGTAATATGATCTCCTTTAATAGTATATTTTCAGTGAAGTTGGGTAGATTGTGCTCAGAATACTAAAACGCATTCTTAACCGCCCTAAGATCAACACGATGAATTATTAAATTCTTAATTAGTCTTTAAGCGTTTAATTTAGTTTTGGCTGAGAGGGAAATGGGCCTTCAACTTGATTTGAAATTAATTACCCATTTCAGTTAGGTGAAATACAGTGTATAATGGAGGGTTCGCTTTGTGATCTATAACAAGAAACCATTGGTCATTGATATAGGTGCCTAAATATTACATTTACCACTCTTTTTTTATAGGTGCTGACAGTCATTGTGTACGTATGTGTAAAGCTCATCGCTTAATACCATCAAGAAATGTTCAGTTTTATGTTTAAAGCACTAAGATTTTAAAGATTGATGATACTGGTTACAATTATAGGAAACTAGTTACTCTTCCAATCCTACCAGTACTCAATTTTTGCGTGATCACACAAGTGAGGAGATTATTGAAAAATAATATTTAAATATAGCTAGCTAGAATTGAAATTGTCTACAAGGCCGTTTTTAAACTGATTAAAAAGATTAATTTAGCATACTTCATATATTGAAGCTCATTTTATACCTAGTGAAATGGCTAAAAAGGGTAAGGCTAGTAGCAAACCAGCTACTCCTGTAGTAGAAGAACCAAAGGGGAAAGGTAAAAAGGGCAAAAAGAAAGAGCAAGATGAGGATACTGCTGCAAATAAAAACAAGCAACAACAAAATAGAGCAAAGGTTACTTCTACTACAAATTGGACTGGTAAATTACCACATACATTATTACATGAATTATGTCAAAAAAGGAAATGGAATAAAGTCGAATATGATATGAAAAAAATAGGTGATAAAGGTATGTTAGCAATTGCGGTATTATCATGGACAGATCCGAAATCAAAGGAAGTTATATCGATTAGGATGAATGATCCGACCTATGATAAAGTTTCAGGTAAAGGTCTCTATATTCCACAGGAGACTCCGATGGAAGCTAGACATATTGCGGCAACCATCGCCCTTTATAGAATTGCGTACAATACAAATATGCAAATGATGCTACCGCCAAATCATAAAAACTTATGGTATGATTTATCAGATTTTAAAAAGTCGCTAAATGGGACAGATCCAAAAAAATGCGATAAAATATTCGATGTGGATCCATTCAAAACTTTTGTAGAAGATAGAAAGCAAAAAGAACAACAAGACAAAGAACGGAATGCAAGATTTCAACAGGCTGAAAAAGAACAAAAAAAATCGGTAATTCTTTCTACAAATTCAAATAAGAAGGAAAAATCGCCTATACATAAGAAGGAACGTTTAGAAAATAAGAGTAATGATTCTTTGGTTAGTTTTCCAAGAAAGGTATGGGATAATGCCACTTTTATAGATTTGAGTGAGTCGGCAAGACAAATAATTGAATCAAACTTGAAATTACATATTGATTGGAAGAGTAAAGTTCACAAACCTAATGAAAAATCTAAGTCAGAAATTAGGGAAGCGCTGAGATCAAAATTAATAGAATTCAATTTTAGAGAACCACATGTTGATGAGGCCATGAATTATAAGGATCCCCTTTCTTTTTTGCTTGTCAATTTGCCTGAAGACGATTTACCACCCTTTTTCCATAAACGCAAAGAAGATTCTAATAACGTTGTTGAAATTTCAACTTTACCTTTAAGTACAAGAAACATGGTGGAAAGATTAACTGAAAGTGGTATCTCTAAAGATGAAGCACTTTATGCGTTAGGAAAATCTCAAATGAACGAACCTGAAGCTGCCGGATTAATAACACAAAATATACTACCATCTTTAGTAACTGATGAAGGTGCTAGAGTTTCAGAAGATGAATCACATTCTATCTGGAAAGATGAATTGGATAGTTTGCAGAGTATATATAGCGAAAATATTACAGTTTTAGACGCCAACTCATGCTACACAATGACCATAATAGAGAAATTCAATTTAAAATTGAAAGTTTATAAAACTAAACATTATCCTTCCACATTGCCAGGAATTATTGTTTCAACTTTCGACAAAAGTTTGACTTTACCAAATTACATTAAACATCAAATTTTGTCAAAATTATTGAATTATATTGATGAATACAAGCTACTCAATGATATGATGATATACACTATTTTTGAATGGCTTCAAGAAAATATTAGCAAAATTATAGATAACCCCGGCCCATTGTTATCGGAAGACGAATTTAGGAATTCAAGAGGGATAACTTCCGTTATAGATCAATCCAAAAGTAATTCATATAATCGGAAGAATAAATCGAATAATGGAGTTAACCTAACAGCAGGAGAAATAGAAGACTTAAACAAGAAGTACGCCAAAAGAATCAAGTCAGATGAATATAATATGATGCTTATAAATAGAAAAAACCTTCCTGCCTGGAAAATTCAAAGGAATATTGTCGATTTAGTCTTCAGCAATGACGTAGTTCTTATTACAGGTGAAACAGGTTCAGGTAAATCTACTCAAGTAGTACAATTCTTACTAGACCATTTAATCAACACTCATAATGACTATAACAAAACCAAAATTATTTGCACACAGCCTAGAAGAATTTCAGCTATTGGTTTAGCTGATCGTGTTGCCGACGAAAGATGTGTTAAAGTTGGCGATGAAGTCGGCTATGTAATCAGAGGTGTCAATAAGACTAATGAAAACACTCGTATACGTTTTATGACCACTGGTGTGCTAGTGAGAATATTACAATCTGATAAAAGCTTCTTAAACAATTCCATTGTTGTTATCGATGAAGTACATGAGAGGTCAATAGATACCGATTTAATTATAATTCTGTTGAACAACCTTATAGGCAAGATACCAGGCCTCAAGATTGTACTGATGAGTGCTACTGTAGATATCAAAGTTTTCAGTACATACTTTAAGAATCTTAAAACATGCCATATTGAAGGTAGAACATTTCCAATCGTTGATTACTTTTTAGATGATATCCTACCAGCTGTTGACTTTAAGATTAAGAACAACATGTTACGTTATGATAGCTTTGAAGATGAGGATATTGACAGCCAAGATGAATTCATAAGACCTGGTCCAAATTCACGATTTTTTAAATCTGGCCAAATAAATTATGATTTAATAACCGATGTCGTGGATCATATAGATAGAGAATTATCAGCCAATTCAAATGATGGTTCGATTATTGTATTTTTACCAGGTATTTCTGAAATCAACAAGTCTTGTAAAATGCTTTCAAAAAGTAAGTTTGCGGATTTATATGTCATCCTACCATTGCATTCTGCATTAACTCCCGAAGATCAAAAAAGGGTATTCCTAAAATATAAAGGAAAACGTAAGATTGTAGTTTCTACTAATATTGCTGAAACATCAATTACAATCGATGATTGTGTAGCGGTGGTTGATACCGGTAGAGCTAAAACCTCATATTATAGTTCTACTGATAATACTACTAGATTAATTGAATCGTTTATATCCAAAGCTGAGGCAAAGCAACGTAGGGGCCGTTCTGGGAGAGTTCGAGAAGGTATATGCTACAGATTGTTTTCTAAAGAGACATTTGAAGATAGTATGGTAGCCGCTCCTGCGCCAGAGATAAGAAGAGTTTCATTGGAGTCATTATATCTTTCTGTCAAAGCAATGGGAATCAAAAATGTCAAAGCGTTCCTGAAAACTGGACTTGATCCTCCTCCTCTAAAGTCTTTAGAAAAAGCCGAAAGAATGTTAACAACAGTTGGTTTATTGAATAATGAAGATGGATCTCTTTCTCAATTGGGCCAATTCATTAGTTTGATGCCAGTTATCGATTGTAAACATGGGAAATTACTAATTTATAGTATTATTTTTGGCTGTACTGATATCGGTATTTTAATCGCATCTCTATTAGGTGCCAATTCTATGCCTTTCATTGGCGGTGCAGAAAATCGTGATGAAATTAAAAGGATACTTGCTAAGAGGGATGATATTGGTGATCTATTGAGCATGGTTTATATTTTAGAACAATATTATGCATTATGTGATAGCACCAGCAAAAGGAGTTTCATGAAAGAAAATATGTTGTCCTATAATAAAATCAAAGAAATATCATCTAACAGAACTCAACTTTATTCAATTCTAAAAGATGTAGGATTTTTACCTATGGATTATCAATGTGGATCTTCAGAATATTTGAATAGAAACAGAAATAATATTGATATTTTGAAGTGCATTTTAACGGGCGCTTTTTATCCACATATTGCCAGAGTTCAGCTTCCTGATGCTAAATTTGCAGCCACAAGTGTTGGTGCTATTCAAAAAGACCCTGAAGCTAATCTAATTAAATTCTGGATAAGAAATGAAGAATACATCGACAATTTACAAAACTTGAAAAAAGAGATGACAAATAAGGAGATTACCCGAGAAGAAATCAACGCCTTGCCGTTGCCTCTAACCAGAGCTTTTATTCACCCATCTTCTGTTTTGTTTTCTAAACGTCCAGTAAATCAAGAGGATATGATATCTCTGAATGAGATAGATCAACCATTAAATACTCAAATTAACGCTCCAAAAATCTCCAAGTCGCCATTTATTATTTATAATTCTTCTCAACAAACAACAAAGTTGTATCTAAAAGATATCACACCTGTTTCTACGTTGTCACTGTTATTATTTGGTGGTCCAATCAGTTATGATGTTAACAATAGGAATTATTCACCAGGGGTTGTTGTTGATGAGTGGCTTCCAATCAGAACATGGTGTAAGAATGGTGTTCTAATCAATGAATTAAGAAGTTTATTGGATGAATCTATTAAATGCAAGCTGGATATACCAAATTATTCCAGAAAGTCCATGTCAATCTCAAAAGATAAATCTTTTAATGAAAAGGCAGATGAAATACTACAAATTGTAGAACATTTAATAACAGTAGGATAATTTGAAATATTTAAATTAATTTATAGAGCAAGTAAACTGCATATTGATGATTATTAGTCGAGCACTATGTGACAATGTGCCGTTGGTATAGATAGTATTTGAATACTGTTCTTCCGTTTAACAATTTTTAGATCTGAAAAAAATCGAAAAAAATTTGAAGGATGCGAGGTTCGAACTCGCGCGGACAACCGTCCAACAGATCTTAAGTCTGCCGCCTTAGACCACTCGGCCAACCCTCCAATTGCTTGTTATTGTCTGAAAATTTAATCTCGACTATATGTTCCAAACCCGACGTCACGTGTAGATATTTATTTTTTGCATTTTTTGGCCCATATCAGGTAAGTTCTGGTTATTCTTCAGCTGTAAAATTAGTTTAGTACCTGTTCGAATAAAGGCCGGTTTGCGCTTATTCTCTAGAAATTTTTTTGTAGAAATCTGTATGATAAAGTAAAGATACTATTAATTATTAATGTTGTTGATTTGTCTTTTATGTACAACTTAAAGGTTCAGATGTAAATTTAACATCTGAATTATTCATAACGGAGAAATATATGTAATTCTAACCTCAAAATCATCTTTACTAAAATAACCATAATGAGTAATTCAGATATTAAAGTTCCATCTGAACACGATAGCGCTGCTATCGTTCCCTTTGACAGTAACAAGGCGGAAGATTCTTTAAAAACTTCACTTCACAATAATAATTCAATTGGTACCTCTACTAAGGTTTCTCAAGATGAATCTTTGCAAAACTCTCCTAAAGGAATCAGCGGTTCTCCTGCATACGATGCCAACAATATCCCATATTATTCACCATATGCGTTGATGTCCCACCCATACCCAATTGGTTGGTCTCCATATGGTAACCATTATCCACCACCAATATTCCCTAACTACTTCGGTCAAACTTATGCAGGTATGCATCCAGGTTTACAATTTCCTATCCCACCTTCGATTCCTAATGACTACTACCAACAGCATCCTCCAATTACTCCAAACCAAGTACCATCAAGCACCTCTGCTACTGATTCAACATCACAACCCCCAACTGCTCCAGTTCATACACATCCAATGGACAGGATAATGCTAACAGTAGCTTCGTCGGCTCATGACTTTAACAGATGGATCAATGACTTTGTCAAATTTTTAAAGCAATCCAATTTAGTAGATATCATCCCAGATGAATACGGCTGTGCTAAACGTACCCCAACTGACGTTGAAAAAGCTTACATCATTAACATATTCAATATGTACGTACCAGCGGACACGTACCCTGACTGGATGAAGAGCTCCATCTCTGAGGGAACCGATCTCCTTACCCTAATCCTACATGCCATTGGCACTGTTGCAAATAAGGACCCTGAAGAAGAATTACTTAACAGGCTAAGTAACATTACATTCGACGGATCCAATGCTGCATTTATATTTGCTGCCAAAATACGTTCTCTCGTCAAGAATTGTAGAAGTTCTGATGTTAACATTCCCGAATCAATAATATGCAAGTGTATAATGAATGGCTTGAAAGGACAATATCTATCATTAAATACAAGATATGCCGAAAACGGTGCAAAGGTTACTTTGAATTTACTTTTACGTGATATCCAGATCTTATACGAAATAGAGAGCAAACGGGATAAACCTTCCAACCTGAGGAACAAACCGAAAAGTGATAATGTGGTCAAACTGTCTCTACCAATGTGAAAACTACTTTAAGCGCTAGAGTGACAAATTCTAATGTCCTCCCTGAGAAAGCCACTAAGCCTGTTTCACATAGAGCAAACAACATCACACCAGGACTCATAGAGCTCGATGATAATGACGAATATTTTAGACTCGCCTAATCAAACTTCTGATGATCTTAATCTTCCAGGATATCTACTATTAGACTCTTGAGCTTCAACGTCGATTATTCGAAACCCTTACTTGATGCATTTTTCACAACTGCCCTCTAATATAGGTGCGAAAGATATGCAAGACAGCCCAATCCCTGTATCCTCAACTGGAGTCCGTGATTTTCATTTTAATAATGGTTCTACAGTTAGGATATCGGCAGCATCCTCCCCTAAAGTTCGTTATGACCTTCTTAGTCTAGATGAACTTGACATTGCTGGGATATATGCTGATTTCTCAACCTGTTCACTTTGTGACAGAAATAATCATATCCTAACTGACATCATTAAACGTGGCCGATTCTACTGGATATCTACGAAGTACTTGATTTTACCAATTCGTAGTAAGTAGCATCGGGTCAACAATATATTTCCTCGTTTTTTCTTTTGAATTCATCCATCGACTATTTAATTATGTTAATATCAAAGTGATCAAGGATTCTATCCGAAAAGGCTTTAACAAGAATATCGCTGTTCAGACGTAAACTTAAGATCTGAGTTATTCATTATAGTGATTTAATTAAGGTGATTTTGAACTTATAATAATAATTATTTATATTCTCTGTAATGTCTTGTAAATGATTTAAATAATACATATCAATATTCTGGGCAGATGATATTTAGCTATTCTAAATTTTCTTGCCCTTTTATATAGTTAGATCCAATTCCATAATCTTAGTATTATTAAGCAATTATTAGATATGCCTTTGTACTTTACTACCAATGATTCAATTGCCTATTATCAATTACTGATTATAGCATGATATTAATAATCATACTAATAATCCATTTGGTTAGTAATATTCGATTGTACCTTGTCATCGCGGTAACTGTCAATCATTGCGTCATGACAATATCCTGTAAACCTAGGAATATATCACCTATATTTTAGCTCACAACATTAAGTTACAACATATCCAGGTTAAAGTCACAACAATTATGTCATCAAATAAAATTGATCAAAAATCACAATAAATCTTCTATATTTGTAATCCATTTCTTAGGTCATCTCGGCAAATTTAGATTTAATGTTATTAGGGCAATAAATATCATTTTGTAAGAAATTATGAGATAACGTAAAGTCATACCCATTAATTCAATATTAATAAGGGTGAATAATTATATAAAGCATCATTATTATTAAGGGATAAAGAAATGTTTCTAATACTAAAGTATTTACTTCTGATGTGTCAAGAATATCTTAAGATTGTATATAAAGTCTGATAAGATCTTAATTGACACTTATCATTACTGGATATAAACTTGAAAGAGCTTATAAATTCCTGATTAATCATATAGAGAATTATGTTGTGGTTTTTCTACCGAATCGCTCATAGTAATAGATTCTTTATTTATTTCCAAAGACAGTCTTAATAAGTTGATATTGATCCAGTGTATTAAAGTATATAATATACACATGGGAATATATTTAAACTGATAAGTATCAATTAAGATCTAATCATCTCTTATATACATTGTATGAAATTTTTTAACGTCAGAAAGACCACTTACATTTAGAGTAACATCTCTTTATCCCTTACGAATAATGTTGTGATGAGTATGACTTATGCGTCACCTCATAATTCTGACATAAATATGTACTATATTCCCATGTGTATATTATATACTTTAATACACTGGATCAATATCATCTTATTAATGATGTCCTTGGAAATAAATATTTTTATTTTAGATAAACAATATTTTAGATGTTTCAAAATATCATGCCTTTTTATATGTTTAAATCCAATCTCATAATCTTAATATTATTAATTTATCATAATAAATAATGAGGCCTTTGCACTTCACTTCTTATGATACGATTTAGCAATTGCTTAGAAGGTCGAGCACGCCATTGGCGATCGATCAATTGCAATCTATCATAACCTTTACTGTCATACGAATGACAGATCATTTCATCATATCATTAGTGATCGTTGTTCTTTAATATGATTCGATCAATGCATAGAATTTATCGGATCATGATATTGTTCTAGACTCTTATAGGTATGTAACTTTTATCTCTTAGCTGTCAGAATAGTGAAAGCTTTAAGCTTCAATGTAAGTATATATACGTTAAATAGGTACATTGACCTATTACTGAGGTCAGTGAGTGGTAACACGCTCATCCTCCTGTAACAGAGTAGCCTATATAACATAAATAGTTTTATATATCGGAACTGAAAATTTGTTCCTTTTATATATTTGAGAAATCGATACATTGACCTTGTACGAAAAATAGCAATAGTGACATAAACTTTATCCTAGAGTATCCAGGTTAAAGTCACAACATTAGTTTATGACTATAATATTTGAATTAATGTTATTAGGGTAATAATTATCATTTATCATGTGATATGAATAACCTTGAAACCTATTAGTTTAAACCATACATTTTAGGTTACAACATTTTAGGTTACAACAGAATGATTCGGTGGAAAAAACTAGAAGATAATTCTCTACACATATATCACACGATATGAATACTCTGGGGACCTATAGAGGTATTTCATACATTTTAGGTTACAACAGGATACAATATAAAAAAGTCACATGACAAATGTCAGCAAAAAAAGATAAATCATATCTGTCATTCGTACATAATTATATATATGAAGATTCTCTTTATACCAATCCAAGATTTTTTGTTTGATATCAAATTATACGGGCGTGTGGTCTAGTGGTATGATTCTCGCTTTGGGCGAATTCCGAGTTACACTTGGGATACAAATCATTCAAATATGCGAGAGGCCCTGGGTTCAATTCCCAGCTCGCCCCAATTTGTTTTTATTTTTTTAATAATTCAGATTCCCTTACAATATTATTGGTTTGTAGGATTATTCTCAATCATGGTGCTCACTCGATTACTCAATAACTGGGCCATCTCTTTTAATATGATACATATTTACTTATCATATTATGTTACATGAGGTCCTTTTACACTTTTACTGGTTTGTAGGATTACGTTGGCTCATTGTGGTCACTCTGTTACTAGATAACTGGATCGTTCTTTTAGTTTTATACATAGTTACTTGTTATATTACTATATATATTCTTCTTTTATACTTCAAGATACCTTGAAGAGTTTTCGGTTCGGACAAACACTCGTGAGACATGATAATATGGCTTTATAAGAAAAAGTCACATGACCAATGTCAGCAACTTTGATAAAATTTTGCGTTAGAACAAACATTCATGAAACATGATAATAGATAGGGCTTCACTGCGAAAACTTCTTGTGATTTTTTGTTCAATTTTATTAGGTGACATATTTGTTTTTATTTTCTAAGTGGGGATTTCTATATATGGTGTAAAAGGAATATATAAATTGTAGAGAATTATGTTGTAGTTTTTCTACCGAATCATTCATAGTAATAGATTCTTTATTTATTTCCAAGGACATTCTTAATAAGTTGATATTGATCCAGTGTATTAAAGTATATAATATACACATGGGAATATAATTAACATGACAAGTGTCAATTAAGATCTTGTCATTTCTTATATACATTGTATGAAATGTTTTACCACGTCAGAAATAATACTTTCGTGTAAAGTAACATTTATTCATCCCTTACATTAAGATTCCGTTCTACAGAATAAGCGCAAACCGGCCTTTATTCGAACAAGTACTAAACTAATTTTACAGCTGAAGAATAACCAGAACTTACCTGATATGGGCCAAAACATACGGTGTAAACCAATTTAAAGTTTTTTTCACGTGAGAGGTTTTCTTAATTTTATAGTCAACAATTATTTTCATCGATAGAATTCTTGTTCCTCGTGGCCCAATGGTCACGGCGTCTGGCTACGAACCAGAAGATTCCAGGTTCGAGTCCTGGCGGGGAAGAATTTTTTTAACATTTGATCAGAGCGTTAACTTGTTTTTTTTATTTTTTATTTTTTGGCCCTTTTGATTGATGATCTGATTTGAAGCTATAATAATTGAAATATCGTTATTGCATGCTGCAGAACATCTACAATTAAAAGCGAATTATAGAGTTCTCAAACTATTTTTGAACTGAATCTCAGTATAAGTCGTTACCTGTATAGGTAGGTATATCTTCTCTTCAGTACATGAACGGACAAAAGCCGAAGATAAATCTCTATAGCTTTTATTGTTACGTCTGTAATGATCTTCAACTTCTGGAAAATTAAAAAAAAAAAAAGAAAATTATGCGATGAGATGAAAAATTTTGGTTAAACCTATAATAATAAGAGAAGAACAGTTGCAATAGAGGTATATAACATTCATCTTTCCTTTAAATAAGTATTAGAAAAGGATACCATCAATAAGGGCCTACCAAGTGATCATTGTTGTATTACAGGATAATGGAGACATCAACTTTTGTAAAGCAACTGGCCTCTAACAACAAGAAAGTTAGAGACAATGCATTAGATAAATTGACAAAATATTTAAATACTCGTCAATTCAAGGAATCTAAACAATTGCAGTATGATAAGCTATGGAAAGGGTTATATTTTGCCATGTGGTTTAGTGATAGACCAAGACCCCAACAACGTCTGGCGTCTGAATTAGGAAGCTTACATAGCTTATATTTTTCTAATAAAGACAACAAATCTACTGAAGACAAGCTAACAGTAAATGATGAAGCATTTGTCAAATTCAGTAAAGCATTTTGGAAAGTCATGTGTATTGAATGGCTTAACATTGATCGTCATAGATTGGATAAATACTTGTTGTTGATTAGAAGAGTATTGTTTCAACAATTGAAATATTTACAGTCTAGAGAGTGGAACTCGAACCTGGTAGACACATATATCGAGAAGGTATTAAAGGGCATTCCGTTAAGTGGGGATGTCAAGATCTATAACGGTATTCCTATGCATATCACTGATATCTTATTAGATGAATGGGAAAGAATAATGAGAAATGAAAATGAAAATGAAGAGCAAGAAGGTTCTGAAGAAGAAGAAGAAGAATACGACTACAAAGAATTAGTTAAAGAGACGCCATTGCCTAAATTCATCGAAATCTTTACCTCCATAAGATCCGATCTCAATGCCAGCAAAGTTCTAAAAGACCAAATTAAAGAAAACTTAATTGACGACTCTAGACTGTCAGAATGGAACATCATTGTCGCTTCTGAGGAAGCAGAGGAAGAATCTGGATCTGGATCTGAATCTGAAAGTGAGACAGAAGAATGGAAAGGATTCTAATACGACATGCATTCCAATTTCAACATGTACAATACAACTTCAACCACTCCTAAAACATAATATACACATATACATAATTATATACTGATATAATTAACCATAGAGATAAATTAATGTTCAAAAGTACCCAGATTAGACTAGACTAGACTAGACTAGACTAGACCAAATAAGAATTGAATAGAATTGACACCATTACCTTGTAATATATATCCTAGTATTTATCGCTGTTACCCTCCTTTTCGTTCATCTGATTCTGACACGTTCAATTTTCAACTTTTTTTTTTTTGTAGAAAATTTAGCTTCAACAAAGAAGACGAAGTTTTGTTTTATAACGTTTAAATATATACAATTGACAAAGATATAAATGATTGATTTATTTTGAGTTTTGTTCTTTTGCAGTCTTTTGGCTTTGGGTTTATCAATTGAGATTGGAGAGATTCACAATAAGTGTTCTTGTTTTTGGGGGAAAGGATAGAATCAAGATCAAACTAAATTAAGGATGGCTAAGGATAAAGAAACAAGTAGCAACCCAGTTGAAAAATTGGCAGAATCCCCATTGGAATTTGTTAGAGAAGGTACTCAATTTTTACAGAAATGTAAGAAACCTGATTTAAAAGAATACACAAAGATTGTCAAAGCTGTCGGTATTGGTTTCTTAGCTGTTGGTATCATTGGTTATGCCATTAAATTGATTCATATTCCAATTAGATACTTAATTGTATGAAAAGGTTTAAAAAATAAAATAATGTGGGACAAAAGGGAAACTTCCCTCTCCGTCCTCCATTTGGGGAAACTTATTTTTTCAATGTAGGTTGATTCAAGTTTTCTAATTATGAAACAAGTATACAATATCATATCATATATATATATAAACTATCAAGAAAGTGGTTTTTCAATTTCACTTATTCTTTATATACTGTGTATAGCGAGAAAGAAATAGATATCAATAATAATATAGAAAGAATGGACACTTGATAGCGAGCAAGAGTCTAAGCAACAGTACCTTTTAGATATGTATTGAACTGGTAGTGTTTGCAATTGATCAAAACCTATCATGTAGAATTAGCCAGTCGATATATATAAATGCATTGTGTGTATGTGTTTCTTAACTGAAAAAATTTTTTTTTTTTTTTTTTTTTTTTTTTTCCAAACAATTGCAAAAAATGATGTAGTGAATAAAAAAACCAAAGGATATAAAAAAAGTAAGTGGAATTCTTCCAAAAAAAATAATACAAACAAACAAACAAACAAACAAACAAACAAAAAACTTTGATTGAATTTGTATAAAAAGGTTAAATAAATCAAATCTAAAAAAGGAACAACCAAAGGTTTTAGGTCAAGGTCAGGGTCTTTAAGGTTAAACAAAAATGGGGTTGTTATTGTTATTGAATTTTTTTTACCAGGTATATTATATATAATTGAAAAAATGGATACTTCTGGATTTTTAAGGGATGAAACTCATCCACACCAACCTGAACAATTTATTTCCAAAAAAAAATTGAAAAAATTGGGTGAGGTATTTGATAAAATCAAAACACTTTTCCCACCTGCCAAAGTCAAAAAAATAATACAAACCGATGATGACTTTGGTAAAGTATCACAACCCACCCCGGTAATTGCAGGTAGGCCGTTAAAGTTCTTTCTTGCATTATTGGTAAAAAAAATTTATAATGTTCCAAAGGAAATGGATTGTAAAAGGATAATTGGGAAATTTATAAAGCAAACAATCCTCCAGGATGAAAAATTTGATTTCTTGAGGAAACATATTTGTGAAAAGCACCCCTACTGAGAGGGGAGCCGAGGAGGAAGAATAAGAAAAAAAGAAGATTGNTTTTAATTGGGAAATTTTGTTTTCTTTTCCCAATTGGCCTTCGAACCGAACGAAACCGAACGAACCGAACCAAACGAAACGAAACTATCCTTTTCAAAGAACCGCTTCCTTCCCAATGAAAAAACCCCTTGGGAACCCCCTAACAAAAAAGTGGAATAAATCTACCCTTTGAATAACCGTTGCATTGCTTCAAAAAGCCCAAAATTAAAATAAAAAATTTTATTTGGCAAAACACCCGCCCCCCTTATGAAAACTCCGAGTTTTAACCGGACAAATTTCCCAAAATAACTTGTGGAAGGGTGGCCTTTTAAGGGTTTTTTTTTTTTGTTGGAAAAACCATATTTTAGTTCCCCCAACCTCTTCGAAATAAAAATTTTGTTGTTGTTTTCCCGAAATATAAACAATCCCCTGTTATAGGAAAAAACTC